TCCCCAACACAACACCGGCATCACCACAAACAGAAGCAAGACCACACACCAACTCTGCCCAGACGCCCTATTGCTTGCTCCGTGTCGCGAGTAAACGTCGACATTGGCAGAAAACTCCCGGTCATCCTTCCGCAATATCCAAAAACAAGAGTGTTGACATTGTAGGAAACGAGATTAGGGAGGTTATTTTTTTTTAAGAGGAAGAATGAATGTGTGTTCACTCGCACTGCAAACATAGGAACACTCTTAAAACTACTTCTGTTCTATTGTCTACGGTAACATTACAAAAAGCAACGCTTGCCGTTTTAAAAGTGTTACACGAAAGTTTTGGTAAGGGACCGTCCATAAATGACGTCACGCGATTTTGTACGATTTTTTTACTCCCCCCCCCCCCCTTCGTCGTCACACGGCGTCACAAAAAGTCAGACCCCCCCCCCCTGAAATATGACGTCACAAAGCTCTGCGCACCCCCCCGCAAAACCATATTTCCATTTTGAAAATAAAACATGCTTCAAATCGCTTTAAACCATTGTCATTGTAGTGCGTATTTAATGTGGCGCTGCACTCTGATGTTGTAGGAGAAAACATTTATTAAAAAAGTCTATTTAATTAAGTAGAACGTGATGTCTATATTTATTTAAAGTTGCGCATTTTGATGTGACGTCACATTTCTCACCCCCCCCCCCATTCGTCACACATCGTCACAAATGTCTGACCCCCCCCCCCAGGTGCGTGACGTCATTTATGGAAGGCCCCAAAGCCTGCAGTCTCGAGAGAAGACCTAAACAGGGCGAATGTCGTCTTGGCTCAGCGAGTGCAGTGATTCATATTCTTGGTTCTTTCGGTAAAGTCACGTTGGAGGAGAAACAATAAAATAATAATAAAGTATATTGTTTTATATATTTGTTTTCTTTATTATTTTATTGTTTCCCTTCAACGTGACTTTACCGAAAGAACCGAGAATATGTGGGGGGGGGGGGGGGGTTGGTCATCCCGGGTGCGGGAGTTTCTGTGTACCGTCGCTTGTTGACTGAGGCCGTTCATGGCCCTTTTGTATGTCAGCAGCAGCAGCAGCAATACTTCAGATGTATAGCTTGGGGTGCTCTGATACGTGCATTGTGTTTGGTTGTAGGGCAATCAGTTTCAAAGACAATGCATAATGTCAGAACAAGTACGTGTGGTTAATGCATACTTGATCCGCACGTGTATGCATGTTGGACTTCTTTCGCACCGTACGATTCTAGCCACGCGAATCGGAGGTGCGGGAGAAAGACAAACTAAACAGAAAAGCAGTTTTAAAGAACACGGGTTTTCAATCGATGTAAAAATGGAAGGAAGAGCGTTCCAGACGGCCGCAGAGATTATTATGAGTATCACGTTTGTTTGCATGTTCACCACCGGCACGTGCGCTTAATGCAGACTTGATTACTTGAAAAAGGTTCATGTTTGGTGTTTGAACTTCTTAACGCCCCCTGTTTTATTGCCAGAAAGGGTAAAACCTATGCTTATTTTTCCATACTTGAGTGAAACTGTGTTGATATGATGTTCACATCCTATCGCTCTAATCACTCGAATGCCACTTCATAATAGAGGCGGGGGGGGGGGTAGGGGGGAGGTTTGGGTTAGATCGCATAAATGTGTCGTTTAACCCGCCACCACCCGACACAGCCAATTAGTAAGGTTTGTCACGTCAACAAAAACATGCCAATTAGTTACAAGTTCAGCACACCGGCGTGTTGTAGCGTAAACCCACAATATTTACAATTCGAGTACAGAAGCATTTGAATATTGACGCGATCTAACCCAAAAACAACCTCTTATGGATATTGTCCGCGGAAGCCTACGTGTTAAATGGCACGCTACTTGTTTGTGAAAGCGTCCTTTCCTTTCACGTCAAAGCTGTGTAAATGCCCACATTGGCCTCTATACATTTTTAGAATTCGTTTGACAAAAAATGTCGTTTTTTAGCTTGCCTGGAATTCGGTACAAAAATTTTTAACAAAGAAACTAAATGACAGGCATTTTTTTTAAAAAAAACACGTGGGCAGAACTAGCAGCATATTTTGTCCATGAAACCATGCTTTAAAACATTCATCGGCTAAAGATTGCGTGTCATTTCAACTGTACGGCTCTTGTTCTAAGCCGGATGGTGGATCTCCCACAGCTTTTTTTTTCATTGACATTTAAATTTACGGGGGTTTTTTTTTTACATTCAAATAAAATGCGCACACGCATCTCACTCTTCAGGTATAAAAAAAGAAAATCAGCTTGTCAGCACGCAATCGATATCTGTTGCTGGCAGGGAAGCAGGAAAGAATTCCTCAGTAACAGTACCGTCTTTTCTGGTGATCATCATGGTCTCTTAAGTGGCGGGAAGTAAAACCCTGTTCTTTTTGGAATATTCCTGTTAATAATTTTACTGTTAAATAAATCAACTCCCCCCCCACCGTACATTTTACATCGTGGGATCGTGAAGAATGGGCAGCGGTTTGGGGAGGCCTTCGCTAAGCAGTGGTTTGACCATGGCTGAAGATGATGACCCCCGTTTTTTCCATTCCCGTTAACATGCCTGAACCAGTGGTGTCCGTTGAATACACTGTATTGCTTTTGTCGTATTCAACAATAGAACTCACAAACACCACCTTGTCCAAAGACCGCAACGCAGAAGATCCCCGGGGGTTTGCTCTTTCCCGAAGCTCATGGTCCACCCTAAACCGCATCCACTGCACAAACCGTGGCAACAGATGCGGATACCCTGATGATGCACGAATGAAAAATGTTAAACTCTTCGGTGTGCGACTGTGGTCATCAGGAACCGAACGTACAGCGTGTAACGACGCAATTGCCCTATCCGAACATACAAAAGGGGACATCACCCCGCGATACACTACTCCGCTGCTCCTGATGCGGTTATCTGGTGCTTGACGCACCTGAACGTGAAATGGAAGTCGTTGCTCTACATCCACATCAGCCGTACGAAAGAAGAATACGTTTTATTGTGGAGCCGAGTTCATCCACGGGAGTGACAGGACAATCCTGGAGTAGTAAGACGCATTTCAACATGTTATGTTTTCACTGTATATAAACTCTCTGAATTGACAACTTAAATGCCAACACACCTGGCAGCCGCGTATGCCAGGTGTGTCGCAAACAATCTTGATTTGAAGCTTTCGTGACTGCAGGAATCCATGCTCTTTGGTTCTTTCGGTGAAGTCACGTGGTAGGTATAAAATAGAATAAATCACGACGTTTCGGGCGCAACACAAGCGTCCGTCATCAGGTGCGAAAGCATGGTCCTGCTGCTGAGGCAGACTGTTTTAAAAGGTTTTTCCTTTGCCTAAAAGGTTTTTCCTTTTAAAACAGTGTGCCTCAGCAGCAGGCCACGCTTTCCCACCTGATGACGGACGCTTGTGTTGCGCCCGAAACATCGTGATTCATTTTATTTTATACCTACGTGACTTTACCGAAAGAGCCAAGGAGTATGTCACGTACATTCTTTGACACGTCAGAATCAGAACCAGAATCTTTATTTATCCTGGGAGAAATATGACGAGCTATGAAGCAGGGATGGGTCGGAAAGTTACAACAAACAATCCACAAATCGTTCAGAGCGCAAAGTATAGGAAAGGAAAGCAAATTACCAAAAAATAACGACGAAAAATAAAGTACAAGTTCAAACTGCATAAGTACACCAATTCCCAAGTTTGGACAAGGCACCAAAAAAGACAGCAAGAACAGTCCCAGACGACACCAAGACAACAGCACAGTCCCTCAATAAAATTGCACGTTAAAATCTAACTATCGATACATGGGTAAGGATTAACGTCACAAATTACATTTGCAAATGCGGTTGTAGCCAACATTAATCTTTTTTTCAAATTTTCCTGCTGTGGTTTTCACACCTGATGATGATTGCTTGCGTTGCAGTCGAAACGTCGCGAGAATTTTTATCGTTTTATATTTATATTCTTTTGTTTCCCTTCTACGTGACTTTACCGAAAGAACCAAGAATATGAATCCCTGCAGTAACGAAAGGTTAAAATCAATCATTAATCTAGCTTCAGTATATTTTTTTGAAGGAAGATTTAACGACGCTAAGGGAGTTAACGAGGTTTGTTCAGAGACGTCGGTGCTGCCTCTTACTATTGTTCTTAAGAGGGTTAGATGGACGGCTTGGCTTTCCTGGCTTTGACAATGGGGTTAATGAATGAGCCAATTACAAAGGTCTCAAGAGTACGCGGACCCGCTCATACGTGAACACCCCTTCCCCCCCCCCGATTCACACTCGAACTTTCGCTGCACGCAGGCCCTCCGCCACTGCGTGGATTTGACAGCGGTTGTAACTCTATCGGCCGCGCAAGAAACTCGTCCAAAACAATCTCTTGAGTGTTCTATCAGACCCGGATGCTGCCGATGATTCGTGAATCATTTACTGTACAGTGCCGTACTTTATTTAAACATTTATGTACATTTATATACCTCCTATATCCACTCTACACTCGTGTAGTAATACTGTAGTACACAGTAGTGTATTGTGATATATATAGTAATATAGTAGTGTATAGTAATATAGTAGTATATAGTAGTGTACAGTAGTTTATAGTAATATATTAGTGTATAGCAATATAGTAGTATATAGTAATATAGTAGTATATAGTAGTGTACAGTAGTATATAGTAATATAGTAGTATATAGTAATATAGTAGTGTACTGTAGTATATAGTAATATCGTAGTGTGTAGCAATATAGTAGTATATAGTAATATAGTAGTGTACAGTAGTATATAGTAATATAGTAGTAATATAGTCGCGTATGTTTAATGTATATCTACACTCGTAGAGGCGAACCCCAACTTAAGCTAATCCGCGCTTATGCGGGGGTACACGGAGTGTGAATTTTTCTCCGGGTCCTCTGGTTTTTCCCTCCACATTTAGAATCCACGTCACGAGTTTTAGAGTATTTGGCTGCTATGCATGTCCACGTGATGAAACGCCATTTGGTTGAGCTGTCATTTGTGGCCAGGTCGCTTCTGAAAAAAGGGCCATACAGCTCAGTGGGCCTTACCTGGTCAAATTTAAAAACATCGTTTTTGTTTGTTGAGTACGGTGAGATGGCGGAGAGAGCGGAGATAGCCTCTTCTCGTCACGTTAGTCCGCATTCCCCGGCCTCTCACCGTTGGACGAATGGTCCGACCTTTGACCTCCAACCAGGGATTGGTTTTAACAGCGTTTCTTTACTTCGATGTGCAGCGGATCCTATAGGAAAAGGGAGAACAACAACAACAAAAACACGTATTTAATAGGTGTAAAAAATAAATTATGTACATTGGGATAATCTTGATTTGAAGTTTTCGTGACTGCAGGAATCCATACTCTTTGGTTCTTTCGGTAAATTCATGTAGGTATGAAATGAAATAAATTAAATCACGACGTTTCGGGCGCAACACAAGCGCCCGTCATCAGGTGGAAACAACCACAGCAAGAAAACAATTGCTGAAGTGGGTAGCCCACTTACCTACGTGACTTTACCGAAAGAACCAAAGAGTATACATTGGGATACTTTGAAACGCGTATTGTATAACAATGAGAATGACATATTCTTGGTTCTTTCGGTAAAGTCACGTAGAAGGGAAATAATAAAATAATAAAAATAAAACAATAAATTATAACGTTTCCATTGCAACACAAGCAATCATCATCAGGATGTGAAATACGACAGCAAGAAAATTTCTTGATCGAAACGTGGTGAGAATTTGATTGTTTAAATTTTACTATTTCATTATTTCCCTTATACGTGACTTTACCGAAATAACCAAGAATATGAATCCCTGCAGTCACGAAAGCTTTAAATCGAAATGAGAATGACTGTTACTGTTTTGGTATTGACACTGGGGACACTGGTGATGCAAATTCACAGTAGATATTATTATTATTACTGAGGATCAGACAGCTAGACTAAGGTACCTTTATGATTCTCATGGTTAAGTGATGATGTCTGAAGCTCGCACAGCCAGACTAAGACACTTTTAGGTTGAATGTTAACGGTAACTGGGAATCACTTAGCTATAAATAATGCAGGCGTTACACAATACTGTTGCTAACCCACTCAAAAACAAATGCCGTATTTAAGGAATTGGCCGATGAAGCCCTCTAAATAACGTCTCACGGTAGTAGCATTAAAATTGATAAAAACAGCGGTTAAGTTACCCCTTTCTTACCACATGCCGTAACGTCATTCACATAAAGGCTACACCCCAGTAAGCATGCAACTTTGGGACGAAATGCGTAGAAAATCTGTTCACAGCAACTTCATGGCTTCTGCACAGGGTAAAGATCAACCGTGGCACTTGATGTGTTCCGTGGTGGCTCTTCGTATCTGTCCCTAGCAGCAACGACTACTTGCGTCGTAGGGCGGGTGATCCATTCACAGATACCCCGCGAAACTAATGTGTAGACATCAGGGAACATTTGAATTCCACGTCTCTGAATGTCTCCAAATGAAAATTCGTGACTCTTAGGCAATGTTGTTGTTTTACCACTCTCCCGATCTACATTGTCCAACAAAACAAGTGAGATGCCCTTAGAGTCACCCATGTCCTGTGGTTTTGCCGAGCATCGGAGCGCTGCATGCAGAGTACGTATGTTGAACTTCTTTTGCACCGTACGTAGCCAACTGTGCTAATCGGGGGTGCATGCCGTGTAGGCCCCGAAGTGAAACACCCGGTGGGGTCACGTGAGGTGACGAATTGCCTCGCGTAGCCAACCTCACGCGGCACGAGGAGCAGTGTGCTACGGGGTGTCTGTAAATGGATGAACCGGTACATCGCAATTCTGACCGACCGCCAAGAATGTATTTTAGGAAAGGGGCCGTCTATAAATTAACTGGAGCTATAAAAGACATTGCTATCGATGCCAAGTGTGCATGCTCGTCACAATGATTTTTTAAACATCTGGAGTCCTCAAATTTGGCAAAGAGCAACTTCACATAAGCAGTAGAGATGTATGTACTGATATTTTTACATTATGAGACCTACTTTGCCAGTAACAAGATATAGTAATAGGTTTTACCCTTTTAACTGGCACAAAAACTGACACCTTTATTCAAGGCATCATGTTTGCAATAACCACAACACAAGCAGTCAAAATGCAAACAAAAGAGACAACTCTGATAATGATATGCACTGTCCTTGAATTTGATTGTACGCCTTTTGGCGTCTTCTGATCCAACACCAGTGGAGACTAGGCTCTAAGAAAAGCCGTCTCGGGTGTGGACCAATCAAATTCAAGGACAGTGCATATTATTATCAGAGTTGTCTCTTTTGTTTGCATTTTGACTGCTTGTGTTGTGGTTATTGATAACATGATGCCTTGAATAAAGGTGTCAGTTTTTTGTGCCAGTTAAAAGGGTAAAACCTATTACTATATGTACTGTATGTTGAACTTCTTTCACGCCGTACGCAGCAAAAACCGTGCTAATCGTAGGTGTGGGAAACACGCGCTGCCTGACCACCGGGACTCAAGCCCGGACCGAAGGGAGGAATGGCATCGTCGTTGTTGATGGGTTAACAACAGTGACGTGGGGTCAGGGGAGGCAGGGGAGGCAGAGCCTCACCTGTCATACTCCAATGAAAATAGCTGTTACGAAAAGTAAAATCAAATACATATTCAGATTTTTCCACCGATCTGTGTTGTAAATGCCACCGCTGTACGATCCCAATAATTTTTATAGTCAAAATCGCCAAACTTGCGGAGCTCCGCTGCAAATACAGGAAGAGACGAGAGGTGAGGCAGCGACGAGCTCAGCCTCCCCTCTGATTGCGCAACCCCTCAGTAACTGGACGGAGCGCGGGCAATAAGCGCGTGCCCGTTACTATCTCAGTATGTCACCAATGTCATGTTTGTAGACCCCTTCATTTCATGTCCCCGCTTTCCATGCGCCAGGTAACTTATTTCACGTATGTGTATAAAGATATTTAGGCTCGCTGGTCTCGTCATGAAACTGCAATGAAAAAGCACCAGGGGAGGCAGCTATCACATCTGCCTCACTGAGGGGGGCGTGTTAGACACGTCCCCCTCAGTGAGGACACGCCCCCTCAACGAGGCCACGCCCCCTTAGTGAGGCCACTTCCCCCCCCCCCTCAGTGTGTGAATCTGACACGAGCCAGTGCCTCTCCAGCCATTGACCTCACCACACGTCACAGGTTAACAATGAATGTGTGTGACAGGGCATGAATCGAGAACTGCATGAAACGTCGCGTCTGTCTTACCACACTGAAATGGTGTTTTTTCAAGCAGCATATAGATATGAATATGATTGCTACCATCATCAATATGACGAAATTGATGAAAATGCCTACAGGAAAAAAACACACAAACATCGGATGCAGTTTATGAGTATATATATTTTAGCTATTACAGACAACACAGCAACGAAAACAGGCGTGTACAGCTGATGCTGCTGCTGCATCTGGAGTAAACCAAAATCATATTGAACGGGCATCTCTCGTGAGCCCCCATAGTACCCTCCGACGAGAACTCAGAAAACCCCAATCTCTCCCATGTCAATCCACACGGTTTACCCGTATTACTGTACACGGGGAATTGAGTAAAATTTTTTTTTTATGTCTATTCGTTTGTGTTTCTCCCTTGTGATGGGACTTTGTAGGATGAACGTTGAGATTTATATGGGGCACGGGGTGACCAATAAGGTCTCAATTAGTCTGTAATAAGGCAGGGCACTGAGAAGGGGTTGACAGGTATTTAGTAGTGTAGTGTATAGTGTAGTGTATGTGATGAACGTTGAGATTTATATGGGGCACGGGGTGACGCAATAAGGTCTCAATTAGTCTGTAATAAGGCAGGGCACTGATACGGGGTTGACAGGTATTTAGTAGTGTAGTGTATAGTGTAGTGTATGTGATGAACGTTGAGATTTATATGGGGCACGGGGTGACGCAATAAGGTCTCAATTAGTCTGTAATAAGGCAGGGCACTGATACGGGGTTGACAGGCGTGCCAATCAGTGGCCGCACGGGCGGTGTACGGGTACAGAATAACACAAACATCAACAGAGTCTCGAGCAAAGCCGGCGGTTGTTGACGAAATGGGCTGCGGTGGCTTCTCCAAACGCCGCCGTCGAGCGTCTGCTCTGAAGGACAGAGACGCTGCCCCAAGACGTCGCGAGGCTGCTACCCTCTGGGTTCGTGTCGCTTAGGGCAGCGGTGACGATGATCGGCGCCGTCGTTCACTACTGTACGTTTACAGATATACGGGAGTTTCCGCGATATATGCCGAAGTTAGGATGTAATAATATTCGCGATAATCGCATCGCATCGTCTGTTTCTTTTCTTCTTCTTCTTCTTCTCAAAACATTGTCGTACCGCGATTGTCGTTGGTTCTATTGTATTCATCTCGAATGCAGCATTTTACTTGCTGACAAAATATCTTGTTTCACAGCACTCAACCGAAGTTGTAAATAAATCTCTCTCATTCATGAAAGTCACTCACCGTCGTACGTCCCGCACTTTGTGTCACTCGCCGCCGTGCAAGCTGCCAACATCTTTTCGTCGTTGTTACACCTTCACACAAACGCACACGTCGTTCGGTTGCAACTTCAGAGCGACTCCGCACAAGGGCGCGTTCCGGCTGCGGCGATTTGTGTTGACATCCCGAGGCCACGTGCCAAGCTGCACACCGCCAAGAGCTCGCAGTGGGAAAAAAAAAAGCTGTCCAAGACGCTTGTGCCAGGCTAAGCGCGCTTTAAGGCCACGTGAAGTGTCCAACTGCCGCTGGCAAGAGGTCACGGGACAGACCCAGGTGCCGTGCGTTAGTGACCGAAAGGACTGGCCGATGCACCACCTGTGCCCCCTACTGTGCTAACTTGCTGTGCTTTAGCCGCCCAGCGCTCCGCTCGTTGTTGTGAGCGTCGCTCCTCCGTTGTTGTTGGAGGGCGACTGCCTCCAACTGCCCAGTAGCGTCCCTTCACGAGCCTCCTCCACAGAGACCGATCTTGACACCGCTGGTGCCAGTTATCGCAAGTCCACTCGGCTCCACATCTTCCTTTACCACATCACTCCATCTCTTCTCCAGTCCATGCCGAACCGATTAGCCCCCTCTATCCAGCCGAACAAAAGCTGTTTAGGCATGTGGTGGCTGGGCATGCGGGCTCCATGACCCAGCCAATGCAGCGTTTCCTGCCGGAGGAGCTCACCGATGGGATTTTGTCTAGATTTTTCAAGGATTTGTGAGCGCCTCACACAATACAGCCTGGTTAAACCCAACATTGATCGTAGGTAGGCCAGCCTAAATCTATTTAACCGGTGAAGATGTTCCATTAGGGGGGGTCTACGTTTTGCAAGCATAAATAAGGGAGGGAATGCCCGTGGCCAAGAAGACCCGCAACTTCGTGTGGAGCGACAGACCAGGTAACTTCCACACAGGTTACGCAGCCGATTAAAAGATAATGCCGCTCAACTGATTCGGAGTGAGACCTCTGTTGACAAACCAGAGCTGGTCATAAGCACACTGCTCAGGTATGAAAAACTCCCCACTCTCCCCACAACTGCCCCATCGCCAATGGGCAATTGAGGGGGTGAGTGTTTGATGGCACAGAATACCAAGGCAGGTGCTTAGTTTTGGTGAACAAGACACACTCGTTCACCGACATGCACAATGCAATCGCACACACAGATACACTGGTACATGCACGAAGACAAAGATCCCCCGTATAGCCTTAACAGACTTGGAGCAAGTCAGTTTAACATGTAGGCTTTCGCGACCAATATCATCCATAAAATAGGTTTTTGAGTTAGATCGTGTAAATAGTTACGCATAAATATTTACACAAGCTAACCAAAACATCCTATATTATGTTGGAGCAAGAGGGGGTCGGTGGCTAGCACCACGCCCAGCTGCCTTTGTCTCCCAAGTGGAAATGTTTACACTCTGCACCAGGTACTCATTTGAGGCTGAGTCGACCTAGGGAGGGCCAAGGACCGGTTCAAAAAAATTGTCAATGATGTTGGCCGTGAGCATGGACCGAACTCGGATCGTGGGGTTTCGTAGTGCAGCACGCAAACCACTAAACTGCAACACACTCCCCCCTCACACTGACACCCTCTCACGCACACTCTTCACCGGCGCCTTAAGGCTCCCGACTGGCTAGACGAAATTGTATTGAGCATATTCAGGTGTGTTGATGTCACAAGCAATGCCCACGGCATTGGCCCTACCCCGGCCCCAAGCCAAATGTAGGTATCTTGCGAGACCGGCGGTAGCACCGTTTGCGTTTGGCTTGGCTCGGTAATATGCCAGTGGAAAACCACCCGTACTGTCATGGCCCTGTGATGGCCCGGCTCAGCTGTATCAATTGCAGTCCCACAAGAGTGCAATTTCCCCGCTTTACAGATGTGTTGTGGAAGCCACGGAGACGGCAGACTTACCCAGTGCACGGAGAGCAAACTCCTCTGCCGTTGCTGTAGGTTCCTTCATTACATGGGGTACACGTTGTAGGTCTACCAATTTTACCTGCAGTCCAGATACAGTAATGGACATCGTTTTGGCGTTCTCCCATTGCGCAAAGCACACTCGTCTCCATCTAAGACGTTCGCAGTAGAAAACTCATCGCCGACGGTATCCTGTATGCAGCAGTTACTTTTCGTTTTTATCGTCATGGGTTCATAAATACGACGCATGTATGTTCACTGATGAATTGTATAGCCATGGAATTCCATGGAAACGCACATTCTCTTGTCAACTCTTCTCCAGCAGGACAGTTATTGCAGCAGATCTCGATCCCTCCGTCGTGAAATTCGTGAGTGCCATCTTCACAAGCACACTCCCGATTACTTGTCGGTGTACAGGGCTTCACCTCTGTCTTATTAATTTCTTGTTGAAAAAAAAAGCAGCACATTGATCACAATCGCACACAGTTTCAACGATTTTACACATCTGTACACATGTAACATCGGCTCAATCCTCCAGTGCATCACGTGACTTCTGTGTGGCCACCCCCACTCTGAACCCCACCCCTCTCCCCCCACGACCGCCCACTGTGAAAACAGACGCCGCTCCTCTGTGCAGCTCACTTCTCTTTGCTCCGTGCATTATAATCATCATCGCCATCTCATCACCAACATCATGGCCAGGTCATTCCTTCTACACCTCCTCTCTTCCTGCTGAACATCTTCAGCCGTGCCCTCCTCTTTGTCTGTCTCGGGGACTTCTCTCCGAGCCTCCCTTCCCTCTCACCACTCCTCTCTCTTTTCCAATTCATCGACTCCTTGACCCAAGGGTGGCAGTACCGTATGCAATAATGGTACTGTGCTAGAATTTTGGGTACTTAAGTACGTTACGATATTATGGTACAATACTTTTTCATCAAGGTATGAAAGTACGGTATTTGTTTTCGTAAGCTTTTCATACCAACTCAGGTCATCAATTAATACAAATCCATTAATTTCTGATAATCATTCTACTCTCTTATCTTTAGAGGCGGATGCAATAACTTAACACACCAGTTATCAAAAACTAAAATAGCAGGCAAGATTCATTTTTCAAACTGCAACTTACCATGAATAATGGATGACATTATTAAGTGTTTATAATCAATATTTCGAAAAGTCAAACATATTTACGGAAGAAATGTTTTTTTTTAAAGTGTAAGGAGCTTTTTATAAAACACATTATTTAAACAAAACGATATAATAGAAGCTTGCTAATCATCTATACTTTATTTTCTAAGCTTTTTCTTTTCTGAGCTACGATATAGGGTAGAAAATTACGGTACATACTGCCACCCTTGCCTTGACCCCACACCTCTTCATGTATTGTGGCCACAGATAACAACAGTTGTACCACAACACAAACTTTGCTGTAACTGTGTAATGACATAGCACTGACTGTTGGACAGCAGTAGCAACTGCAGGTGGGCACTTAGCGCGCACGCCGCTGAGCATATACGCGGTGTGTGTGCCGGCAGGGCGGAGGAACTGGGACAAGGGTCATGGTAGACCTCGTGTGGAAGCCCCTGGAACCCTCTAGAGCAGGGGTGGGGAACGTCCGGTCCGCGGGCCGTATCAGCCCCACGAAATCATTTGGTCTCTGGCCCTGCCAAGGCAACCGCAGGCGGGACTCTAAATTCAATAAATCTAGGAGCAAACCTGGAAAAGCAGTTGCGAGTCGCAACAACATCATCAATACCGGCTAACATCATCACACGCCTCGCCAAAGAGAAGCAGTTCCAGCCATCGCATTAGGGGTGAGTTAGTTAAATGTTTGACCAAATATGACGGGCTAATTTTTAAGTTGATAATTTTGTATGGCCCCGCGAATGATGTTCTAAATATCCAAATGGCCCTTGGCAGAAAAAAGGTTCACCACCCCTGCTCTAAAGGGTTCGAGAAGGGAGGCGCAGCTTGCGCGGAGCCATGCCGCGCCGAGGGGAATAAAAGCAGCGGAGAGCGAGAGCTCCGGGCTGCCGGTACTGGGGTTGGACTCGTCTCATCGTCGCTGTCATTGTCACCGCTGCCCTCGTCGCTGCCGCCTTCGCCCGATCATTGCGCGGCCGGACAGTAGTCGGCTGTCCCGGTCAACGCCATCGGTGCAACGCGGACAGGGTCATGTCTGGGACAGGTCGCGCAGCAGCGGGGTCGTGTGCGAGAGAGAGAGGGGGCCCGAGTGGTGGCGCGAGCTCGGCAACAACAACAACGAATAAAGAGGGCAGAGCGGTGCCTCCTGCTTACACCTCGTCTCCGGCTTACTGTGCGTGCGTCGCACGCCATCCCCACGCACAGACGACACGACAAATGTACTCAGTATTTTGTATATATATAAAGTTCCTTACCTGGTCAACGTCACTTTTCTTGAGTAACTCTTTCTAGCTTTGCGATACTTCAAAAAAGAAGAAGTGTACCTTTCCTGACGTGATGTGTTTACGAGTAACCCTCACCGTGATGAAACTGTTGTTTTTAAAAGTTACGACCGTGCGGCTGACTCTCGCGAGGTGACCGCACAAAAACTGTACGATGCAAAAGTGTTCCTCCGCGGAGTTTGTAAAACCGGAAATGATTTGTAGCGGCAAAGTAGCGCGAGTCAGTTGAGCAGTCACATTCCTGCGATGGATGTCTTTCCAGTGAAGCATAAAACACCACGACATGGGTTATGCAGGCAGCACGATTAGTACTGTGGGTCATTGACACACAGGGATGCCAATACTGGGTCGCTTGGTGCTCAATTGGGTGTTTGTTTTTGAAAGCCCGCGTTCAAATGCCATGAAGGCAATGCAATGGCTGGACGCTTCTCAAAATAAAACATCCTGTTGTCGCACGTCATATTCATTGTTTGTGTGACAGAATAAAATAAAATAAATCCGGCTGACTGCCAGGCAGCGTACAAACAATTACTCTCAGGGGCGCTGTGGACCAGAGTTCAGAGGTCAGTTGAAAGGATCTCATTGGTATCCCCGTGGTATCTACTTCCTTGCACTGCGCTGGATTGACATTAATCTCGGGATAAAACTGGAGGCGGAGAGATTGTTTTTGTAACCAGGGTATGTGCATTGGAGAGCTCACCTTCATTGCAAAAGTCACATGGCTTGCACTGACCAGCTGTACTGTACGTGTCACTGTAAGATCCCTCGGTGCAATTCTCACACGTGGATGCTTTTGATCCTTCTGAGCACTTCTCCGTCATGAAGAAACCTGGCGCACCACAGCGAGACACTCGAATTGACCGCAATGCAGATGTGAAAACAAGGACCGTTGACAGAGGAGTGTGCCCAGCGCCGAATGAATGTGAAGTGGGGAAGTGAAATGGTTTACCCGGTGGGCATTTCTCACAACATCGACCGTGGATTTCATACTCCGTGGTGTCATTGCACTTCGCTTCCGTGAGGACACACACAGCGATTAGGATGCACACCACCTGAATCACATGCATGTCCACACAAAAAACACACAAAGACAAAGATTCCCCGTAGAGCCTGAACAGACTGTTGGGGCAAGTGCTGTTATCGAGCACCTATGAAGGCCAGAACGGCACACGAGGGTGGCCAGCACTACGCCCGGCCGCCTTCGTCTCTCCAGTAGCGATGTTTTACGCACCCCACCAGGTACTCATTTAAGACTGAGTCGACCTAGGAGAGGCCCAGGACCGATTCAGATAATCATCACTTATGTTGGCCGTGAGCGGAAATTGAACTCAGGACGCCAGGTTCGTAGTGATGCCCGCTAACTGCTACACCACTACTAGTGGGCTTTACTAGGTAGCGGTGTAGCAGTTACTAGGTCGAGCCCACTAGTAGTAGTACTACTACTAGGTAAAGCCCACTTTACTAGGTAAAGCCCACTAGTAGTAGTACTAGGTATAGCCCACTAGTAGTGGTGTAGCAGTTACTAGGTAAAGCCCACTACTAGTAGTACTAGGTAAAGCCCACTTTACTAGGTAAAGCCCACTAGTAGTAGTACTAGGTAAAGCCCACTTTACTTGGTAAAGCCCAATGAGGTATTAACTTGTTTTTCAGAAGAGACCTGGCCACGAATGAAAGCTCAACAAAGTGGCCCATCGTGTGGACATTGAGAGCCATCAAATACTCTAAACGCGTGTTTCTAAATGTTGAGGGGGAAAACCGGAGGACCCGGAGAGGAAAAAGACACCTGACAACGGGGAGAGAGACACGCAAACTCCAAACGTACAGGCGCCAGGGTCGGGATCGAACCCTCGAACCTCGGGCATACGAGGCGAGGAACGTAACGCTACACCACCGAGAAATATGTAAACTATTATCGCTGACAAAGCCGAGGGTGAAAAACGACCAATTGATGTGCTTTATCATCAGCGATGATATTGTCCATTGCTGAACAATGACCCCTTGTACCGCTGTCCTCGACGTATGAACAAGCAGTTATACGTCCGGTGGGCCGGTCTTTGGTGGGGGAAATTTCACATGTGGCCAGAGTAAAAAAAATATTTCTATCTTTTACGACTTCCGATGTGTACGCTTCGTTGTTTATTATAAGGCTCCTTTGATGTCATCAAGTGGGGCCCGGGGACTGCCCTGTCAGGGACCAGTCCGGGTCAAGTCCCCGGTGGGCTGGTTCCATTCCGAGGGCCGGTTTTTGGTGGGTATTGAAATGTGATTTTTTTTGTATTAAAACATTTCATTATCTCTAAGGTGTACGCTTCATTGCGTATTCACGCTCTAACCCAAAAACCTGTATTATGAATAATACGCACTTAAATGACTACGCCCTCTTAACTAAACTAAAATTAGAAGATTACTCTCGAGTGCAAGTAACACCTTCAGTAACGTGGACGTGGCTCTCAAAAGCAAACGCGATTTTCACGTTTATCGCGAAAATAGATCCACAGCTGCAAGTGGCTGCCTTGGGTGCCGGCGGTGCCCGAGACATCGGAGATCTCTCGACCATTGTTACAAAACATATCATGGGGGGTAGGTTCGATCCCGACCCTGACGAGAACTCTGTCTACAGCGTATGTGGCGTCTGCATGTTCTATCCCCCCCCCCTTCACACATTTATAAACAACAACAACGCGTTTAGATTATTCGGCTGCCAACGATGCATTGCCCACGTATAAGTGACGATGATTTAAGCCACTTCGATGGTGGGCCTATCAATCGCGTGTGAGGGCCACGTCGCCTGTGACGAAAGGTCTCGTGTATACTGCATACATATAGCTCGGTAGAATTTGATAAGGGGCAACAACAAAAAATACAAGCTTAGTTGAGAAAAAAAACATTCCACTTACCAGGAGCGAATTGGGCGCGCCGGACATTTGTTGAGGCCGATCGTTTCAACTCTCAAGATTCAACCAACGACGAAGGCGGCGTTGTTCGCCTTCTTAACAGCAGCTTTTATCAACCGGTTGTTACGATGCAACGTGTAAACACCTTCTCGCTCAGGGTAGTGGGGGGGGAGATACGCCCAGCGCCCGTCAAAGTTGTAAAAAAAGAGTTATTCTGCTTGTGCGACGTGTGGATGGCATGCTTCACGGAAGTTGGGTCTAAAACTGCAGCGTTTTAAGGTACTGCCCGGGAGGTAACAGAACAACACGCTCGTCAATAACGATAATTGTATTTTTTATAGAGAGTCATTCATTGCAATTGCATGCCACAACGCTGCAATATTTATATTAGCCAGAAACAACCCCCCCTCCCTCCACCCCCCACTTACTTGTGAAATAAAAAAAACTAAAATGATGAATGAATAAATAACGAGAGAGACAGGCAAATGCAAGTAACATTTCAACTTGTCTCCTTTTCGACCCAGAATCGTTGACGATACATAAGATCGGCGGAAACGGTGATTTTGTTGACATTCCATTGGAAATCCAGTCGCCTAGGGGCTTGTGCCGCTAATTAGTGGCGCTGGTGGAGCTTCTGTGTCGGGAAGCAATGGTGGGACACGTGGCAGCGTTGACGTTCACTGTTCAAACTCAAACGCTGTGCCCAGTCCCTTACACAGACGGTACAGAAACAACCCCATCACTGACTTAGCAAATAAAAAAAACAGACGAAGAAATAAATAACGAGAGAGAAAAACAAATACACGTGACGAGAAAATGATAATAGCAGAGAAAAAAATGATAATGGCAGAGAAAATAAATGAAAATAAATAAACCCGTTAGGTCTCCATACCCCAGACCACAATCCCAACATTTCGCCGGATCCGGGGGTGCTTGAAAATTTGTTGAAAAACATTTTGAAGCACATTTTAACAAAATTTGTTTAAAAACATTTTTTTGAGCACATTTTAACAAAAAAAATTAAAAACATTTTAAAGCACATTTTAACAAAATTTGTTTAAAAACATTTTAAAGCACATTTTAAACAGGAGAAGCAGACAACGCATCGAGCAATCTTCATTCTTTTCAGTGCTATTGTGGCCTTTACTAATGTGCTATGATGGAGGGCCATGACCCGAAACGTCACCTATATATTTTAAAAAATGTAAGACCACACACACACAGGGCTCCCAAAGCCGTTACCATCTTCCGTGATCCAACAACCAATAATCAACACCCTCCACAAAGTGACGGTGACGTCACCACGGCGCCTGTGCCAGGCTAGGTGCACTTTGAGGCTACGCGAGGTGTCGAAGGCTCGCTGACAGGTGGAGGTCACGGGACAGACCCAGCAGGCGCCATGGGTTGGCTGACTGAGATGACCGGTAGATGCACCACCACCTGTGCCCCCTACTGTGCAAACGAACAAGCACACACAAACACATGCAGCCAAGCGTGTAACTGTGGTCCTTCCCCAGCACCTCCGATAAGCACGGTTGGCTACGTACGGTGCGAAAGAAGTTCAACGTACACACGCGCATGACTGTCACGATAAGACACGTGAGCGTCAAAAGCGGTCCACAATTTTGCTTGCATTAAACCGATTCTGCTGGAAAGAAAAAAAGCATCACTGTGCTAAGGGGCCGTCCATAAATGACGTCACGCGTTTTGATCCCCCCCCCCTCGTCACACGGCGTCACAAAAAGTCCAATATGACGTCACAAAGCTCTGCCCACCCCCCCCCCCAAAAAAAAACATTTCCATTTTTTAAATAAAACTTTGCTTCAAATCGCTTTAAACTATTGTCATTGTAGTGCGTATTTAATGTGGCGCTTCACTCTGATGTTGTAGGAGATAGCATTTATTTAAAAGTCTATTTAATTAAGCGGAACGTGTTGTCTATATTTATTTAAAGTTGCGCATTTTGATGCGACGTCACATTTCCCCCCCCCCCCACCTCGTCACACATCGTCACAAATGTCTGACCCCCCCCTCTCCCTCCCCCCCTAGGTGCGTAACGTCATTCATGGACGGCCCCTAACTTGTATTTAATTCGCCCGGCCACACACTTGGGGTGATCTTTGCCTTTGCGATTGGGGCCACCTAAAAACCCAGGAACTCCGTGCCCCTTCGAGGTCAACACCTCCACGACGCTGCACGCCTTCACGTCTCGACGTTAAAAGTCGCCTGTTTTAAATCTCTCTCGCTCTCTGTTTAGCTATTTTTCAAACGCCTTTCTCACTCCTTCTGTCCTTGGTTGATGTTCAACCATTGCGTTCGCATGGCACAGCGCCGCGGGAACCGTTCTTTAAGGGCGTTTAATTATTAACGTGAAACGGAACGCGTACCAATGCGATCCGCTTTATTTCATGCCTTCTGCCCTACCCGTGGCCATGCACTGTGCAGGTGTAATGAGAGTGCGCCACCTTAAAGAGCTACCTACAGGATGACCGGGGGTTATTGCAGATACGTGCTATGTTGCCTCACATCCAATCAGTAAGGGGGATCCCATCTGGGTCAAAGGTAAATGGGCGGAGCTAGCGGGGAAGCCTCGAGAGCCCTCTAGAAGGTTCCGAGAGGGGCGTGGCTAGAGGCGGGGCTTCGTCCCGCCGAGAGGGATATAAAGCAGAAGGAGCAGAGGACTCCGGGGTCGTCGGTGTGAAGAGCCCTGTGTCTGAACGTCGTCACCGCCTGCGCTACCACCACCGGCGACGTGGCGGGCTCCACCAGCTGAGCCTCCCCGTCTCTCCGACACACCGTCAGCCAGCGGCGGGGCGGAGAGAGAGCGAGTGCCACGGCGGCGTGGGGAGGGAGAAGCAGGCCGCGAAGGCACGAGGGAGACACGTGCTGTACTGCAACTTAAGAATAAATACAAGTGAAGTTTAACTCGTGGCGGAGACGCTTTATTACACGGGTATCAGCATGAGAATATGTAATTGTACTGGAGGAATCCGAATGAGCTATAAAATAGATTTTCACAGATGTCCTGGAGAGGTAACGGGATCAGAACGTTACAACAGTATAAAAAAAAAGGACGATACGAGTGCAAAGTATGGGAAAGGTAAAAAAAAAATCACTTAAAAATATACAATTGAAACTAAACTATTTGTTTTTTCTTAACAGGTAAAGCACACTAAGGTACAGTATTAACTTGTTTTTCAGAAGTGACCTTGCCGAAAACGATAGCTCAACAAAGTGGCTTATCACGTGGACATTTATAGCAGCAAAATGCCTTAGGAGGCCCATAACTTAACCACCACCACCCACACTAATAAATCCACAATGCCCCCAAATGCGTGACTGGTTCGCAACCATCGAGGCGAATTTTAAAACACTTATTCTGAAAGTTTTTGCACGATAGGGGGGCGGTGGCGGAGCAGTTAGCGCTCGCTGCACTACGAACCCGGCGACCCGAGTTCGATTTCCGCTCACGGCCATACCCAAGTGACGATTATCTGAACCGACCCCTAGGTCGACTCAGACTCAAATGACTACCCGGCGCGGTGTGTAAAAACATCGCCACTGGGTGGACAAAGGCGACCGGGCGTGGTGTGTTGGCCACCCGCCCCCCCTCGTGTAACGTGCCAGCCTTCACAGGTGTCACTCGCTAACAGCACTTGCCCCAACAGTCTGTTTCAGGCGATACGGGGGGGGGGGGGTCTTTGTCTTTGTAGTCGAGCGAGCCCAGGTAGGCAGGCACACACCGTGGGTCTTCTTGTTGGGGTCTCACGGTAGCAGTGCTGCCTGGCACAGGCCCCGTGGTGACGTCACCGTCACTTAGTGGTGAATGGCGGGTTGTATGTTAGGATCCGCGTCCACTCTCGCTCGTAGCGCATTTTCCCACGCGGTCGCTCCACACGCAAATCACAGACACCACACCGATGCTCTGTGCTAACTCTTATTCGCGGCGCAAATGCACACTGCCTGGGGGAATATTTTGCGAGAAGGGCCTAGCCTACTGCTGCCTAAGTGCCCAGTCACTCAAACGTCCTACCACGTACCTCGAAGCTGTACTCACTGTGTCGCACGGACGCTGTGAGAGTGGGAGGGAGAAGGACGAGATACAACTTTACCTATCGCTGCCTCGTAGCGGCACTCGCTGGCATCACACGGATGCTGCGAGTGGCTCGAGGAGGCAGGACGGCAGGGAGTGGGTCTTGGCGGCCCAGAGGTTGAAGACAAGAGACCGAAAATGGTCCCGGGCTACTCTTTTTATCCCCTTAACTTCAAAAGCCTGGGGTGACGTCGTACCGCGCGGCCAATCGTGTGCCTACCTGTGGTCGTTGCGCCCTTGCGCCTTCTAGATGGGGTGCCATGGTGGTTGCCGCGGCTGCCCATGTGCCATTCATGTTCATTAACTCTCACCTCCTGATCTACTCTTCTTGCCTAACATTCCACCCTCATCCTCTCCCAATGTCGTGAATTACTCATTGTTGCTGGCCCAGTGAACCTTTTTGCGCCCATACAATTTTAAGCAAACTCAGCGGCACCGCAATGTGATCTGTCCTGCGAGGGTCGGCCAATCTCCTGGCACCGGGAAACCGTGGGATTTTCCTCCTAGGGAGTCTTCGGATGAAAACCCGTTGTGCCAGGCGATCCCCTGCCAGGACACTACGTGTGTGTGCGCTGCATGTGGGTGCTCAGTGTGTGTGCTCAGCGTGGGGCCAGGGGGGAGTCGCGGTGCTGACAGAGTTGCTCCACGGCCGTGGCACCACAGCTTTTTCGCACGGGAGATTCGGACTGCCCTTAAAAGCTGTGCGGATGCAGCAAGAGGCGAGTCGGAGCCCCCGTAGGCTCTCTGCAAAGAGATGGCGGCAGTGACGCACTGGGACTACGAAATGGGCCCAAGCAAATTTTGTTAAGCGCACAGAGGGCCCACACTGCCGTGCGATCTCATTTGGGCCCATTTTGGGGGACTGGGTCTGATACAAAAAATTGGGCCGGTGAGGAAGGATCTTCGGGGCTACCGAATACGGGGGCGCTTAATGCCAACTGAGAGGGTAAATAAGCAATGAAGCGTACACATTCGAGCTAATGAAATATTTGAATGAAAAACATATATATTTGCATTTCCCCCCACACAGACCGGCCCACCGGCCCTCGTAATGGATGGGCCCACCCGAGCTGCCCTCTGGCCAGTCCGGGCCTGGTGCGTGGTGGCTGTTAGCGGCTATGCACCTGGCTGCCTCGAAAGCGGTGTTCTTCATTCAGTTTCATTTATTAGGTATAACCCTGTGAGCCATGCGGCTCTTGACTCGGGTGCAACCGCGACAAAACAGAAACATGACCAAGAAAACATCTTAAAGTGACTACACGCAACAGAAAAATCCAGGAAAAAACATTGCAATGTCCGCAGGCCACTGGTGGCCCCTGGTGGCCTTTAGTGCGACCCCCCCACCCCCAACCCGACTACACAGCATGTGAAGACACCCACTGCAGGCGGTGTGGCGGCCCTCACACTGGCGATGTCCTATCAGCGAAAGTACCCCCCCCCCCCTCTGAAAAGTAGTGAACACCGCTGTGAACCATCGCTGTGGTGGCAGCAGCGACCGTTGGTGGATGACGCACTCAAATGTTGTGAAACTCCGTTCCACGCGGGCGTCGGTGATCAGAATTGATTCCGATTTAAATAAAAAAACGTCTTGCAAACCCTTTAATTTTTTTTTTATAGATGGGGCTTCTGTGAAGTTCCACCCAGCCCACAGAAGCCACAGGGAAGTGAGTACCTGTCAGGTGAGCCGGCAGCAATGTTCCCCATCGTATTTCGGATTTGTATGGCTGGATTAATACAACAAGAACAATTCAATAATTAAGTTATAAAGAGTATACTGTCTGTACGAATTTTAAATAAATTTTAACTGAAAGTTCTGAACATTGTCTGGTGCTCGAATGTTAATCAAATACTTTAGGGTACCTATATACAAAATATATTGAAGAAATAACTACAAATATTAAAACACTAACCAATGAATGATAGCAATCCAAGCCTATGTATATAATGATTTAACCGAACACCACGACAATTAAGAAAGAGTGTGTGAGATCTCTCGCTGAAATATGTTAACGCTGACATTCGTAAAGCAAAGCCGCAGCCACTGCACATTCGCCAGCCAATTGCGTAGCAGGCTCAGAAACGTGGTGTTAGCAGTTATTTCACCCAGACACATGACGACCTTTGGAAGTGTTTTCCCTGGCTGTAGGTTGCCAGGCTGTATGTGTGTCCTATTTTTTTGTTTAATCTGTGTCTTGTGTGTTTGCCGAGCGAACGCAGATGCCGAGCAAACACACACGTGCGTAAAAAAATGCTTATGTGCGCATCCAGGGTCAGGGCTAACGGGCACAGCAGTTTTTTACCCTCGTTCACGATGTTGCTTAAACTAAACTAAAGTTTACCAGGTAAGGCCCCCACTGAGCGATATATCCCTTTTCCATAAGCGATCTGGCCACAAAATGATAGCTTAACGAAGTGGCTTATCTCGTGGAAATTTATAGCAGCCAAATTCTCTTAAACGCGTGACGTCGATTCTCAATGTGGAGGGAAAAAACGGAGGCTCCGGATAAAAATCCAAGCGACCACGGGGAGAGAGAGAGACGCGCAAACTTTAAATATACAGCAGGCATCCGGGTCGGGACTGAACCCACGGCCTCCTACATACTAGGCGAGGCAGTTAACATCTCGCCACCGTGGATTGTGACCTTTATCAATCCACTGCTAGTTGAGGGCCTCCCTAAGGGTTGCCACCTTTTGCACGGTAGACTACACCTGACAATGTGTCTCAGTAGGCACGAGGTATCTTATCAAAACTGTGCGGTTTACTGGGATAATGTTCAACGGAATAATGGCACGCAAGATCTCGGTACAAATGAATTCCTGGAACCCGAACGCAAAATGCCAATTGCTTGACTGTCCAGGTCAAATGCACATTATTATGAATAAGGGTCATTGCCCAAAACGTCAGATATTATATTTTTCTATTTAGGCCACAGTGTTATTAACACTGTTATTAACACTGTTGAGTGTTTTGATAATTACGTGTCAATTGATTTTATTTCTCACAAGTCTTGTTATAAAATCAGAACACGATACTATCATCGTCATCAACATCGTCATCACTCAGAATATTCCGTGAAAAATCCCATGGATCACACCCACACCAATGCTGTTTTTTTTATTTCAAGATTCTGGCAAAATAATCGCTTCGGTTTTCTGGGATGCTGACAGGAGTCATACCGAGGGCTTTATTGCATTGATTGTTCTTCCCTCTTGCACCTCCGATTTCCACGGTTGGCAACGTACGGTGCGAAAGAAGTTCAACATGCATACATGTTGATGATGTTGATGATGATGATGTTGACGATGATGTTGACGTTGATGGCGAGGATGATGTTAATGATGTTGATGATGGTGATAATGTTGATAATGATGGTGATCCTAGCGATCTAGATTTTAAAAAAAACATTTCTTAAGAACTACTTTTTCTGTTAGTTTGTTGTCCTTCCCCCGCATGTCCGAATTAGCACGGTTGGCTACGTACGGTGCAAAGGAAGTTCAACATACATACATCTAATCACACAAAATATTAAAGAGTGATCAAAACAAAACCAAGAGAAGCACAGCGAGGGAACACGTGGCACGCTGTGTAATGTGCTTAGACGCTTTGCAAGCCTCAAGTTGACGTTCCTGCCCTTCGTGACGCTCGCCAAGGAACGGATCAATCACTTCGACGTACATCCACACTTCGATCATCGGGGATTGAACGTCCGAGCGTGTTCCGATGACCACGGCACGATCTGCGGCGTCACTGCGGAGCAAGAGAGAGAGACGGGGCGTTCCATGTGTGGTTTCCAGATTTCCATCATTGCAACGTCGATGTGGTCAGCCCGTGTGGCTCTTCGAGGCGACCATCTCGTACCTAACGCGAAGTAGTCGGCTTTCTCGACCTTACATCATCCGTAATACAGGGGTTTTGTTTGTTTGTTGGGTTAGATCGCGTAAATATGAATGTGTCGTTAAACCCACCACCACCCAACGCAGCCAATCAGTAAGGTTTGTCTCGTAAGCAGAAACAAGCCAATTAGTTAGTAGTACAGCACACCGGTGTGTTGGAGAGCAAATCCGCGTCATTTACGATCTGAGTACGACGTTTCGCAAGTAAAAATCATCAGGCGGACAGCCAGGTTTTTATTTATGCGATCTAACCCAAGAAATCCTTTATTCTGCATCTCATACCTGTCAACCCACATGGTGTACCCGTGTCCTTGTACAGGGAAATTGAGTTTTTAGCTCCGTACGGTGTAAAGCCGTTTCAATACGGGCGCAAACAAAAATAGTCTTTGTTTGTGTGTCTCCCTGGTGATGGGACTTTTTTTTAGGATGAACGTTGGGATTTATAAGGGCACTGGGGTGACCAATAAGGTCTGAATTGGTCTGTCACAAGGTAGGCAGTGACAATGGGTTGACAGCTATTCCAACTCAATCAGTGTTCTTCACTAATTGTCAGAGGGGGGGGGAGGGCAATAACACCGATGAGACATCATCAGCGTGAGGGCCAGCACACGTTTGAAACCATTGTTGGGTTTGACAGCAGCACAATGATGATGGGTGGGGGGGTTGTCACATTTGTGTATTTTCGGCCAGCAGGGACCTGCAAGTGGCCCACTGTAACCTTGGCAATGAAGAACACTGGTCTCGAGCAAGGGCTCACAACGGGTGTGTGACGCCGCACACTTGCGGCAGCGTCACAGGTGTGCTGTGCTTGCGGGCACGCTCAGAATTGCAGAACCCCCGCTGGTCCGCGAGCTCGGGGCAGGCGAATTCTCCCCTCCGTGACGTTCGGCGGCGGCCGGTCCGCGTGATGAGGCGGTCGGTTCCGCCGCAGGCTAGCCGCAAACGTTGTCGCACAAAACTCGCGTTTATTTGTAAATCTCCGGGTTATCGTCGCCGCTGTTTGAAAAGAGGAGAGGGAGTAGGAGGGGAACATGAAAGGATCGGAATGTTTGGGGATGGGGTGAGGGTTCGGGGGCATGGTGGTGGTATTGGTGGTGGTAGTGGTGGTGGTGGTAGTGGTGGTGGTGGTGGTAGTGGTGGGGGGGGACGGGGTTTAGCAAGCGAGAGTACAAATTTCCGTGCGTGCAGCAAATGAGTTGTCAGTCAGTCACTGCTCTCCCCTGGTGTGTGACCCCAACCGACTCACCCTACACGTACAGGAACGCAATGGCCGTGTCCGCGGTGATACCTCTGCTGCTGATGCTGCTATCTGCACTCAGCTGCATACGCGCGCAAGCCCAAGGTAACCTTACCACATTGTCCGTGTTCAGTTGGGTCTGTTCTTCAGGCGCGACGCACGACGCTGCGGGGGCTGCGATGTGACCCAGCGGAAGCGGGATCGCACGGTTCGAACCCCATGCCCCCCCCCGGCCCCCCCGGTCAATATTGCGGTGCGTTAAAAAGATCCCGTGAAAGTAATTTGGCCATTGTGTGCCGACGTGTAATGATGAGCATACTGGACTTGCGAATTCCGAGGCCCCCTGTTCGATTTAATCTCCCGGCGTGCCACTTGACTCAAGGGAGATGTTCACACCCTCGCCTGGTACGCAGGAGGTTCGGGGGTTCGATCCCGACCCTGATGCTTGTTGCATATTCGGAGTTTACACGTTCTCCCCGTGATCACGTGGATTTTTTTCTCCGGGTCCTTCCGTTTATACCTCCAGATTTAGAGTCGGCACGCGTTTGGAGTATTTGACTGCTATAGATGTCCACGTGATGATGATGATGATAAGCCACTTCGTTGAGCTATCATTTGTGATAGCCAGGTCGCTTCTGAAAAATAGCTATATCGCTCAATGGGCCTTTACCTGGTAACATTTAAATTGTTTAGCTTTGGATTTTATAGCATTTAGCTATTTATTTATTTATTTGATCTTGCTCGATAAGAGAACAAGCCAAGGAGTGAACAAAGCACGTCGTGCTTGAGTCGCTCGCATGCGGGTCCTTATTATCCACATTTCTTTTGCCAAAACGAGAGTTCAAAACGTTGTATGTATGTACGTTGAACTTCTTTCGCACCGCACGTAGTCAACCGTGCGAATCGGAGGTGCGGGGGAAGGGCAGCAAACTAAACGAAAAAAATCAGTCCGAAAGAAATTCGTTTATTGGTATTTATCAGACCTCGACTATTGTTTGGCATTTAGCTCCTGAACAAATGTCTGCTGCTGTCACGTGAAACAAAATATGCGAAGGTAGTGCGACGATTAGCTCGGGACCACAACCGAGAGAAATGGCGAAAGATGACGGTGGGACCGAAAGCGCGACAAGGGGAGATTAGATGGGGGGGGGAGGTGCAGGAAGCCCAAAGAAGATGTCTTTGGTGGGAAACCTAAAAAAAGGCTTCGAGAGACTTGTGGAAGGTTCCAGACGGTGGGGAGTGAGTGCGTTACCGAGTGCGGTTGTTACTGGGGGTGTGCGTCAATGGGAATCTGTTGTTGGGGAGCGGTAGCGCTGTGCCCTACGAACCCGGCGGCCCGAATTCGATTCCCGCTCACGGCCAACACCGGTGACGATTATCTGAATAGGTCCCGGGCCTCCCCTAGGTTGACGCAGCCTCGCCGCTGGGGAGACAAAGGCGGCCCGGCGTGGTTGCTGGCCACCCCACCCCCCTTTGTGCGCCGGGGCCGGCCTTCACAGGTGCTACTCGCTAACAGCACTTGCCCCAACAGTCTGTCATGGCTATACTGGGGGAGGGGGACCTTTGTCTTTGTTACTGGAACAATAGAATCCCCCTTCCTATCAGAGCGGCTCGTGTGGACAACTCCCCCGTTTCAAATCGAACTGGGGGAGGTTCACGGCACCGCCGCCTTCGCGCCCCTGTGCACGGTGCACCCTCTGCAAACTTTGTTCAGAACTCTCAGTCCCGGAGGTCAGGGCTGATGCTGACGGCCGCGGTTTTCTGATGGGCGCCGCCAAGCGCCGTGGTTTTGCAAATGCCTGACAGTGCTCCTCTGCGTGAGCGAAGGATGTTGGAAGAGGCCTGGCCTGGATTTTTTGTTCGTTTTGTTAGTTTGTTCGCCAGCTGTAACCGCATTGTAGGCTGACCGCGGATAATTGATGGTGGTGGTAGCGGCTATGCACGTGGCTGCCTGTAACCCAGCGATGTGGAGGTTAGCGAGGATCGGTGGATCACCGCACAGATGATGGGGAACTCTCCGTTGAACTTCGTTCGTACCGTACGCAGCCGAAGCGTGATAATCGTAGGTGCGGTGGAAGGACAACGAAATAAACGCAAAAAAGTAGTTCCAAAGGAAATGCATTTTCAAGACAGGTGCTGTAGCCTGGCCCTGCCATGAGAAGGCGGCCCAGCAAAATTTGTTGACCCCACCTGTCCCATCTGTACGGGATCGAGCGTTTCCCCTTCGTTTGCGTGAGCTTTCTCCGGGCTGCTCCGGTTTCCTCCCAATATAATTGGCCCTATAACGCATTCATATGCAGAGGACCTGCAGAGCTTGGGCTACTGTCGGTGCAAGCTCATCACGTGGCTGCCTTCCCACAAACCCGTGGGCGCCACGGTGGCGAGATGTTAACTACCTCTTCTGGTATACAGGAGATCGTGGGTTAGATCCCAACCACCGACGCCTATATATTTGGAGCTTGCATGTGTCGTGTAGATTTTTCTCCGGGTCCTCCAGTTTTCCCCTCCACATTTAGAATCAACATCACGCATTTAGAGTATTTGGCTGTTCTAAATTAAAATGAGTATTCCCTATATTATGTACACTTCATCATACACCCACACTGCCGCTGACTCGCTCACACATCATACACCGACTCGCACATCATACACTGACTCGCACATCATACACTCACTAACGCTGCTGCTGACTCACTCACACATCATACACCGACTCGCACATCATACACTGACTCGCACATCATACACTCACTAACGCTGCTGCTGACTCACTCACACATCATACACGGGAGTGTCGTGCTGCCAGCTATGGCTGCAGTTTTTTGTCGTCCGTGTTATATATGTCGTTTATTGTTAAATTTAAAATCACAGTTCCCATGATTACTGTTGTTACATTGTTTTCTTAGCTTTATTTTGGTGATTCGAAAACATATGGTTAATTCAAATTGTCTTATGGTTGTTGTTGTTGGCTTGCACCACATTGATGTTTGCACACAGCGTTTTAATACTTTTTTTTTGTATGTGTGGAATATTTGCTGGTTTATTCTAGAATGTTTCTGTTACGCGTTGTCGCTTTAAGATGTTCTGTGTTCAAATTTTGTTTGTTGCGGTTGCACCCGACTTAAGAGCCGCATGGCTCACAGGGCTATACCTAATAAATGAAACTTGAAACTTGAAACCCTCTCAGTTGGCATTAAGTCCCCCATACAGCCCCAAAGATCCTTCCTCACCGGACAAATTCGTTTTTTTTTATTTTAGGACCCAGCCGCGAATGGGCCAAATGAGCTCGCGCGTCAAAAAAAAAATCACACCGCAACATCTGACTAACTCTGTAGGCCCGAATATGTACCAGCAAGTGGGGTTTTTTCCCCCTTTTCTTTCTTACGAACGCCTCGGCCCGATTTTTTTTTAGTTTGTTTAACCCCCCCCCCCCCCCCAGTCCGTCACTGTCTCTCCCCACGCCTGTCCTCCATCCGCCGTGACCCGTCGCCAATTTTTTGCCCCCCCGACCGGGAGCAGGGCCGACCTGCGGGGCCCCGCCACAGATCTCGCACGGCCACGTGGTGAAACCCAAGGGGTCGTACACCGCGCAGGAGGAGGCGCAGTACGAGTGCGACGACGGATACACTCTCCACGGACCGCGGGCCTTCTGCAGCGGCCAGGGGTGGTCACACACGCCCAGCTGTGACAGTGAGTGGGGGGTGGGGATAGGTGTACCGCACACACACACACAGCAGCAACATAGCCACACATGTGTGGATGTGACGGTGACTGGGATAGGTGTACCGCATACACAGACACACACACATGCACAGAAACCCAGAGCCACACACGCCGAGGTCAGGGCTGCCCAGAGGCCCCTGGAAGCCCGGTGGCTGGAGGCACGGGGCAGTTTGCGAGATTGGGGGGCCCCCTTATTTATTGAGGCCCGTGGTAAATTGAGTGAGGCCTGTGGTAACCTAAGTGAGGCCCGTGGGAAATTGAGTGAGGCCCGTGGTGAATCGAGTGAGGCCTGTGGTAACCTGAGTGAGGCCATGGTAAATTGAGTGAGGCCTGAGGTAAATTGAATGAGGCCCGTGGTGAATTGACTGAGGCCCGTGGTGAAATGAGCGGGGCATATGATAAACTGAGCGAAGTCCGTGGTAAAATGAGTGAGGCCCATGGTGAATTGAGTGAGGCCCGTAGTGAATTGAGTTAGGCCTGTGGTAACCTGAGTGAGGCCCGTGGTAAATTGAGTGAACTTGAGGTAAATTGAGTGAGGCCCGTGGTGAATTGACTGAGGCCCGTGGTGAAATGAGCGGGGCATATGATAAACTGAGCGAAGTACATGATAAAATGAGTGAGGCCCATGGTGAATTGAGTGAGGCCCGTGGTGAATTTAGTTAGGCCTGTGGTAACCTGAGTGAGGCCCGTGGTAAATTGAGTGAGGCCCGTGGTGAATTGACTGAGGCCCGTGGTATATTGAGTGAGGTCCGTGGTAATATTGAGTGAGGCTCGTGGTAAAATGAGCGGGGCATTTGATAAACTGAGCAAAGTCCGTCGTAAATTGAGAGGGGCCGGCGGTAAACTGAGCGGGGCTCGTGGTAAATTGAGAGTGGCCCATGGTAAACTGAGCGACGCCTCTGGTAAATCGGCCCATTTGGCCAAAAAACGTTCCAGCCTTGCCGAGCGCCGCGGCTCGCGGTTGTTTTGCTGCTGCCCCCCACCCCCCCACCCACCCCCCCTTCCAGTGCCGTGCAAGGTGACCTCAGATGATCTGGAGGCCCACTCGCTGGAGATAGCCGCCGACTCGCAGAAGTTCCGCCGGGGCTCGTCCATCACGCGCCTCTTCAAGGCCACCACGTACAAGATCCCACCGGGGGAGATGGCCAACTTCGCGTGCCGCAAGAAGAGTGTCGCCGTGGGCCCGCTGAGCGCCATATGCCTGCAGGGCGCCCTCGAGCTGCCATTCTGCGAACCTGGTACGGCGTCGGCAACGACGAGGAGGGCCGACGAGGTGGTGGAAGGAGGAGAGGGGAATGGAGATAATGGAGGTGGCGGCGGGCGGTAGGCGAATGAATGGGGTGGGGGATAGGAGGAGGGCCGGGTTGGGACATTCTACCGGATGTCTTTGGGTAATGATAGTCATTTTAATTTCTTAAGTGCGTTTAAACGATCATTCTCAGGGCGCCATGAAAATGTAAAGGCTGATATAGTTTACATCAACCAAGGAAAGAGGAAGTGAGAAAGACGTTTGAAAATAACTGGGGGACCCGACTTATATTCTCTGCGACATGGCTGGCTCCGCCCTTGGCCACGACCACCTTCCAGGATCCTCGGGCAGGATCTGGGCCCCGACCACGTGACCCCCCCAGCCTCCACTTGGGGCCCCTTTGTAGACTTAACCGGTCACGTGTCCTCTCGGGTCAACCAGAGTGCCATGGCCTTTAGTAACCCCATTCCTACGGCCGGCACTCCCACACCCTGTCCTGTAAGGTTGGGACTGCACGCCAAGCGTGGTGCCATCTAGCGCTATCAATCAGCACTCACCAAGCCCCTCTAGGGCCGGTACTACACAATGACATCCCGCGATGTCACTACACTACTACTACAGAAATCGTGAACAAAAAATATTTACATAAAATATTTGTAATGTATTAATTAAAACTAGTTTGTTGTCTTTCACCCGCACCCGATAAACATGGTTGGCTACGTATGCACCGTATGTAGAAGTTGAACGTACATACAATAAAATATTCATAACAGGCGACTTTTTGGGCAACGGCTCTTTTTCTGAGCACAATGTTAATTGAAGTTGTGTTATTTATGTTTGCGCACCACTGCCAATGCAGCAACAGCAGCAGCGGCGGCACCACCTAAATCATTTGTTTATTTTACTAAGATCATGTTTTCCCGTTGCAGTCGTTGGTAAACGGGCTTCGACAATGAACCCACAGGGTTTGAGAACCCGGTCGAAACCGTGGGGCCACTGGTCACGGTTCAAGCCCCAGGATCTTAGAGTTGGGCAGCGATTGGGGGAGATTGTTGTATATGCGGAAGGGTGCGCACGTTCGCAAGACCCCCCCCCCCCCCACACGCTTGTTCGCGCTGTGCGGTGTCGTTCGTTGAAACGCACAGAATCGTGCCGCAGGCTGGAGGTGGCGCACGGAAAGCTCGTCATGTCTGAGGACACGGTGCGTCACAACCACAGTGCCAGCCTTGCCTGTGACGCGGGCTACGAGGGCTACAGCAAGATCTCGTAAGTAGTGACGAGATCTCGCGCATGCACAGGGCCGCCGGCGTTGCTTGCCATTACGTTGGTCAACAGCACGACATGCGCAGTGCAGTCGCGCAAACGAACAACAACAACAACCAAGTGGTGGTGCCAGGATATGTACACTTTAAGGCTACGTGAAGTGTCAAACGCCCAGCTGGCAGGAGGTCATTGGTACAAACCCAGGTGCCATGGGTTGGCTGACTGAGATGATCGGCCGGTGCACCACCACCTGTGCCCCCTACTTTGCAAACGAACAAACAACAACAACAACAACCGCCATTCGCCACTAAGTGGCGGTGACGTCACCACGACGCTTGTGCCAAGCTATGTGCACCCTGAGGCCACGTGAAGTGTCGAACGCCCGCTGGCAGGAGGTCACGGGGCAGACCCAGGTGCCACGGGTCGACTGACTGAGATGACTGGCTGATGCACCACCTGTGCCCCCTACTGTGCCAACCTGCTGTGCTTTAGCCACCCGGCGCTCCACTCGTTGTTCTGAGCGTCGCTCCTCCGCCCTCCGTTGTTGTTGGAGGGCGACTACCTCCAACTGCCCAGTAGCATCCTTCACGAGCCTCCTCCACAGAAGCCGATGTTGACACCGCTGGTACCAGTCATCGGCAAGTCCACTCAGCTCCACGTCCTACTGTACCACATCACTTCATCTCTTCTCTAGCCCGTGCCGCGCCCGCTTAGCCCCCTCGATCCGGCCGAACAAAAGCTGTTTCGGCATGCGGTGGCTGGGCATGCGGGCTACATGACCCAGCCATCGCAGCCTTGCCCGCCGGAGGAGCTCACCGATGGGACCTTGCCCAGATCTTTCAAGGATTTGTGAGCTCCTCACACAATCCAGTCTGGTTAAACCCAGGATGGATCGTAGGCAGGCCAGCCTAAATGTTTCTAACCGGCGAAGATGTTCCATTAGGGGGGTCCACGTTTCGCAAGCGTAGAGAAGTGAGGGAATGACCGTGGCCGAGAAGACCTGAAGCTTAGTGCGGAGCGACAGACCAGGTAGCTTCCACACAGCGTTACGCAACCGATGAAAAGATATTGCCGCTCGACTGATTCGGAGTGAGACCTCTGCTGTTAAACTGGAGCCAGTCATAAGCACACTGCCCAGGTATGGGAAACTCTCCACTCTCTCCACAACTGCCCCATCACCGATTGGGAGTTGTGGGGGTGGAGTGTCCGATGATACAAAATACCCAGGCAGGTGCTTAGTTTTGGTGGGGCTGATGGAAAGGCCCCACCTCTTAGTGGCACGCTCCAGTCTCAACAGCAGCGTCTCCAACTCCTCCTCTGACTGAGCAGCTCACGAACTACGTGGTCAAAATAGATGTTAAATAATGTGGGAGCCAGAGGACATCCCTGTCGCACCCCAAGGTGTACAGGGAATGGCTCTGACTCCCGGGCACGTAGTTTTACCCGGGCCCACTCACCATCATGAAGGTCCTTAATGATCGTGAGCAGAGGGTCAGGTACTCCAAAAGCACGAAGAACAACCCAGAGCCCAGGCCTACTGATGGTATCATAGGCTTTGACCAGGTCAATAAAGCAGAGATGTAGGTCTTGTTGGAATTCCCTACACCTCTGCTGTAGCAGACGGACAGAAAATATGGCATCTGTGCAGGACCGCCCTTTCCTGAAACCGCATTGGGGCTCCGCAAGCCTCTCCTCAGCGTGCCTGGCAAGGCGATGCTGAATAATTCTTGCCAGGACCTTTCCCGGCACACTGAGGAGTGAGATGCCCCTGTAGTTGTTACAGTCTGTGCGGCCCCCCTTCTTAAAAAGGGGGACCACCAGGGCATCCTTCCAATCCTGCGGAACCCGTCCAGTGGTCCAGACCGTTGTTATGATGTCATATAGGGCAGTCTGTGCACAAATGCCACCCTCCCTCAGCATTTCGCTTGGGAGATCATCTCTCCCGCTGCCTTTCCTGGTCTCGGACTCCGGATCGCCTTCAGTACTTCCTCAACAGATGGCACCTCAGCCAGCCACTCACTGGGGGTGACTTCTTCCAATATTTGAGGCACCGCAGCCACAGCAGGGTCATCCTCACTTTGTGCCACGATGTTTTCATGGCTGAGGGATTTTCCCTCCCCCAGGACCTCACAGAAATGCTCAGCAAATCTGCAAACCTGTTCCTGGGGGTCGGAGATTGGATCACCGTTTTTTCCCCTAATGATGGTAATAGGTGTGGCACTGCAGGTTACTTTTTGATGGAGTTAAATAGAGATTTGTGATCACGGGCCACTGAGGCAGACTCCATCTCCTCAGCAACCCGCGACCACCACCCATCCTTGCAGCGCCTCACGGCTCTCCGAACCTCTGAGCGAAGGCTGCGGTAAGCCTCCTCATTCTCTGACGTGGGATTCTGTAGCCGATGACAGTGGGCCTGTCGCTTTTTCTAAACCATCCTGAACACCTCCTCTGTCAGCCAGGGTCTCTGGGGAGGTCTGGACCGCGTACCCAATGCAGCCATTGCAGCTGCATGAGTCACAGTCCTAAACCTCGCCCATTTACCCTCGACATCAGGAGGAGTCGGGGACGATGCCAATCCCAGCCGCAAGCGATGATGAAATTCTCGCTTGCAACTTTCATCAGATAACTGAGACCAGGCCACTTTAGGTTGGAATGGGGTCCTAGGTGTACACCCACCACCGGAGTGGAAGAATGGCAGGCGCATCTTACAAATGACTAGTCGATGGTCAGAGGGCAGATCAGCTCCACGGTAGGTCCTGGTATCAAGGACATGGGCTCGCATCCGCTGGTCCGTCACTATGTAGTCCAGCAGATGTTCTTGCTTGGACCCGGCATGCATCCATGATGTTGTGTGGATGCGCCGATGCCGGAACAGCGTGTTGGTAATTACAAGCCCATGGGCTGCACAAAAATCTAGCAGCCTCCTACTGTTGTTATTGAGCTGATCTGGCCCATGCCCTCCAATCACTCCAGACCAGGTGCCAGTATCATGACCAACTCGGGCATTGAAGTCACCCAACATGATGACTCTATCCCGAGGGGCCACTTTAGCCAGCACCTGTGACAGGAGGTAATAGAAGGCATCTGACTCATCGGCTTTGCCTGCATCCCTCCACGGATGTTCATCTCCCACGCCCCCTTCATTCTTTTGTTCAAAAGAAGAGCCACACCCGGTTGTTTGGCAGTCTGCTGCCCCGAGTAGAGGACTGTCCACCCCTCATGGTGGCAGGAGCCAGAGCCGGTCCACCGGACCTCCTGAATGCCACAGAGATCCAGGCGGTACTGGTCCAGCTCCCGACAGAGGAGTGGCAGCCTCTCCTCCGCAGTGAGCGTTCGAACATTCCACGTGGCCACCCGTAGTGGCTTTTCGTTGTTTCTAGAGGAGCCCTGAGGGTAGATATTCAATCTCCTGGCTCCGCCAATTGGAGTTTGACCAGGAGACGTCATAGACGCCTGCCCCCCCGGGGCCTCCGGCACAAGCTTATTAGTTACATATTTCAGTTTAACTCGTGGTTTCGTGGTAATTAATTGAAGGTGGAGGGATTACCAGCCCCTTGCACCCGTCCAGAGCCCCCGTTTAGCCCCTGTGGTGGACACATATGCCATGAGGGGAGGAGCCAATCAAAGTTGGATCTCCCCCCACAGCACTGTCCACGACAGAGTTGTCCATCCGGCACCGTGAGGAGGTAGGGGGGAACGAACAAACACACACACACACAAACATGCAGCCAAGTGTGTAACTTTGACCACCCCCCACACATTGCCAGCGCGGTTACACACAAGATCGCCTGCTTCTGCCACCACGCCTTCACATCTGCCTGCCCCCCCCCTCCCCCCCCCGTACCTCTCTTCATTATTGACGACTTTGCAGCACAGCACACGGCAGATATCTTCGCAGTGTGATTTACGACCTCCTCTCGATACCAAGATCCGGGAGGGTCAGGTCGATGCGCCGCTTCTCGGTGGCTGTCCCCAACAGTCTGGAACGCAATCCCTGTGCACATTCGCACCATCACCTCAATCGTTTCCTTCAAGAGACACTTAAAGACTCGCCTCTACAACCACGCTTTTGAGCGACTCTGGGCTCGGCTCCGCGCCTCTGAGTTGCGGTTGTTAGGTCCGAAAAATTCGCGCGCGTTATAAGCCAGAATCCATCTTCTCGGTTGAAATTGTCTCTGTGCTTGTATATGTGGATATCCTCATGAACGAATCTCTCATGGTAGCCAGATGGCTTACAAAGAACCTCTGTCTTGGAAAAGTCAATGTCATGTGAGCCTACTGAATTATAACAGTGATCTGCCACGGCCGAGGTGTTGGTCCTACCGTGTTTAAGGTCTGCTTTGTGTTCACGAATGCGGTCCGAGACATGGCCGTGGCAGATCATTGTTATAATTCAGTAGGCTTAGCAATCATTGGAAAGATTTAATAAACCATTTCAGGTCTTAATTGATTATTCACGCTTACAGTGGCTTTCAGACAGCATACATTAATTTTTCGTCTCCCCCCTCCTCTTTTCAGAACATAGATGGACTAGTCCTTCTAAATAAACTGCCAAATCGCTGCGCGTGGCGCTGACGTTTTAAATAAATAAATAAATACAACGTTTAAAAATAAATAAATTTATGCGAACCGACACACCTGATGACGACCGTTTGTGTTATGGTCGAAACGTCGTGAGAATTTGTATTGTTTTATATATATATTTATTATTTTATTGTTTCCCTTCAACGTGACTTTACCGAAAGAGCTAAGAATATGAATCGCTGCAGTCACGAAAGCTTTAAATCAAAAGAAAAAAAATCTTAAAGTGACTACGTGCGTGACTGTGCAAAGAGAAAATCCAGGAGGAAAAAAAAACCCTTCAAAATATTCCTGAAATAGCACCGTACACCAACGCCGCCGTGTGCCGCCACCTTTGTGTTGCGCTGCCCAGGTGCAAGGCCGGGGTGTGGGAACCAACCCCTGTGTGCTGCGCCCGTCCTGCGGTAGCGGTGCCCAACGGACAGGTACCCGCTCACTCGCTCAAACGTTTACAAAAATATATATAAAAATATATATTTATTTTATATATATTTATTTTAAAAAAGATATGTATTTTTTTTAAAAGATATATATGCTTTTTAAAAAAGATATGTATATTTTTAAAGCAGGTTAAGGCCAACTTAGCCGCTATATAGAGCTCTTTTTTTTACACGCTTTATTTTAACTCGCTGTTGTCGCTGTTGTTGTTGTTGTCGTATCAAATCTTGTAACTCGATTGTAACCCACTTCCCAATGCGGTATCGACTGCAAACTTGATATACTTATGTCATACTGATGACAATACTATAGTCTATCATTAAAAATAAAAACGTATATATTTTTAAACATTCTTTTTTACGTGTTATGTTTCGGTTTGGGTCTAATTGTCCACGCTCAACTGACGTTGGCTGTAATTGGCCACGGTCCCCTTACGTTGTGGCAAGCTTCGGTGCCACTTCCTGGAGTCGTGGAGTTCTGCCATTACTAGTACGGTGCATTTCATAAAAGCGTGTTTTTAAAAAAGTTTTTTTTAAATATTACTTTGTTGGAAGCAAACCTGGCTATCGCAAATTGATAGCTCAACGAAGTGCCTTATCATCATCCCGTGCATTTTTTCTAAACTAATAATCATAAAATATTTATTTATAACGCGCCTTCCACGAATGTCTCGAGGCGCCTTATAAGAATAAGGACAGGCCAAGAGAGAAGGACAAGCTAAATAGAATAAACGAACCTAAGCAGATGTGGTTTTAGACGAGACTTAAAAGCAATCCACATTATCGGACGAACGAATTTCCAACGGTAGGGAATTCCACAACCGTGGCGCAGACGCGGGAAGTGGCCACTCACCCCATGAATGCAGCCGGGATCGAGGCAGGCACAGAAGGGCGCAGTCTGCAGACCTTGTTGATTTTAAATGTGGGGAGGGGGGGGGGGGTGGCCGGAGGAGAAAAATCCGCGCGACCAAGGGGAGAGAGACACGCAAACTCCAAATATCAGAATCAGAATATTTGTTTATACTGCAGGAATCCGATGAGCGAAAAAGCTCTTTTTCACGGATATCCGGCACAACAGGTGCAAGTCCCGTCGCAACTCACGTTGCATCCTCAACCCCTGACCTTGTGTTCAGGTGAAAGTGAACAGGGAGACGCTGACGGCTGAGCTGGCCTGCTCCACTGGGTTCGAGCCGGTCAAGGGTCAGCAGGTCGCGTGCCGGTCGGGCGCCTTCGACACGAAGGCGTTCGCTTGCAAGGAGCGTGAGTGGAGCACTCACAACGTTGTGCTGCGTCACACCCGCAGAATGCACGCAATCTTACAGCACTCACAACGTTGTGCTGCGTCACACCCGCAGAACGCACACAATCTCACAACACTGACGGCGTTGTGCTGCGTCACACCCGCAGAACGCACGCAATCTTACAGCACTCACAACGTTGTGCTGCACGAAGCGAAGTCCGTTTCCACAGGGGGCGGCGGCCAGAGGGGAGGGGTTCGGAGTGGGAGGTGGCCACACACGTCACGTGACCTACAAGAGGCTTGATCCCATATATAATAATTATAATAACCTCTATTTTATAAAGCGATATAGAATCATCATAATATCAACTTCTATTTTGTAAAGCGCCTTTTCGCATTGAAGCGTCCCCAAAGTGCCGTGCGTAAACAATGAAACGAGTGCAGATGAAATATAAGCAAGGTAAAAAGCTGAAAGTGTGCCGTGTGTGTATATATATTTGTAATGACGACTTGACACACTTCTCTCGAGACGGCACTTTATTGAAGACACGTTCACTTGACATCAGGAGGCGGAGACCCCCCACTTCAACAGCCCCGAGTCCCTCGTGCATCTCCCTTTTATACACCGACACGAGGCCACGCCCCCCCCCCTTCTCGAACCTTCTCGCTGATTCTGGACGCTCGCTCCACCGGCAGATTCCACCGTCCGCTTCCGTCGCCTGACCACGCTCCCTTCTCGAACATTCCCGCAGCCGCCAATCCCTTCGCACTCACAACCGATACCCCCTCGTCATTAACCTCCCGTGGCCACTAGTGCATTCACACCGCATGCAGGCTCTGCTGTCACTACACATGGGGGGGGGGGGGGGGGGGGGGTTGGTTGGCGGGTGAACGTCGGCGGTGCCGTGAGCGGTCGTGGTGATGCATCGTGGCGTGCGTGCGTGTGCGTGTGTGAGCGCAGGTAAGTGCGACCCGCGCGCCAGCGACTACCCGCACGTGAAGAGTCTGGACAAGGGCAAGGACGGCTACACGTACACGGTGAAGTGCAAGAGCGACCACGCGGCCTTCGTTCCCACCGTGCGGTGAGCGGTGGTGGGGTTGGGGGGAACGCGGCCCGGCGCACGCATGGACTGGTGCACGCGCAGAACACACACGGAGAACACACACCCAGACACACACACACGGAGAACACACACACACACAGAACACACACACAGAACACACACAGAACACACACACAGAACACACACACAGAACACACACACACGGAACACACACACACGGACACACACAGACACAGAACACACACAGAACACACACACACAGAACACACAGACACAGAACACACACGGAGAACACACACAGAACACACACACAGAACACACACACAGAACACACACACAGAACACACACACAGAACACACACGGAGAACACACACACAGAACACACACGGAGAACACACACACAGAACACACACACAGAACACACACACAGAACACACACGGAGAACACACACACAGAACACACACACAGAACACACACGGAGAACACACACACAGACACACACACACGGAGAACACACACACACAGACACACACACAGAGAACACACACGGAGAACACACACACAGACACACACACACAGAACACACACAGAACACACACAGACACACACACACGGAGAACACACACACAGACACACACACACAGACACACACACCCAGACACACACACAGACACACACACACAGACACACACACGGAGAACACACACACAGACACACACACAGAACACACACACACACACCCAGACACACACACAGAACACACACACACACAGAACACAGACACAGAACACACACACACGGAGAACACACACACAGACACACACACAGAACACACACACACACACACAGACACACACAGAACACACACACCCAGACACACACACAGAGCATACACACACGGAGAACACACACCCAGAACACACACAGAACACACACACCCAGACACACACACACACACAGAACACACACACCCAGACACACACACAGACACACACACACCCAGACACACACCCAGAACACACACAGAACACACACACCCAGACACACACACAGACACACACCCAGACACACACACGGATAACACACACACAGACACACACACAGAACACACACACCCAGACACACACACACACACACAGAACACACACACCCAGACACACACACAGACACACACACACCCAGACACACACCCAGAACACACACAGAACACACACACCCAGACACACACACAGACACACACACACACCCAGACACACACACGGAGAACACACACACACACAGAACACACACACCCAGACACACACACAGACACACACACACCCAGACACACACGGAGAACACACACACACAGACACACACACAGAACACACACACCCAGACACACACACAGACACACACACCCAGACACACACACGGAGAACACACACACACAGACACACACACAGAACACACACACACACGGAGAACACACACAGAACACACAGAACAGAACACAGCACACACACAGAGAACACAAAACACACAGACAGAGAACACAAACACACACAGAACACACACAGAACACAGCCCACACAGAGAACACAAACACACAGACAGAGAACACAAACACACACAGAACACACACAGAACACACACACACACAGAGAACACACACACAGAGAACACAAACACACACACACAGAGAACACAAACACACACAGAGAACACAAACACACACACAGAGAACACAAACACACACACAGAGAACACAAACACACAGAGAACACATACACACGGAGAACACACACACACAGAGAACACAAACACACAGAGAACACACACACACAGAGAACACAAACACACACACACAGAGAACACAAACACACACACACAGAACACACACACAGAACACAAACACACACAGAGAACACAAACACACACAGATAACACAAACACACAGAGAACACACAAACACAGAGAACACAAACAAACACAGAGAACACACACACACACAGAGAACACAAACACACAGAGAACACACACACAGAGAACACACACACACAGAGAACACACACACACAGAGAACACACACACACAGAGAACACAAACACACACACAGAGAACACAAACACACAGAACACCACAACACAAACACTGCAGGAAGCGCTTCGAGGTGCGTTCACGTAACTCCCCCCCCCGTCTCCCCCCTCCCATGGTTGTTGTTGTTGTTGCTGCGAAGGTGTGAGCAGGGCATTATGGTGCCCGCTCCCTACTGCTGTTCGTCCACCCACCGCATCACCCACGGCTCGGTGGGCGTGGGCCACGGCCTGGGCAACGTGCACGTCAACATCACGTGCGAGCCGGGCTACCACCCACCGCAGGAGACGCACGTGCTCTGCGTACACGGAGAGTGGCCCGCGGACAGAATCAAGTGCAACAAGGTCACAGGTGCGGTGGGGGTCAAGGTCACAGGTGCGGTGGGGGTCAAGGTCACAGGTGTGGTGGGGTCAATGTCACAGGTGCGGTGGGGAAAAGGTCACAGGTGTTGCGGGGTCAAGGTCACAGGTGTGGCGGGGTCAAGGTCACAGGTGTGGTGGGTCAAGGTCGCAGGTGTGGTGGGGTCAAGGTCACAGGTGTGGTGGGGACAAGGTCACAGGTTCGGTGGGGAAAAGGTCACAGGTGTGGCGGGGTCAAGGTCACAGGTGCGGTGGGGTCAAGGTCACAGGTGCGGTGGGGTCAAGGTCACATGTGTGGTGGGGTCAAGGTCACAGGTGAGGTGGGGGCAAGGTCACAGGTGCGGTGGGGTCAAGGTCACAGGTGTGGTGGGGACAAGGTCACAGTTGTGGTGGGGTCAAGGTCACAGGTGCGGTGGGGACAAGGTCACAGGTGTGGTGGGGGTCAAGGTCACAGATGTGGTGGGGTCAAGGTCACAGGTGCGGTGGGGAAAAGGTCACAGGTGTGGTGGGGTCAAGGTCACAGGTGTGGTGGGGACAAGGTCACAGGTGTGGTGGGGTCAAGGTCACAGATATGGTGGGGTCAAGGTCACAGATGCGGTGGGGACAAGGTCACAGGTGTGGGGGGGTCAAGGTCACAGGTGTGGTGGGGTCAAGGTCACAGGTGTGGTGGTGGGCGGTTTGGGGGTTGTTTTAATTGTTATTACACAATCAAGAAATAACCAAGAATATGTTATTACACACTTTTGATTTAACTCGCCCTGTTGTCCGCTTGTTGTACAATATACCTTCAGATCTACGAAGCCACTAACGAGCTGAAATGTTGCACACGCGGATTCGCGGTTGTCGCCTACAGCGTGACGATTCAAGATTTCATTTAAATAACCCGGGTCCAGTGTCCCGACGATCCCGGGCCCTCTTGGTGTTTTTGACCAAAATTTTGACCTTAATTTTGATCTTAATTTTGACCTACATTTTTTCAAATCTACATTGGAATTATCCAGACAATAAAATTAACTCTTGTTATTGTCTGGATAGAGATGTTAAAAATTAATATGGACGTATACAAATGAAAATTGTCAAGATTAACATGAAAAACAAATTTGGTCAACAACAAGTGTTTCAATGCGCACACTTTAATTTGCACTCAAAAGTAGAAAATTAATTATTTTCACGCCGGAATTCACCAAATGTTACGTGCTCAGCAAAAGCGGGCGGCTTGCATAAAGAAAATTAAATATACCGAAAGGTAACGACCCACAGGCAGACTGGGCATTTAGAGGCAGTCGCCCTCCAGCTACGGCGGAGGAGCGACGCTCACAGCGGCTCATCTCAGTCAGTTGACCCACGTGACCTCCCGCTGGACGCAAGCGCCTTCTAACCTCGCACCCGATGGCTTCAGCGTGCACCTAGCCTGGCGCGAGCGCCGCGGCGTCGCCCGTCACTCGGTGGTGAACGTCGGCGGCCGTTGTCGCTGCGTTTGTGCGTCCAGGCGAGCTGACGGAGAAGAAGTGCATGTGGGGACTGTGCATCGGACACACCAGGGACACAGCAGTCTTGGTCAACGAAGGTGCCGATTCTTCTCTTCTTCGCGTGATTATTAATCGACTAGCGGCCTACGGGATCCACGCCCGGGCTCTGATTCCAGCTGCTCGCTTTCGAGGCGATCGCCCGCAGCGGACACAAGTTCGCACAGAGAGCCATAGACTCAAGACGGAGACCCATAGAGACCCACAGACTCACACAGAGACCCATAGACTCACACGGAGACCCATAGAGACCGATAGACTCACACAGAGACCCATAGACTCAGACGGAGACCCATAGAGATCCATAGACTCACACAGAGACCCATAGACTCACACGGAGACCCATAGACTCACACGGAGAGCCATAGACTCAGACGGAGACCCATAGAGACCCATAGACTCACACAGACCCATAGAGACCCATAGACTCCCACAGAGACCATTAGACTCACACGGAGACCCATAGAGACCCATAGACTCACACGGAGACCCATAGAGACCCATAGACTCACACAGAGACCCATAGACTCACACGGAGACCCATAGACTCACACGGAGACCCATAGAGACCCAAAGACTCACACAGAGACCATTAGACTCACACGGAGATCCATAGAGACCCATAGACTCACACAGAGACCCATAGACTCACACGGAAGACCCATAGACTCACACAGAGACCCATAGAGACCCATAGACTCACACAGAGACCATTAGACTCACACGGAGACCCATAGAGACCCATAGACTCACACGGAGACCCATAGAGACCCATAGACTCACACAGAGACCCATAGACTCACCCGAAGACCCATAGAGACCCATAGACCCACACAGAGACCCATAGACTCACACAGAGACCCACAGAGACCCAGAGACTCACACGGAGACCCATAGAGACCCACAGACTCACACAGAGACCCATAGACTCACACGGAGACCCATAGAGACCCATAGACTCACACAGAGACCCATAGACTCACCCGAAGACCCATAGAGACCCATAGACCCACACAGAGACCCATAGACTCACACAGAGACCCATAGAGACCCATAGACTCACACAGAGACCCATAGACTCACCCGAAGACCCATAGAGACCCATAGACCCACACAGAGACCCATAGACTCACACAGAGACCCATAGACTCACACAGAGACCCACAGAGACCCAGCGACTCACACATACACCCAACGAGACCCATAGACTCGCATAGAGACCCATAGACTCGCATAGAGGATTACATAGACTGATCGACTCGCATAGAGACCCATAGACTCGCGTAGAGACCCATAGACACACACACACACACAGAGAGAACCATGAACTGGCAGTGGACACGAGTCCACGTGACGCGTGGCCGCGTCTACTCCTGGGGGGTGCAGAACACAAGGTGCTCAAGCTGACCGCTCCTCAGCAGCGCACCGCCGCGATCACCCTGAGCCCCGACCCCAAGCTCACCCAGTGTCTCTCCTTCACCTACGTCGCTCGCATGCCCTGGACTCTCAAGGTACCACACGCAGGCACACACCCACACACACACACGCAGAGTGTGTCAGTAGCAGACTCAATTCTAGATTTGAAGCTTTCGTGACTGCAAGGATCCATACTCTTTGGTTCTATTCGGTAAAGTCACGTAGGTAAAAATAAAATAACAAAAAATCACGACGTTTCGGTCACAAACACAAGTGGCCTTCATCAGGTGAAGTCCAGTCCCTTCACCTGATGAAGGACACTTGTGTTGTGGCCGAAACGTCGTGATTTTTTGGCCTTCATCAGGTGAAGTCCAGTCCCTTCACCTGATGAAGGCCACTTGTGTTGTGGCCGAAACGTCGTGATTTTTTTGTTATTTTATTTTTACCTACGTGACTTTACCGAATAGAACCAAAGAGTAGCAGACTCGCCACCCATCGCGACCCCCCCCCTTTCCTTCCACCCATGAATTGTCTAAAGGCCCCCCCCCACCCCAGCACTGCTCTGAGTGAAGCTGGCTGGACTAAGTACATTGTCAGTTTAACTCGTGGGAGGCTTTCGCGACCAATATTGTTCACGATAAAGGTTTTTTGGGTTAGATCGCGTTGTTTATAAATGTGTCGTAACCCTCCACCACCCGACACGGCCAATCAGCAAAAAAAGTTTCACGTTGACAAAAGACAAAATTAGTTCACTACTTTAGCCCTACACCGGTGTGTTGAAGAGTGAATCCACAACATTTACAGTTTTTGAGTACGACGTTTCGCTGGTAATTACATCCAGCATCATCATCGGGCAATTCGCCAGAATGGTAAAGCCCTCTCCACTTGCTCCCGGTCTTAAATAGAGCAGCAGCAGGGTGACGTCATCATTTAACTCATTTCAAGTGCAGTGATTAGAGGCGGAGGGGGGAGTATTGTAATTATATAATCGATTGGTAATCAGTCAATGGTTATGATTAGTAATGAGTTGTAGATTAGTAATTAGTTGTAATGTGTGTTAATGCGAATAAGTACATTGTGATGCGGTACTCAGAGAGACTGATGATCCGCATGCGTGTGTGTCCAACTATTAAACCATTTTTGGTTATTTTTTTTAAACAGGTAAAGCCCCAGTGAGCTGTGGTAGCGACCTGTCTACCACGAATGATTGCTCGACGAAGTGGCTTGGTCACGTGGACACTTGTAGCAGCAAAATACCCTAAACGCACGATTCTCAATGTGAGGGGAAAAACCGGAGGACCCGGAGCTAAATCCACACAACCACGGGGAGAGACAAACTCCAAATATACAGCAGCAGCAGGCATCAGGGTTGGGATCGAACCGACGGCCTCCTGTATACCAGGCGAGGTAGTTAACATCTCCTAGCCACCGTGATGATGATGAGAGAGAGACACGCAAACTCCAAATATACAGCAGCAGGCGTCAGGGTCGAGATCGAACCCACGGCTTCCTGTATACCAGGCGAGGTAGTCAACATCTCGCCACAGAAGCACCCCGGTGTGGGGAACAGTAGTGTGGCTACCCGGGTTCGATTCCCGCACACGGCCAATACCAGTAACGATCATGTGGACAGGTCCTGGGCCTCCCCTAGGTCGACTCAGCCCTCAAATGAGTACCCGGTGCGATGTGTAAACATCGTTACTAGGTAGAGGAAAGGCTGTCGGGCGCGGCGCTGGCCACCCGCCCCTTTTGTGTGCCGTGCCGGCCTTCATAGGTGCTGCTGCTCGCTAACAGAACTTGGCCCCAACAGTCTGTTAAAGGCTGCACGGGCGATCTTTGTCTTTGTGCGTGTGTGTAGTTGGGTAAGTCCGGTGATGCCACACCCCTCGTGAGTCTGGCTGGATCTGCTGGATATGGAGGCAGTATCACTGCCCTGGAGCCCCAAACCACCGAGGTGTGACTTCAGTAATATATACATCTCCATATATATCACAATTTATTTACAACTGCTTTTTGTGTTTAGTTTTCTCCTTCCCACGCACACTCCGATGAGCATTGTGGGCTACGTATGGTGCGAAAGAAGTTCAGCATACATACACATATACATCGTACCTCGCCAAACTTTATCGTTAGCACATTGTTTACGGGGACATTTTCGATTAACGCGTTTTTCGCTTAACGCGCCCACTCTTCAGGAACGCATCGACTAATGGCCCGTTAAACGGAGAATTGCTGGAACTTGAGGTCTTCCCAGGAAAGGAGAAACAGTTTCAATGCGTGATGTGTTCCTGGCTCGATGTGCGGAGGTCGAGATAGTTGTTTAAAGTATAAACTACTAAACAATTTGTTTTTATCTTATCAGGGAAGGCCCATTGAGCTATGTAGCTCTTTTTCAGAAAGCGACCTTGCCACAAATGATAGCTCAACGAAAATGGCTCATCACGTGGACATTTATGGCAGCCAAATATTCTTAAACGCGTGACGTCGATTCTCAATGCGGAGGGAAAAACCGGAGGCCCTGGAGAAAAATCCACGCGACCACAGGGAGAGCATGCAAACTCCAAATATACAGCAGCAGGCGTCAGGGTCTGGATCCAACCCACGACCTCCTGCATACCAGGCGAGGTAGTTAACATCTCCTAGCCATAGTGATGATGATGAGAGACATGCAAACTCCAAATACACAGCAGGCGTCAGGGTCTGGATCCAACCCACGACGTCCTGCAAACCAGGCGAGGTAGTTAACATCTCCTAGCCACCGTGATGATGATGAGAGAGACACGCAAACTCCAAATATACAGCAGGCGTCAGGGTCTGGATCCAACCCACGACCTCCTGCATACCAGGCGAGGTGGTTAACATCTCCTAGCCACCGTGGCGTTTACGGTTCGTGCTCGTATTCTCCCACGTGTGTGTGCGTAGGCACGTCTGGAGTTGAAGTTCCAGGACCTCATGATCCAGGCACTCGGTTTGCAGACGTGCAACCCGACAGAGATAAGCTTCGTTGGTACGTTCATGTGACAGTGAAAAAGAGAGATAAAGCGACATCTGTAATATTGTTAAACAGAGAGAGATAAATCGACATCTGTAATGTTGTTAAACAGAGATACAGGTCAAGCGATATCTGTAATATTGTTAAACAGAGAGAGGGGTAAAGCGATATCTGTAATATTGTTAAACAGAGAGAGAGAGATCAAGCGATATCTGTAATATGTTAAACAGAGAGTCAGGTCAAGCGATATCTGTAATATTGTTAAACAGAGAGAGGGGTAAAGCAATATCTGTAATATTGTTAAACAGAGAGAGAGAGATCTAGCGACATCTGTAATATGTTAAACAGAGAGTCAGGTCAAGCGACATCTGTAATATTGTTAAACAGAGAGAGAGATAAAGCGACATCTGTAATATTGTTAAACAGAGAGACAGGTCAAGCGATATCTGTAGCCAGCCCGGCGGTGCTGCTGCTGAGTCAGCAGCCGTGCACCTGCACTGCTGCCATTCATCATCAGCATCATCATCAGCAGCAGCATCAGCATCATCATCAGTAGCAGCATCGTCGTCATGGGCCGAATCGCGAGTTGAGCTGCGCGACGTTTTGGTCGCGCAGCTCAACTCGGTCGCTCGCCGCTTTGCGAGTGGACGAGGGATGCCGCCGCCGCCGCCTGCGAGATCGGTTCCAGCGAGGCAGGCGGCTCGGGATGAGGCCGCGTTCGAAGCCGACCGCTGTCGCCCGCTGTGTTTGTGTTGCAGGGTCCGATCCCAAAGACACGCAGGAACGCAAGGGTGAGATCTGTGTCCTGCACGCCGCCTCCTCCTTCTACACCTCCTCCTCCTACACCTCCTCCTCCTACACCTCCTCCTACACCTCCTCCTCCTACACCTCCTCCTACACCTCCTCCTCCTACACATCCTCCTTCTACACCTCCTTCTACACCTCCTCCTACACCTCCTCCTCCTACACCTCCTCCTCCTACACCTCCTCCTCCTACACCTCCTCCTTCTACACCTCTTCCTTCTACACCTCCTCCTACACCTCCTCCTCCTCCTCCTACACCTCCTCCTACACATCCTCCTGCTACACCCCCTACACCTCCTCCTCCTACACCTCCTCCTTCTACACCTCCTCCTTTTACACCTCCTCCTTCTACACCTCCTCCTTCTACACCTCCTCCTCCTCCTACACCTCCTCCTACACCTCCTCCTCCTACACCTCCTCCTCCTACACATCCTCCTTCTACACCTCCTACACCTCCTCCTCCTACACCTCCTCCTGCACCGCCTCCTCCCACACCTCCTTCTACACCGCCTCCTCCTACACCTCCTCCTCCTACACTCCCTCCTACACCTCCTCCTGCTTTCTCCTAGACCGCCAAAAACACACGTGCTTATTAGAAAGCACGTGGTTTTAGACGCGGCAGACGAAAAGTGGCAAAGGTTTCGGCCACACGTTTCGCACAGGGGTCAAACACAGGGGTCAACACAGGGGTCAATCACAGGGGTCAAACACAGGGGTCAAACACAGGCATCAAACACAGGGGTCAAATACAGGCTTCATATCTGCCCTTCGTCAGGAGCTCGCATGACTGAGCCCATCCCACTGACACGGCCGATAAATCACAAGCTCCATCTTCTGCGCACGCACGCACGTTGAACTTCTTTCGCGCCGTACGGAGCCAACCGTGCTTATCGGAGGTGCGGGGCGTGTGACAACAACACTAAACGCGCGCACAAAAAGCAGCTCTGAAGTGATAAGTTTTCAATCGAGGTGATGTTAAGAAAAAAAGGGCGTTTCGCTCCTGCCATGCATTCGCAGGGTCTCAGCCCAGCTGACGAAAGACAGATACTGTATGTAAATGACTAAGCAGTGTGTTTGGTCCCTGTCCGGAACGTCGGGAGCAACTCTCACCACCTTTCCTCACCTCCGCCCGGCGTTTCCCACCGCAGAACTGTCTTGCAGCGCTACTTTTAATCACATACGTGGTTTACATGTTGTTTATATGTCGGTTACATGTTGGGTGTGTGTGCGTTGTGGGGGGCGAGGGGGGGGTGGACACATTGGTTAGCGAGCTATGAACCCGGCCACACGGGTTCCATTCCCGCTCACGACCACCAATACCGGTGACGATTATCTGAACCGTCCCCTGGGTCGCCCCTAGGTCGACTCAGCCTCAAATGATTACCCGGCGCGGCGTGTAGACGTCGTCACTGGGGAGACAAAGGCGGTCGGGCGTGGTGCTGGCCACCCACCCGCACGTGTGCCGTGCCGGCCTTCATAGGTGCTGCTTTCACAGCACTTGACCCAAATAGTCTGTTGAAGGCTATACGGGGGATCTTTGTCTTTGTGTTGTAGAGTGGATGACGTGTGTGTGTGTGTGTCAGTCAACCCACTGCACCCGGGTCTGTCCGGTGACCTCCTTCATGTCGTCTTAAAATGCGCATAGCCTGGCACAAGCGCCATGGTGACGTTGTTGTTGTTGTTGCAGTTTGGGTCGTGAGATGTCTCCCTAAAGAGTTGTGTTTCTGTCACAGCCCCTGGCCCGCAGCCTCCATCCTCCCCGGCGGCCCAGCTACCCCACCCGGCTCACCCAGGTAGCCGCTTCACGCCACACCCCCCCCCCCCACCCCACAAGCGAAAGGCCACTGTCAAGAGACGTTTCGTTCTAAGCGAGTTGCTATGCCTTTGAGAGTTGGTGAATTGCAGATGCACCCACCCACTCGCTCGCCCACCCATCCACTCACTCACTCACCCACTCACTGATTCGCTTACCCACCCACCCACTTCCTCGTTCACCCAGGCCAGCTGTTAAGATATTGTAGTTCGAAGCAAATTAGCCATGCGGTTTGCTATGCCTCTGAGAGTTGGTGAATTGCAGAGCACCCACCCACTAATTTCCTCACTCACTCACTCACCTATCCAGTGCCGGATTAAGGCACGGGGCTTTAGGGGCTGCTGGCCAGGGGGCCTCCGTCAGCTGGAGGGCCTCCAGAGATGAAGTGAAATGTTATTTAATTTGTGAATGCTGACTTGTATTTGTTGTTGTTAGCCTTGTAAAAAATAAATGTAGTTTTTCTTTAACTTTGTTTTACTTTTGCAAATATTACTGGGGGCCTCACAGATACCTGTAGCCCAGGGGGCCGACACAATCTTAATCCGGCCCTGCACCCACCCAGGGTTTTTGTTTGCTAAATAGGCATACGAATTAGTCACTCAATGTGAGTAGTTACGCTTGTTGAATGTGATGCGAGGAATTGTGGCGTCGTCCGATTTTGCGCGATATTATCACTGGCTGGGTTCTTTTTTTTCATTTCAACGTCACCAAATTATTGTGACCCCCCCCCCACTCAAGATTCGTTTGCTCGAGTGGGAAACGGGAGGGGTCGGGTGGCGAATACATGCAATGTCTACACGTTGTTCACAACGTTGTTTGCGCGTTGTTTACAACGTCGTTGACATGCTGTTGTGTGTGTTGCGTTTCGTATGGGGAGCGGGTAGAGGAGGAGTCAGTGCACTCTGCTACCGACCCGAGTTCGATTCCCGCTCGTGACTACCAATAACTAGTGGAAAATATCTGAACCAGCCCAGGGCACCCCTGAGGTTGACTCTGCCTTCAATGGGCACATGGCGCCGCGTGTGAACGTCAGCACTGGGGAGACAAAGGCGGCCGGGCGCGGTGTTGGCCACCCACCCGCTCGTGTGACGTGCCGCCCTTCGTAGGTGCTACTCGCCGCTGACAGCACTTGCCCCAACAGTCTGTTGCAGGCTATACGGGGGATCTTTGTCTTGTCCAGTTGGGTTGTAGCATGTCCCCCTCAATCCAGTGGTTCTTAACCTTCATGCTGCAGCCTTGCCGCGCCAATTTGGTTCTCAATCTTACAAAAAAAAACACGTTTAGAATGTTTATAAATACATAGGATATGACGAAACAAAGTTGTGTTTAAGATGATTAACCTTAGAAGAAAAAAAAACCTGGCCACGTCTCGCACCCTCCAGAAAGGGGCACCTCGCTACCCTAGGGGGTGCAGCCAGTACCCCAGGTGTAGAACCACCGGTGTCGAGTCTCCGGTGCGTGCGCGCGTCACGTTTTCATCCGCGGTGGTGGCGTAGCGGTCAGCGCTGCGCTCACGAACCCGGCGACCCGAGTTCCATTTCCCGCTCACGGCCACCCAACGCCCGGTGACGATTGATCTTGCAACCGGTCCTAAAGCGTCGCGTTTCTAAATTTTGATTTAAAGCTTTCGTGACTGCAGTAATTCATATTCTTAGTTCTTTCGGTAAAGTCACGTTGAAGGGAAACAACAAAATAATAAAATATATAAAAGCAATATTTTTATAGTTTTATATATATTTTATTATTTTGTTGTTTCCCTTCAACGTGACTTTACCGAAAGAACTGAGAATACGTTGCGTTTCTGTCGCAGGGCCTGGCGTGCAGTCCCCGTCCTCCCCGGGGGCCCGTCCGCCCCACCAGGCTCACGCAGGTAGCCGCTTCCGCGCCAACCTCCCCACAGAGAGTTTGAGCGACGGACGGTGATTTTGTGTGGCCAGTCAAGGGGGGGGGGGGGGCGATTAGGGCAGTGGTTCTTAAACCTGGGGTGCACGCTGCACCGTCTGGGGGAGCGAAGATGCCTTTTCTGGGGGTGCGAGACACGGCCAGATTGTTTTGAGGCTATACGGGGGATCTTTGTCTTTGATAGGTGATCCTCGCTAACGGCACTTGCCCCAATAATATGTTAAAGGCTATACGGGGGATCTTTGTCTTTGATAGGTGATCCTCGCTTACAGCACTTGCCCCAATAATATGTTAAAGGCTACACGGGGGATCTTTGTCTTTGATAGGTGATCCTCGCTAACAGCACTTGCCCCAACAGTCTGTTAGAGGCTATATGGGGATCTTTGTCTTTGATAGGTGCTACTCGCTAACAGCACTTGCCCCAATAATATGTTAAAGGCTATACGGGGGATCTTTGTCTTTGATAGGTGCTACTCGCTAACAGCACTTGCCCCAATAATATGTTAAAGGCTATACGGGGGATCTTTGTCTTTGATAGGTGCTCCTCGCTAACGGCACTTGCCCCAATAATATGTTAAAGGCTATACGGGGGATCTTTGTCTTTGATAGGTGATCCTCGCTTACAGCACTTGCCCCAATAATATGTTAAAGGCTACACGGGGGATCTTTATCTTTGATAGGTGCTACTCGCTAACAGCACTTGCCCCAACAGTCTGTTAGAGGCTATATGGGGATCTTTATCTTTGATAGGTGCTACTCGCTAACAGCACTTGCCCCAATAATATGTTAAAGGCTATACGGGGGATCTTTGTCTTTGATAGGTGCTACTCGCTAACAGCACTTGCCCCAATAATATGTTAAAGGCTATACGGGGGATCTTTGTCTTTGATAGGTGCTCCTCGCTAACAGCACTTGCCCCAATAATATGTTAAAGGCTATACGGGGGATCTTTGTCTTTGATAGGTGCTCCTCGCTAACAGCACTTGCCCCAATAATATGTTAAAGGCTACACGGGGGATCTTTATCTTTGATAGGTGCTACTCGCTAACAGCACTTGCCCCAACAGTCTGTTAGAGGCTATATGGGGATCTTTGTCTTTGATAGGTGCTACTCGCTAAAAGGACTTGCCCCAATAACCTGTTAAAGGCTATATGGGGGATCTTTATCTTTGATAGGTGCTACTCGCTAACAGCACTTGCCCCAACAGTCTGTTCGAGGCTATGCGGGCGAATCGTTGTCTACGTGCGCAGACGGCAAGAACAAAGGCTGCCAGGTTCCCGAGGTGTTCAAGCTCACCGTGACGCCAACGCAGGCCGAGTACAAGCCGGGCGACAGGGCCGTGTTCCGGTGCGCCGACGGTCTGTACCCGTTGCCGTGGGGCAGCGTGTGCCTGCCCTCCGGCCACTGGGAGTCCATCACGCAGTGCGTGGGTGAGTGAGCGGCCGGGCGAGCGACGGACCGCCGGACCCCCCGCACGCTCGCTCGGTGCCGGGAGGCTTCGCGATCGGAGTTCAAGTGCAGGTTGGGGGGGGGGGGGTCGATCGGCCGCATCGTCGTCCACCTGCGGAACTCTCCGTGCCGGGGCTCTTGGGGGTCTGTCAGAAGGACGTGCGTGCGTTCGTACGTACGTACGTTGAACTTATTTTCTCGCCGTACGAAGCCAACCGTGCTCATCGGAGGTGCCGGGGAAAAGAACAACAAACTAAAAAACACAAAAAAGCAGGTCTAAAGAAATGAAGTTATCGATGCGGTTGATTTAAAAGTGCGCACCTACTGCTGGTTTCCTCCTATCGGAAGGAAGAGCGTTCCAGACGGCCACAGAAGACGTGCCAACCGTCAAGTCATCCCATCGATTAGCGCGGTTGGCTGCGTAGGGTGCGAAAGAAGTTCCGCATACATCGGCGGTCGGAGGGACGTGTGTTTCAAAAGTAGGAAGGCCCATGCGTGGAGCCCTGTGGTTACACCAGCGAGGCGTCTCCCCCCCCATCGTGAGGTTGATCGGGATTTGACCTTGTGCCCCCATCCCTCCCCGTGACTTCTTCTGTCGCGTGGATATGAGTTGACGGTCGATCTGAACCGGCCCTGGGCCTCCCCTAGGTCGACTCGGCCTCAAGCGAGTACCCGGTGCGGTGTGCGTTGAACATCACCACGAGGGAGACAAAGGCGGCCGGGCGTGCTGCTGCTGCTGCTGCTGCCGCCGTCGTCGTTGGCCGCCCACCCCCTCGGGGCCTGCTCGCCAACAGCACTTGCCCCGACACTCTATTAAGGCTGCGCGATGGATCTTTGTCTCTGTGCGCGCGTGCAGACCGCCCGGTGTGCGTGCTTCCCAAGCCGCCGGCGCAGGTCGCCCTGGCGGAGAGGTCGCCGCAGCCGGTGTACCAGCCGGGCGACAGCCTCACGTACTCCTGCGGCGCCGGCTGGAAGCTGCCGCCCGTCGCGGGGCGTCCGCAGCCGATCAACGACGCCGTGCAGTGCGCCGCGGGGCGCTGGGGGGACTTCAAGTGCGTGCGCGCCTAGCGGGGGTCGAACCACGCCACCGCCACCGCCGCCGCCGCCTATGCCCACCTACCGCCGCCGCCTACCCCAACCTACCGCCGCCTACCCCCGCCTACCCCTGCATACACTCCCCTACACCAGCCTACCGCCGCCTGCTACCGCCTACCGCTGCCGACACCCGCCTACCCCCGCCTACCAGCATCTGGCACCACCTACGACTGCCTACCCCCGCCTACCCCTGCCAACCCCCACCTACCGCTGCCTACACCCCCTACCCCCGCCTACTGCTGCCTACCCCCACCTACCCCTGCCTACCCCTGCCTACCGCACACTATACCCACCTACACCTGCCTACCCCCCCCCCCCTTCTGCTGCCTACCCCGCAAACACTCAACGCGTCCGTCAGTCACTTCACCGCGCGTGTGGCCTGAAAAGGAAAAAAGTATGTATAATAGGCGACGTTTCGGGCAAACGGCTCTTCGCAGCACATAACTAGAGAGACCGCAGATATCGAGTGGGTACGAGTAAGGTGGCTTCTCTGTTTATGTGCTATGAAAGAAGGGGAGTTGCCTGAAACGTCGGCTGTTATATGTTTTCCCCTTCTAAGGCCACACACGCATAAGGCGTTGCAGTGACCTTTGACATAAAAAAAATACCAAACTACAAACTATTTTTTTTTAAACGTATCAGGTAAGGGCCTACCGAGCTATGTAGCTCTTTTTTTTAGAAAGGCGACCTGGCCACGAATGGATAGCCCAACGAAGTGGCTTCTCGTCGGCATTTGGACATTCGAGGCAGCCGAAGACTCTAGAAGCGTGACGTCGATTCTCAACGTGGAGGGAAAAAACCGGAGGACCTGGAGATAAATTGACGTGACCATGGGGAGAGAGAGAGAGAGAGCCACGCACACACACAAACTCCAAATATACAGCAGCAGCAGCAGGCATATTGAGGGTCGGGATCGAACCCACGACCTCCTGTAGAACATGCGAGGTAGTTAACATCTCCTAGCCACCGTGATGATGATGAGAGAGAGAGACACACAAACTCCAAATATACAGCAGCAGGCATATTGAGGGTCGGGATCGAACCCACGACCTCCTGTATACCGAGAGAGGTAGTTTAACATCTCCTAGCCATGGTGGTGCCCGACCTCACGGAGCTGACTGCGAGCCACCCACCCCGCTTTGAGTAACGTCGCGTTCAAAGGAGACGGATGACTTTGGCGTAATTGAAAATGCGTCCAATTAGACTGGTGAATCCAACACACGCCCGACACACCGCTACAATGCAGAGTGATTTCACTTCGTTGTTGTCTTTACAAAGACGGTCTCCGTGCTAAAGAAGATGTTTTCATGAGGCGGTTGAGCTTCATCTGCAAAATAAACGTGAACGCCAACACGAATCATCGCGTCGTCGTCGTCTTTGCGATGTTGCGAACGCCTTCACTCCGTGCAGGCAGCACCGTATAGAGCAATGGCCCTGTTTGGTTCTTTCGGTAAAGTCACGGTAAAGTCACGTGGGCATTGCAGTCACGAAAGCTTCAAATCAAGATAGAGTAGTGGTCCTTTAACCTTTTACTGCTGCAGCCTTGGGGAGACAAAGGTGACCGGGCGAGGCGCTGACCACCCACCCACCTTGTGTGCCACTGTGCCGGCCTTCATAGGTGCTGCTACTCGCTGACAGCGCTTGCCACAACAGTCCGTTCAATGCTCTACGGGGGCATCTTTGTCTTGCGCAGTTCGGTTTTGTGATTTCCCCCCTAGAGCACGGGTGGGGAACTTTTTTTTCTGCCAAGGGCCATTTGGATATTTATAACATCGTTCGCGGGGCCGTACAACATAATCAACTTAAAAATTAGCCCGTTATATTTGATCAAACATTTCATTGACTCACCCCTAATGCGATGGCTGGCACTGCTTCTCTTTGGCGAGGCGTGGCGGTGATGTTAGCCGGTATTGATGATGTTGTTGCCACTCGCAACTGCTTTTCCAGGTTTGCTCTCCTAGATTTGTTGAATTTCGAGTCCCGCCTGCGGTTGCCTTGGCAGGGCCAGAGACCAAATGATTTCGCGGTGCCTTATACGGCCCGCGGGCCGGACGTTCCCCACCCCTGCCCTAGAGCAGTGAGTAGATCTTAACCTTTGACTGCAGCCTTGCACCCCCTTTTGGTTCTCAACTGTTAAAACAATGGTAATAAATACAACGCGTTTGATGAAACAATCAAAGTTAAACTCACGTGTCCGTTGCTTAATTTGTGTTTTTGATTTAGCTTCTTTAAAAAAAAATCTCGCATCCCCCCCCCCCCCCCAGAATGGGCATCTTGCACCCACAAAGGGATCATAGGTGTCAACCCACATGGCTCACTCCGTGTTCGTGTTGCAGGGAAATCGAGTTGTCAGGTCCACACGGCGTACAGCCGTTCCAATACGGGCACATTTTTGTTTATATATTTTTTGGTCTATTTGTGTTTCTCCCTTGTGATGGGACTTTGGAGGGTGAACGTTGAGATTGATAAGGGGCACGGGGTGACCAATAAGGTTTTGAATTGGTCTGTTGTATATATTGTGATTTGAAAAAAAACATAAATTAAATATGTTGTCTAGGTGTATGTATCACCAATCGTGATAATATCAATGATTCTCGCTTCAACATTTATGATTCTCTCTTTAACAATGATGTGTGTAACTATATTAGGTCTCGGGATTCAGACCTCACCGCAGGATACAGTTCGTCATTACGGCAATAATGCACGAGTTTAGGAAACAAGCACTCGGGAAACCTGTTTTTAATCTAAGCAACTTTAATCTCAACTTACCTTAACATCAAACTCGTATTAGAATCCTAGATTTGAAGTTTTCGTGACTGCAAGGATCTTTGGTTCTTTCGGTAAAGTCACGTGGGTGAAAAGTAAGTAATTAATTAAATAAAATCGCGACGTCATCAGGTGTGGGACAACCACAGCAAGAAAACAATTGCTAAAGTGGTCAATTGCTAAAGTGGTCAAGTCTTGCTAAAGTGGTCAAGACTTGACCACTTTAGCAATTGTTTTCTTGCTGTGGTTGTCCCACCTGATGACGGGCGCTTGTGTTGTGCCCGAAACGTCGTGATTTTTATTTTTTTACTCTTATTAGAATACCGACAACAGTTTCCATGCAAATATACGTGGTCATCAATGCGTACTGGATGGTCGTAAAAGCATCAATATTGGTGTATAACTCAAATCTCCACTTAACTTTGCAAGCGTCTTAGCTGATCACAGTATTATATGGAAATGCATTCGCACGCCACTTAGCTTCTCACAACGCCTAGCTTAGTACAGCACAACTTCTCCAAGTCCGTTCTTGACTATGCGAGTGACTCAAAACATGAGGAAAAACGTCGAATAAAACTTTCAGCGAAGCTCAAGAGTCTGTCAGCGCAGAACTCAATACGTACTGTAGCAACACAGAGAGCCCTTTGCCGTTGCAAGACTCTTGCCACTTGGCTGGTTATGGGTGCCAGTCCCGGAGTTTGCCTCAACAAGACTGACTTGCGTGATTTTGGGGTGCTGTTTATATAGGGATTTCTAGCTTGTGCGATCAATTACCTAAGATACATTATGGCCCAACGTTCTCCTCCCATCTTTATACACACGTGGCACATCCACCAGGTCAGAGTTCATCCCTGGCTCTGGCTACACAGACATTCAGGCGCCTGATGTCATCACCCCCATCAAACTCCCTCCCTCTGGAGGTCATCCCACGATTTGTGTGGGCACAGACCCACTTAATTGTCCCTAGGTGTGGTGTGTGTGTGTGTCTGTAGTGGGGAGCGATAGTGTAGCGGTTAGCGCGCTGCGCTATGAACCTGGCCACCCGGGTTCGATTCCCGCTCACGGCCAACACCAGTGACGATTATCTGAACCGTTCCCGGGCCTCCCCTAGGTCGAGTCATCCTCAAATGAGTACCTGGTGCGGTGTGTAAACATCGCCACTAGGGAGACAAAGGCGGTCGGGCGTGGTGCTGGCCACCCACCCCCTCGTGTACCGTTCCGGCCTTCATAGGTGCTCGCTGACAGCACTTGCCCCTACAGTCTGTTACAGGCTATATGGGGGATCTTTGTCTTTGTAGTCATTGTGAAACGGCCTTTCTCGCTCTGGGTGTTCATGTATAAGTTTATCCCTTCTCCTATTGAGCCTGGTTAGCCGAGTTCCAGTCCCACTCACAACCTGCTGGGTATTTCTAGCTTATTTAATGAATCTCCGAAGACATCAAGGCCCGAAGCTTCTCCCACCTTTGCCCACGTGGTGCATCCATCGGGTCAGCCTGAGTTCATCCCTGGTTCTGGCTCCGAAGACATCCTGGCACCTGATGTCATCACGCCCTATAAACTCCCTCCAGAGGTCATCCCACAATTTGTGTAGGTGTAGTGACATAAAATGAGTCACTAGAATGCGTGGCATGGGATGCTCGAAGAGATGAGGACTATGGGTATAGTAGCCCGGTCTGCCAGTGAGACACATGGGCAGAGCCTGGAACCTCCTAGTGGGATCCAGAGGGGGGCGTGGCCGAGGGCGGAGCCAGGCCACGCCAGGGAGGATAAAAGGGAGGCTCCGACACTCAGTCGAGGCTGCTGCCCTCGTCCTCGTCTTTACATCCTCGGCGTCGCTGGTCGGATAGTGTACGGACCGTGGGTAGATATCCCCTGTGACTATATGGAACGGAATAAAGGATGTGCCTCCAACTCTTAGTGTGTCCAGATTAATACACTACATAGGCACAAACCCACTTAATTGCCCCAGGTGTGGTATGTGTGTCTGTAGCCATGCTCATTGCGAAACGGACTTCCCTCTCTCTTTACGTCGACTCATCCTTAAAATGAATTCCTGCTGCAGTATGCAATGATAGCCACTGGGAAGACAAAGGCGGTCGGGCAGGCTCTGGTTATACCCCTGGAACATATTATTTTGGTCGTGCACAATTTACATAATCTGTATTATGTATATTTTCTGAATTATCCTTTGGTTCAATACTTCAATACAAAACTTACAAAATTCGTTATCAGGTTTATATGCTGAACCAAGATCTCATGACACTTACGTATGGATACGTGGATGTTAACAAAACATGCAACTAGTCGTATTCAAAACTCCCTATGTGCTGTATTGTCCCGTAACAATATATCCTATCACAAAAGTGAACGTTTAATATTATGATGTTTAAGAATATTCATATGCAGCGGTTGGCATTTGAACGTTTCTACTTTCCAGGCACCAGGGTTTGTTAATCCAGAGTTAAACGGCAAGTGGCTTTCTCGTCTCTTGTATTTTCCCTCGAGTCGGCAGCGAGTTTATGGTGTTTTGCCATGGGTCCTCCCTTGCTCACTCAGAAACTCCCCCAGGTCACTCCTTGCATTAGCATTCAGTTTTACCTGCTTATCACAGACCGTATGGCGTAACAGTAATCGTTAATAAAAATATACAAAATAGTCATATTAAACCTTTTGACCTGAGCGCCACATCATAAGATAACAGTACATTCTATCAAAGTGAGCGTTTAGCATCATGATGTCTAAGAATATTCATACGCAGTGGGTTGGCATTTGGAGGTTTTGACTTTCCAGGCACCAGGGCTTATTTAATTCAAAGAGTGAAGCGGCAAGTGGCTTTCTCGTCTCTTTGTCCTGTATTTGCCCTCGGGTGAGCAGCGAAATTATTGTGTTTTGCTATGGGTCCTCCACTTGTTCTCTCAGAAACTAATTGGGTCACTCCTTGCATTATATCACTGTGTAACAAAACATTTTTGTTCCTGGGTAGTAAGTGTTATTTCCTAATTGCTTACGGTATGCCTAAAAAGTACAGAAAATGGATATTATTTCCCACAAACCTTGATTTTGTGATCAGGACACAAAAGTAAAGTTAATCATCCACTCCATTAATAACACTGTGTATCAAAAACATGTTTTGGTCCTGGGTAGTAAGTATTATTTCCTAATTGCTTATGTCTCAAAAGTACAGAAAATGCCTATTATTCACCACAAACTTTGCTTTTGTGATCAGAACATTGGTATTTTGAAATGTACCTATTTTCAATGAGAAAACGAGCGAATTTGTGCCTTTCGTTCACATAAAGTCCTGGTCACAAAAGCAAAGTTTGTGGGGAATAATAGCAATTTTCTATACTTTGTAGGCATAATCAATAAAAAATGTACACTTAGTACCCAAGAACAAAAATTGTGTTACATAGTGAATTATCATTAAGTTATACCTGCTTATCACAGACCTATTGCGTAACAGTAATCGTCAATTAAATACGCAAAATAGTCACGTTAAACCTATTGACCTGAGCTACATCATCAAGTGGACGTTTAGCATCACGATGTCTAAGAATATTCATATGCCGCGGGTTGGCATTTGGAGGTCGCGACTTTCCGGGCACTGGGGCTTGTTTGATTCAGAGAGTGAAGCGGCAAGTGGCTTTTCTCGTCCCTTTGCCCTGCATTTGCCCTCGTGTGAGCAGCGAGTTTATTGTGTTTTGCCATGGGTCCTCCCTCCCTCGGGTGAAGGAATCAACTCTTACCCACCCCCCCCCCCGTGCAAGAGTTTGTTCCTTCACGGCCTGCCATGAACGTGCTCCTCCTTTGCCGCATGAGTTCGGTGAATTCCTGGGAAGCGAAATATTCGACGGCTTTGAGGCCCTCCCTCCTCAGCTCTGGTTATTCCCAAATCGTGGCCCATCCGTCCGAGCGATGCCACCTCCGTTCCCATTTGGCTCAGCTTTGGCTTCGTCATCTTTGGCATTTCCGACGACTTTCGGCATGCAGGGAACCACGCATTTGTCCTCCCAAGGAGCCGTGACATGAAACGTAGGCAATATCACACTTAATATATATTAAAAACAAAACATTTTCAGTGAAAAGGCACATACATATACACAACAGCACTGATAACGGGTTGACAGTCATGGGGAATGCGTGTACGGTGTACACCAGGTCAAGAACCACTGGTTTAGATTATCCTCCTCCAGTGCGCGTTGTTTGAAGCCGCTACGAACCCGGCGACCCGAGTTCGATTCCCCCCCCCCCCCCCTCGCCGCCCCCCCCTAGGTCGACTCAGCCTCAAAACAGTACTTGATGCGGCGGTGTGGGAAGACAAAGGCGGCCGGGCGTGGTGGTGTTGTTGTTATTGGCCACCATCCCGCTCGCTCTAACAGCACTTGGCCCAACAGTTGTGGATGCAAACTCATGCAGCCAGCTATGGCTCTAGGATTTGGTGTTACATGTTATTTAATGTAGTTTATTGCAAAAAAATTCGGTCACAGTCCCTGTGATCACTGTTACGTTGCAATTATGGCTTTATTTTTTGGTGATTTCGAAAACGTTTTTTTTGGTTTGGACATGTTTGTTTTGTTGTAGTACGGAGTTAGACTGATGGCCTTAATCTAAGTTTTCTTGTGGTTGTTGTTGCTTGACTTGCATCCCACTGGGATTTTTTTGCACACAGCGTTGGTGTACGGTGTTTTTTTTTCAGGAATATTTTGCTGGTTTTTTTTCATGGATTTTATGTTTGTACAGTCACACACAGTCACTTTAAGATGTTTTTCTTGTTCGTGTTTTTTTGTTTGTTTGTTTGTTGTGGTTGCACCCGATTCAAGAGCCGAATGGCTCACGGGGCTATACCAAAAAATAAAAAAATAAACTGAAAACTGAAAGTCTGTGGGAGGCTACACGGGGGAGCTTTGCCTTTGCCTCCTGGCCGCGCGCGTGACGCGGCGAGGTCGGGGAAAATGAGCGCGGTCCCTGGCAGAATCTCCCGCGCGCGCGCGCCCCCCGCCCTCCGCCCCCTGACCCCGCCCCCCGCCCCCTCCCGTCTCTTTGTTCGACGCGGCGCCTCCACTCCCACCGCCAAGAGACGCGCGGGAGGCCCGGCCCACCCCACCTCCGACACCGACGTTCGTGCCAGCTCGCCCTCGTCGAGACCTCATCGCGGCGTGATCTGAGCGCGAGGATCCGCGCTGCGTCCGATCTGGTGAGGGTCGGGCCTGGTGCTGGTGGTGGTGAGGGTAGGGCCTGGTGCCGGTGAGGGTAGGGCCTGGTGGTGGTGGTGAGGGTCGGGCCTGGTGGTGGTGGTGAGGGTAGGGCCTGGTGGTGGTGAGGGTAGGGCCTGGTGCTGGTGGTGGTGAGGGTAGGGCCTGGTGGTGGTGGTGGTGAGGGTAGGGCCTGGTGGTGGTGAGGGTCGGGCCTGGTGGTGGTGGTGAGGGTAGGGCCTGGTGGTGGTGAGGGTAGGGCCTGGTGCTGGTGGTGGTGAGGGTAGGGCCTGGTGGTGGTGGTGAGGGTAGGGCCTGGTGGTGGTGAGGGTAGGGCCTGGTGCTGGTGGTGGTGAGGGTAGGGCCTGGTGGTGGTGGTGGTGAGGGTAGGGCCTGATGGTGGTGGTGAGGGTCGGGCCTGTTGGTGGTGGTGAGGGTAGGGTCTGGTGGTGGTGGTGAGGGTCGGGCCTGGTGGTGATGAGGGTAGGGGCCTGGTGGTGGTGACGGTAGGACCTGGTGGTGGTGGTGAGAGTCGGGCCTGGTGGTGGTGAGGGTAGGACCTGGTGGTGGTGAGGGTCGGGCCTGGTGGTGAGGGTCAGGCCTGGTGGTGCTGGTGAGGGTCGGGCCTGGTGGTGGTGAGGGTCGGCCTGGTGGTGAGGGTCGGGCCTGGTGGTGGTGAGGGTCGGGCCTGGTGCTGGTGAGGGTTGGATCTCGTGGTGGTGAGGGTTGGGTCTTGTGAGGGTGGTGAGGTTTTGGCCTGGTCGTGGTGAGAGAAGGGTTTGGTGGTGCTGCTCAGGGTTGGCAAGGTCAGGGCCTGCATACAATGAGAACGAGGTGTGGTGATGATAGGATTTGGTGGTTGTGGGCTCTGCGTGGTGGTGATGGGGGACTCTGCGTGGTGGTGATGGGGGGCTCTGCGTGGTGGTGGTGGTGGTGATGGGGGACTCTGCGTGGTGGTGATGGGGGACTCTGCGTGGTGGTGATGGGGGGCTCTGCGTGGTGGTGGTGGTGGTGATGGGGGGCTCTGCATGGTGGTGGTGGTGGTGATGCGGGAAGGGTCTCCATTACTGGTCATAGGGCCCATGGCTACTCTCCCGTTCCATGTTGTCCTTCCCCCGCACCTCCGATGAGCACGGCTGGCTACGTCGGGTGTGAAAGAAGTTCAACGTACACATACATGTGCCGTGTTTTTACAACCACTGGCATCCGGGAACGCCTCTTGTGTTCCAACCGGGTTGGATTAAATCGTGTCAACGGCAAATTTCCTCTTAACGTGACATTTTTGACAATTGCCCCAGTTTATATGCTATGAAGACACGGGCCATTAGCCTAAACGTCGCCAATATTTTTTTCTTTTTTTCATTTTTCTTTTTAAGGTCACGTGGTGTTATTTGATGAACGTGTTGAGAGTTTGGTTTATTTAGGTGCTTGGTGACGGTTGTTTTTTACCTGCCAAAGTTTTTATTTTAACTTAAAGCATACCTGTTTAGCCTGGCATTCACAGATACAAACTAAATGTTACAAAAAAGGTATGGTTGTAGACTAACCTAATTACCATAACAATTTTAAAGTTTTAATAACTGACATACAGGGACCTTGGTTTTAAGAAAGCCGCCTTGAATTAAACACAATTTTACTGATCGAGTAACGGTTGTGCGCCCAGTGCTGTACAGTATTGCGCGTTCACCTTCTCCGCAGCGACCCGTCGCCACCATCACCACCAGCGTCGCCGCCATGGCTGCCGCCAGCGTTCTTACGGACGCGAGCGAAGACTTCCCCGGGTGGCTTCGGACGCACGGCGTCAGCGCCAACGTCGCCAGCGCCATCGGCTCGGAGCTGGGCATCCAGGACGGCTCGGTGCTGCGCGCCTGCGTCGGCGACGGCCGCATCAGGGCTGAGCTGCTGGCCGTGGCGCGCGACCGCCTGCCCTTCGGCTTCTACGCCGTGCTGCGCCAGGTGGTTGGCACCCTGCGGCGGTCGTCGGACGACGCCGGAGACGCCGGAGACGCCGGCTACGGCAGCGGCGGCGGCGGCGTGCGATCCGACGCGGCCCTCGGGGACCTTGTGGACGTTCTCGTCGCGCTCTTCAGCGGCCTCTGCCGCGAGCTGACGCTGACCGTGCGGAGGCTGGGCTCCATCGACGGGAGGGGCTACGCGGCCGGAGGGCCTTCCGACGACGCGGCCGATCTCAGCCCCGGGTACGGCGTCGCCGAACGGGATCACTCCGGAGAGAGCTTGCGCGACTACTCAAGGCACGGTGAGTTTATTGTCCGCCGAGGGCCTGTCAGAATCCTGGAGGAATCCGATGAGCTATGAAGCTCTTTCTCGCAGACGTTTATAACTGCCAGACCGCGGTGGCTACGCTGCTGCACGTGGCTGCCTGGAATCCACAGCGCTGTGGAGGGTCGGCGGCGGATCTTCGCACGAATGGCAAAGTGTTGCGAAACTCCCTTCCCGTGAGCGTCTACAAAAAAAGAGTTTATAGTTGACTCCTTAGTCTGCCACAGCCGCCATTGTGTCCTGTGCATTGCTGCTTCTCACCTGCTGCAGCGTGGTAGCACGAGCTTCTAGCACCAGCCAGGAGTCTCTCCGCGCGAAGCGCGCCTGGCAGCGTTCGAAGATATTTTGCTGCTATTGCCGAGCAAGGAAATGCGGCCTTGCCTACCAGTTATGATGGTTCACCGTACGTACGCACAGATTCGCCATTAGGTTGCTCACGTGGTTTTTGAACGTTTTATTTTTTCAAAGATATCACCGACGAGTATTCGAATGCCGAACTTCCAGCAAACGTGCAAGATCTGGAACTCGAAGACGATATGACGCTGCGCTCTGGTAAGCGGAACCGTCCCCGCTTCGACTCGGCGCTCATCCGTTGCCCACGTTCAACGAGAACAATTTGGCTTGTGCGCAGCGTCATTTACGCGGCTGCATCTCGCAGCTTGGCGCAATCCACAGCGCACACGGAGGTGCATGCACAGCGAATCGCCGTCTGACACGCGTTGGTTTCGCGCAGCGCGTTTTCGCTTCAACGCGTTTCGTTTTTTTTTTGTTTCCTTTCGTGGAACTTCAATGCGCCGAACTAACGCGCGGCTCCGCCCACCGCGACGCGAGTCTGACGCGGGGCGGACGACTTTTCGGAGCGGCGTTGGTGTTGCTGCCGTGTGTAGCCACTGCGTGGGGAGAGACACACAGGGGCCACACACTGCTGCTGTTTGTAGCGACTGCATGGGGAGACGCGCGATATCGGACAGTGTTATTCCGTCGCTATAGAAGGCCACTGGATTCGGAGGGTATTTTGACAGCGGAGATGGCGTTGAAAGGCGCGGTTCGCCCTCTTGTTGTTTTTTTTTATCCCTCCCCCCCCCCCCCCAGATGAAGTGGGCGAGCCTACGGACAGCAGCTCTGCCCACGGGCCTGCGTGGCGTGGCATTAAGATCGAGCACGATGACGGGTGTTCAGGTACTAAGATGGAGCACGGCGACGGGTGTTCAGGTACTAAGATGGAGCACGATGACGGGTGTTCAGGTACTAAGATGGAGCACGGCGACGGGTGTTCAGGTACTAAGATGGAGCACGGCGACGGGTGTTCAGGTACTGAGATGGAGCACGGCGACGGGTGTTCAGGTACTAAGATGGCGCACGATGACGGGTGTTCAGGTACTAAGATGGAGCACGGCGACGGGTGTTCAGGTACTGAGATGGAGCACGATGACGGGTGTTCAGGTACTAAGATGGAGCACGATGACGGGTGTTCAGGTACTAAGATGGAGCACGGCGACGGGTGTTCAGGTACTAAGATGGAGCACGGCGACGGGTGTTCAGGTACTAAGATGGAGCACGATGACGGGTGTTCAGGTACTAAGATGGAGCACGGCGACGGGTGTTCAGGTACTAAGATGGAGCACGGCGACGGGTGTTCAGGTACTGAGATGGAGCACGGCGACGGGTGTTCAGGTACTAAGATGGAGCACGGCGACGGGTGTTCAGGTACTAAGATGGCGCACGGCGACGGGTGTTCAGGTACTAAGATGGCGCACGGCGACGGGTGTTCAGGTACTGAGATGGAGCACGGCGACGGGTGTTCAGGTACTAAGATGGCGCACGGCGACGGGTGTTCAGGTACTAAGGTGGAGCACGGCGACGGGTGTTCAGGTACTAAGATGGCGCACGGCGACGGGTGTTCAGGTACTGAGATGGAGCACGGCGACGGGTATTCAGGTACTAAGATGGAGCACGGCGACGGGTGTTCAGGTACTAAGATGGAGCACGGCGACGGGTGTTCAGGTACTGAGATGGAGCACGGCGACGGGTGTTCAGGTACTGAGATGGAGCACGGCGACGGGTGTTCAGGTACTAAGATGGAGCACGGCGACGGGTGTTCAGCCTTTCTCCAGAGACAGCGCAAGTGGCCTTTCGTGATCTATGAAGTAGAAGAAGGGGGTCCTTGTCTGAACGTGCCCCCCCCCCCCCCCCCCATTCTGTATTGGTTCTGTTAAGGCCGCGTGCATGCTCGTTGTAATTGTTGACGAATGCGTTTGAGTTTTGTTGTTCATTGTGCTATTTTAGCATTTGCGTTGCCATGCCTTCTTTGCAATCGTAATCCTCACTTTCGTTGAACATTTAAAGGATAATTTCGTAATGTACTCTACATCACGTGATTTTCTGCCATTATTTTCCCTTCACTAGATTTATTTTTGCTTCGTGATTTCTCGCGACCCGTTTACGTACACGCCGCTTTCGCCAGGGAGCCGACGCTTTTGTTGATGAAACCCGATTCGTGAGCTTCTTGGCGCACAGGGTACTTAAATATATATATTTTTTATAAACTGACCTTGAAACTTGTGTGCACCACTGCCCGACTCGGCCAGCGGCAGCAACCGCATCATCCAGTTAATCTGTCTGACTACGTTCGAGCTGTTTTTTTCTTTTCAAATCGATCTCACTCCTGCAACAACGCCTCTCCGTGCCTTTTATCCGCGGGTGGGAGGGTCGTCTGACCATACTTCGCCGCACCGGTCCAGTGGCGGCAACACATTGCTGGTGTTAGCCAAGGACCTGGAATCAAGCTTGGACCCACCCCCCCCCCACCCCGTTCATAGCGCGGTAAGCTAACAAATGTCCCCCACTCCGGTCATTGCCAACTTTCTGTGCGGCTCCCAGGCGAGGTGCTGGACCCTGTGCACGGGACAGCGTGCGGCTGGAACGATGTAGACTCCGCGGAGGCGTCGTCTGCTTTCCCCGCTCAAAACCAAGACCGCCCAGGCAAGGCCCGTGTGTGCGCGTGTGTTGTAGTGCAACGGTTAGTGCGACGCGCTACGAACCCGGCGACCAGAGTTGGATTCCCGCTCACGGCCACTGGTGACGGTTATCCGAACCGGTCTTGGGCCTCCCCTAAAGGGTGACTCGGCCTCGAATGAGTAACTGGTGCGGTGTGTAGTAAACATCGCCACAGCCACAAGGGAGACAAAGGCGGCCGGGCGTGGTTTCTGGCCACCCACCCTCTCGTGCGCCGTGCCGGCCTTCACGGGTACTACTCTAACGGCACTTGCCCCAACAGTCTGTTAAGGCTGTACAGGGGGCTCTTTGCTTTTTCTCGTTCCCATGAACCTCCCTCTCCACTGTCTCCAATCGGTTCATCGATCGGAATCGCAAAGTTGGCGAGGCACAGACTGAGTGAGTGAGTGTCCTCGGGCGATGGCGATAGCGACTGCGTTGTGTAAGGCTGCGTCGAGGTCCGGGCTGGTGTCTCCGCTACTTTGGCGTCCCCATGTGGGGCCCCTGGCCCGGCCAATGTCTCGCTGTCTCCGCGTGGTTCCCTACCCCAGTGGATCTCTGAGTGGGGTCTATGCATGTCTTTGATGCGAGTCTATCGATGCTCTGTGTGAGCCTGTGGGTCTCCGTGTAAGTTTGTGGTTCTCTGTGTGGGTCTATGGGTTTATATGTGAGCCTATGGGTCTATATGTGATTCTGTGGGTCTCGGTGTGAAGTGCTATCTGCCACTGTCATTTCCGATCATTGCCCCAAACGAACTTACGCGCCTGTTGCTTTCAAAGTGTCATGCGACAGACAAATAAGAACATTACTATGTTTGGCGCTCTTGGCCGAATCCAGAAGAATCTAACCGAGCGCATCTTTTCTCCCCGCTCGCTTGGTCCAGAGATGGACGGACGTTCGGATTTCTTCATCCAGGGCGTGACTTCGCTACAAAGCGCGACAAAGCGACCGCTGCGGGCGGCAAGGATTAAGAGCTACGTCCAGTTACAGCAGCAACAGCAGCAGCAGCAGCTGCATCACCTGCAGCAGCAGCAACAGCAGCAGCAGCTGCATCACCTGCAGCAGCAGCAACAGCAGCAGCAGCAGCTGCATCACCTGCAACAGCAGCAGCATCAGCAGCAGCATCAGCAGCAGGCTTCCGAAGGCGTCGGCGGCATCGCGGCCTTGGGCGCGAGCGGCGCTGCCACCTTGAGTCCGCTGCAGCCGGGCCAATCGCGAGGGCAGGGGCCCGCGGCGAAGTGGTGCGCCGTGCTGCAGCGGGGCCGGCAGAACCACGGCAGCGCTACTCCCGGCGGCGGCGCCTCCTCCTCCTCCGCCGCCGCCGCCGCCGCCAAAAAGCCGTACGAGTGCCGGCAGTGCGGGCGGCAGTTCGCCAAGTCCATTTACCTGACGGTGCACATGCGCATACACACGGGCGAGAAGCCCCATGGCTGCGAGGTGTGCGGCCAGGCGTTCTCGCAGTACTCGACGTGGAAGCGCCACCTGCGCACGCACACGGGCGAGAAGCCCTACCGCTGCGACGTGTGCGGGCGCGCCTTCTCGCACTACACCAGCCTGACGAGCCACGTGCGGCGGCACACGGGCGAGAAACCCTACCGCTGCGACGTGTGCGGGCGCGCCTTCTCGCAGGGCTCGAGCATGAAGACGCACATGCGCACGCACTTGGTGAAGAAATCCTAAGCGGCGGTGGCGTTTGCGGTGGGTGGCTGGGTCCGCCCGACAGCGGGCCCCGGTCGGGACAGGGGAACGGTCGTTTAATCGGGCTGGACTACGAAACTCCTCTGGACGCATTGTTGGGTTAAATTTCACGTTGGGGGTTTTTTTGTTTAATTGTGAGACCCACCCCTCGTGCTTCCTTAAGGGGCTTCTTCGGGCTTCGTCCCCATTTCCCGCTGGCGGGTTTGGACGTGTCTCGTGTGGGCGACCGACCGGCGCGTTTTCGACGGAAGTTCCAACCGCCCTCGTCACCGACTCTCCCCGCCATCTTCCTGGGTCCCGCGCGCGGCTGACCTCCCTCTGCACCTGGAGCCAATGTGACCACGACAACCGCACTCCGTGCGTGCGGTTGTTAACGCGTGCGTGCCCCCCACGCCTGCCGACCGGACTCGACGCTGGTCTCAAGGTGGTCCACCGGGTGGACTCGCGCGGACTCAGATGGCTGCTGATGTAAAGCAGCCGTCTCTGCCTGGCTCGGGAAATTATGAACGCCGTGCGATGATTATAATGATAAAATGGAAATTCTCTGTACTCCGCTAAGATTTTATTGAACATTCCAATGGTGTCTGGAGAGCAGACATTTACATTTTCACTTTACCCGTGTTGATCATAGGTTTTTCCCCTTTTTTTCTGGCAACAAAACAGCTGTGTTATGATGTTAAAACACCAAGCTGAAACCTTTTACAAGGAATCATGTCTGCATTAACCACAATACTTGTGGTCAGAATGCAAACAAAAAACATACTCTGATAACATGATGCATTGTCCTTGAAACGGATTGGTCCACACCAGAGACAGCTTTCTTTTGAGCCTCGTCTCAAACGGTGTTAGACCAGAGGATGCCAAAAGGCGTATGCAAAAGAAAGCTGTCTCTGGTGTGGACCAATCAGTTTCAAAGACAATGCATATTTTATCAGAATGTTTTTTGCATTCTGACCACAAGTATTGTGGTTAATGCAGACATGATTCCTTGTATAAAGGTTTCAGTTTGGTGTTTTAACATCTTAACACAGCTGTTTTGTTGCCAGAAAAAAGGGGAAAAACCTATTATCATATTTTGGTACTGGCAAAGGAAGAGGGACCCATTATGATTTGCCTGTGTTATTAAACAATGCCTATAATGATTTAAAGCTTTCGTGACTGCAGGGATTCATATTCTTGGTTCTTTCGGTAAAGTCATGTAGAAGGGAAACAAAATTAATAAAAATATAAAACAACACAAAGCAGACCTAAAACACGGTAGGACCAACACCTCGGCCGTGGCAGATCACTGTTATAATTCAGTAAGCTCACATAACATTGACTTCTCCAAGACAGAGGTTCTGTGCAAGCCATCTGGCTACCATGAGAGATTCGTTCATTAGGCTATCCACATATACAAACACAGAGACAATTTCAACCAAGAAGATGGATTCTGGCTTAGCAATCATTGGAAGGATTTGATAAACCATTTCGGGTCTTAATTGATTGTTTGACGCTTACGGTGGCTTTCAGACCGCATCCATTATTTTCGTCTCCCCCCTCTTTTCCGAGCATAGATGGACTCGTCCATCTGAACAAACTGTCAAATCGCTCTCCGTGGTGCTAACGTTAAAAAAAACGCCACTTTTTTCAAATTTGCTTGCTGTGGTTTTCACACCTGATGATGATTGCTTGTGTTGCAGTCTAAACGTCGTGAGAATTTTATTGTCTTATATTTTTTTTATTGTATTGTTTCCCTTCTACGTGACTTTACCGAAAGAACCAAGAATATATCCCTATAATGCTTAATGCCAATGTGTTAATGAATAAACAATCATGAAGAGTAAATTATTATACCAACGTTTTGCATCGTTGGTGGTGTGTCATTGATTTTGAGATCTTAAAAAAATAACAATGTATAGCACAGTGCGAACAGGTGCGCAAGTTGTGCGGCTCTCTACACGTTCGGGTGTTTGCAGCCACTTAACCCTTTCCGACCCGATGACTTGCACGCACGTGAAGCTCTACTTCCGTATGCGTACGTCATCGGAACGGAACCGTGAAAAAAAAGATCAAATAACTTCGTCGGTACAGAGGCTCCCGCAAGGCCACGCGGGAGGGCGTCCGACACGGTTTGGCGCCAGCTCTCAAGAGTGTGGCGGTTGTGTCGCTACTGTTCTCTGTGGTGAGTAACAATGCCTTTATAAACAAGGGCCGTAGCTACGCCTCTAAATAAAATTAACGCCGGCCCGCTTGCGCATTCCGCGATGCAGCGGTGAACGGGGACACCCAACCTGCAACTTGCAGTCTCGGAACGGGAAAGATTTAATGGGGATTCGTGAGTGTTTTATACATGCAGGAGGGTGGCAGAGCACTCGGGAGAAAATCCACACGCAGATGGAACAGGGTGGAGTCCACCTTTGCTGGTACCGCCTTCTGGCAAGTCAGGGTTTTATGGCACTTCTTTGACGGAAGGGAGATGGACAATGTCTGTGCGGTGATACACCAACCCACGCTGCCTCCACAGTGCTGGGTTGCAGGCCACGTGTGCGGTCGCCGCCACCACCAACAGCCAGTTGTCGCTAATTGCTAGCCAATCGGTTGTTAGGTGAATAACGTCACGCGTTTAGAGTACAGTAAAACCTTGGGTTGCGAGCATAATTCGTTCCGGAAACGTGTTTGTAATCCAAAGCACTCGTATATCAAGGCACTCGTATATCAGTTGTGATCACGTGATGCTCGGCAGACAAAGCGTATACGTGCTACTCGTATTGCAAGACCTCGCTCGTTTATCAAATTAAGATTTATTTAAAATGTTTGCTCCATCTTGCAAAACACTCGCAGACCAAGTTACTCGCAATCCAAGGTTTTACTGTATTTGGCTGCTATGATGAGCTGCTTTGTTGAGCTATCATTTGTGGCCAGGTCACTTATGAAAAAGAGCTGTACAGCTCTGTGAGCCTTGCCTGATAAAATAAAAATACGGTCGATCATCGATTATTCGGCTTGCAAATATCCAGCGGTCCCGGGCCGCCGATCCGGCAAAACCGCTCCAAAGGCTGTAACCAGTCCGGCGATCAGCAGCACCACGTGAGTGTGACAAAATAAGTATCGTAATTTTTTTTTTTTTAAAACACGCTTTTATGAAATGTACGAGTAATGGAAGAACTCCACGACTCCAGGAAGTGGCCCCAAAGCTTGCCACGACGTAAAGGACCGTGGCCAATTACAGCCAACGTCAGTTTGCCGTGGATAATTAGACCCAAGCCGAAACATACAACATATAAAAATGATTGTTTCAAAATATATTTGTATTTTTTTATGATAGAATATCGTGTTGTCATCAGTATGACATAAGTATACCAAGTTTGCAGTCGATACCACTTTGGGAAGTGGGTTACAATTGAGTTACAATATTTGAGGATGCAACGACAACAACATACAGAGTGAGTTAAATGAAAGCGTGTAAAAATAACGAGTTAAATGAAAGCGTGTAAAAATAATGAGTTAAATGAACGCGTGTAAAAAGTACATATACACTGTGCAGTGGCATAATTCGGGTTGGTGTTACACAGTGCGGTAACTTGTGGTGTCACCTCCCATGGACCTCCTCCCGTACCAGACCATACAGAATCCTTAGTAATGTTTTTTTGTACTAATGTTATTCGTAAATCGTAATTCCCATATATCACTGAATGTAATGGTAGTGACATAAACAACTAGCAAAATGTAAATTACACCTTTAAATTACAATACCATACGCGCAGCCTAAATGTATTTACATAGTTTCACGTGGTTAAAGTGAACATTCTGGAAGAAAACAGAATTCGAAGTAAAAACGTTTAAGAACTTAATCAAAATTATGTTCATTTTAACATTACACTTTACCGTTACATGAGATACATTCATGGATTAGGTTTGCATAACATTAACACAATTTTTGTCTCTGGGTAGTAAGTGTTATTTCGTAATTGCTTATGCCTAAAAAGTATAGGAAATGGATATTATTCCCCACAAACTTTGCTTTTGTGACCAGGACAGTAAAATTTAGAAATGTAACTACTTTCAATGAGAAAACTGGCCAATTTGTGTCTTTTCGTTCGCGTATAATCAGACAAAAACAACACATGAATAAAAATTAACATGTATTTATACTAAATTAATACAAAAATGTTGACAAAAGATTAAGACACCAAGGCGTACTACATCACGGACGGGACTGGCCACAGCGGACCGAGTTCTCGATGGGCAGGAAGCATGGATACAGCAAGTGTTTTAAAGTGATTTCATTATTGCCTCTTTTGCTATCCTTTTGCTAGCATCCTCTTTGATGTATGCACTCCATGTGGCATGATAGAATATCCCTGCACAACAACAAAAAGACAAATGAGCAATAGTTGAAAAAAAAACATGAAGAATATGTAAATCTATTGGAAATGTTCGTTCAATCAAATGTTAATTTTAATGTGTCACTTTTTTAAAACCATAATTCAAACTTAAACCCTGAAAATTTCATTAAAATCAGATATATTTGCGAGACAGTGATGTTTTTAAAGAAAAGTAAAAGACTAAAATATTTTTTTAAGATTTAAGTTATTTCTAAACATGTATCAAGAAACATAGCATTCACCCCCACTTCGTGTTTTAAACTGTACATTTTAGTTATCAAACAAGTTATCAATAATTGTTCTTCATGTAAGTTTATTAACAATTTTAATCATAGAATAATGTGATAAATATCGTTGTAAATTGCTTAAATGTAATATTTCTTAGATTATATGAATACTAACAACAAACTTGTTTGGTAAAATATTCCCACACCGAATTACAACATTACGAGTTCAAATCTCAACGTCGCGTTATGTCGCGGCACGCCCTTCCGGACGGCTCTGCCGCACAAAGGGGCCGTCCATAAATGACGTCACGCACCTAGGGGGGGGGTGGAGTCAGACATTTGTGACGATGTGTGACGAGGGGGGGGGGGGTGAGAAATGTGACGTCACATCAAAATGGGCAACTTTAAATAAATATAGACAAACACGTTCTACTTAATTAAATAGACTTTGTAATAAATGTTTTCTCCTACAACAGAGTGCAGCGGCACATTAAATACGCACTACAATGGCAATAGTTTAAAGCGAAACACAAAGCGGCTGTGGCAGACTTAGGAGTGAACTCTAAACATCTTTTTAAAATTTCGATTTAAAGCTTTCGTGACTGCAAGGATGAATCTTCTTTGGTTGTTTCGGTAAAGTCACGTAGAATGAGAATAAAATAATAAAATAAAACAATAAAATTCCCACGACGTTTCGGCCACAACACAAGTAGCTGTCCTCAGGTGAAGAAACAGGACTCCTTATCAGTGCCCTACATTATTACAGACCAATTCAGACCGTATTGGTCACCCCGTGTCTTTTAAACATTTTAACGTTCATCCTACAAAGTCCCATCACAAGAGAGAAACACAGATGGACAAAACGTTGTTTTGTTCGTATTCAAACGGCTGTATGCCGCATGAATACGGGGTTATAATAAACCCATAAGAGTCGACAGCTGTGCGATTTAACCCAAAACCCTATGATTAATACTCTTTGGTTATTTCGGTAAAGTCAACTAGATAGAATAATAAAATAAAACAAAAAGTAATTATTAATAATTATTATTTTTTAATAACTATTTATTTGTTTTGTTTTATAAAATAATTGTTAATAAAGGTTATGGATTCCTGCAGTCACGAAAGCTTCAAATCAAGATGTATGATTAATAATTATAATTGCCTCCTTGAGAAGATGTATTCGGAGCGCATACATCTCGCTTTTTCTAATATCTTTAAAAAATAAATATTTCCGTGGAGAGGAACACATTTCCCCCTACTTATACCCCTCCTATAGCAACCACGTGCACCAGCGACTCTTAACTACACAATCCTGCGGAGGGAGCTGGTAGGAATGTTGGGTTGCTCGGTCAATGGCCAGGGTCAACGGCACCACGTGGTGTATTCCGCAAATATGCCCGACTGTGAGGGCGGGCACAAGCCGGCGTGAGTAGGTTAAACGTTGAGTTTTATAAGGGCACCACGGGGTGACCAGCCCCTCCCCACCCAGCCCCACCCCTCCCACCCAGCCCCACCCAGCCCCACCTTCCCCACCCTCCCCACCCAGCCCCTCCCCACCCAGCCCCACCCTCCCCACCCAGCCCCTCCCCACCCAGCCCCACCCTCCACACCCAGCCCCTCCCTACCCTCCCCTCTCCACCCAGCCCCTCCCCACCCAGCCCCTCCCCATCATCCCCTCTCCACCCAGCCCCACCCCTCCCATTTTTGGATGCACGACGGACGGACGGACACAATAATCCCCTGTGGGCTGGTGGTGTAACCAGGAGGTTCCTACACAGTACTACTGCCTTGTGAGAGGCGTGGTCCACTCTGCTCTACGCACACGAGGCGTCGGGTCGCTTTGACTTCGCCGAGCAAATGAGCGCGGTCCCTGGCGCCCGGAACCTCTTGCGCGCCCGGAACCTCTCGTGCGCCCGGAACCTCTAGTGCGTGCGTGCGCGCGCGAGAGGTTCATCGCGAACCCCGCGCGACCTCTTGGACGTGAAGCGGACAGAGCCGAGGTGAGCAGAACTACCTGGTTTAGTGGTGAGGGTGGTGGTGAGGGTAGGGCCTGGTGGTGGTGGTGAGGGTAGGGCCTGGTGGTGGTGGTGAGGGTAGGGCCTGGTGGTGGTGGTGAGGGTAGGGCCTGGTGGTGGTGGTGAGGGTAGGGCCTGGTGCTGGTGGTGAGGGTAGGGCCTGGTAGTGGTGAGGGTAGGGCCTGGTAGTGAGTGTAGGGCCTGGTGGTGAGGGTAGGGCCTGGTGGTGGTGAGGGTAGGGCCTGGTGGTGATGGTGAGGGTAGGTACTGGTGGTGGTGAGGGTAGGGACTGGTGATGGTGGTGAGAGTAGGGCCTGGTGGTGGTGAGGGTAGGGCCTGGTGGTGGTGAGGGTAGGGCCTGGTGGTGGTGAGGGTAGGGACTGGTGGTGAGGGTAGGGCCTGGTGGTGGTGGTGAGGGTAGGGACTGGTGGTGATGGTGAGGGTAGGGACTGGTGGTGGTAGTGAGTGTAGGGCCTGGTGGTGGTGAGGGTAGGGCCTGGTAGTGGTGAGGGTGGTGGTGGTGAGGGTAGGGCATGGTGGTGGTGAGGGTAGGGCCTGGTGGTGGTGGTGAGGGTAGGGCCTGGTGGTGGTGAGGGTAGGGCCTGGTGGTGGTGGTGGTGAGGGTGGTGGTGGTGAGGGTCGGGCCTGGTGCTGGTGAGGGTAGGGCCTGGTGGTGGTGGTGAGAGTAGGGCCTGGTGGTGCTGGTGAGGGTAGGGCCTGGTGGTGTTGAGGGTAGGGACTGGTGGTGGTGGTGAGGGTAGGGCCTGGTGGTGGTGGTGAGAGTAGGGCCTGGTGGTGGTGGTGAGAGTAGGGCCTGGTGGTGGTGAGGGTAGGGCCTGGTGGTGAGGGTGAGAGTAGGGCCTGGTGATGGTGGTGAGAGTAGGGCCTGGTGATGGTGGTGAGAGTAGGGCCTGGTGGTGGTGAGAGTAGGGCCTGGTGGTGGTGAGAGTAGGGCCTGGTGGTGAGGGTAGGGTCTGGTGGTGAGGGTAGGGCCTGGTGGTGAGGGTAGGGCCTGGTGGTGAGGGTAGGGCCTGGTGGTGGTGAGGGTAGGGCCTGGTGGTGGTGGTGAGAGTAGGGCCTGGTGGTGAGAGTAGGGCCTGGTGGTGGTGGTGAGAGTAGGGACTGGTGATGGTGGTGAGAGTAGGGCCTGGTGGTGGTGGTGAGAGTAGGGCCTGGTGGTGAGGGTGAGGGTAGGGCCTGGTGGTGAGGGTGAGGGTAGGGCCTGGTGGTGGTGGTGGTGAGAGTAGGGCCTGGTGGTGGTAGTGAGGGTAGGGCCTGGTGGTGGTGGTGAGAGTAGGGACTGGTGATGGTGGTGAGAGTAGGGTCTGGTGGTGGTGAGAGTAGGGCCTGGTGGTGATGGTGAGGGTAGGGCCTGGTGGTGATGGTGAGGGTAGGGCCTGGTGGTGGTGGTGGTGGTGAGGGTAGGGACTGGTGGTGATGGTGAGGGTAGGGACTGGTGATGGTGGTGAGAGTAGGGTCTGGTGGTGGTGAGAGTAGGGACTGGTGGTGATGGTGAGGGTAGGGTCTGGTGGTGAGGGTAGGGCCTGGTGGTGAGGGTGAGGGTAGGGCCTGGTGGTGGTGGTGAGAGTAGGGCCTGGTGGTGGTGGTGATGGTGAGAGTAGGGTCTGGTGGTGGTCAGGGCAGGGCCTAGTGGCGGTGAGGGTAGGGCCTGGTAGTGTTGAAGGTAGGGCTTTGTGTTGAAGGTAGGCGTCTGGTAGTGGTGGTAGTGGTGGGGGTAGGATCTGGTGGTGGTGAGCAAAGTGCTTCAAACGTGAAATAATTTTCGACAACTCACCTTTTAGGCCCTTTTTTGTGGAGCGTGATGTCAAAGCCAATAGAAAGCAAGTGAATGCCACGACCGGTTATAAATAACACGTAGCATAAAACTATTATCATGGAGATGTAAATACAAATGTAATAGTGAGAAAAAAACAAGCCAATAGTAATGTAAAAAGGCACGCCCTATCAAAGGCATCATCCTCTTATGTCAAGTTGCAGTTGTTAGGACCGAGAGTCGCAAGTTCAACTGCTGCGCAATGCATGTCGGTGGTTGTTCGGTGTCATTACCCAGCATTCCCATTCAGTACCCAGCATTCCCATTCATTACCCAGCATTCCCACGCATTACCCAGCATTCCCACTCATTACCCAGCATTCCAATGCATTACCCAGCATTCCCATTAATTACCCAACATTCCCATTCATTACCCAGAATTCCAATGCATTACCCAGCATTTCCACGCATTACCCAGCATTCCCATTAATTACCCAGCATTCCCACGCATTACCCAGCATTCCCACGCATTACCCAGCATTCCCATTCATTACCGAGCATTCCCATTCATTACCCAGAATTCCCACGCATTACCCAGCATTCCCATTCATTACCCAGCATTCCCACGCATTACCCAGCATTCCCATTAATTACCCAGCATTGCCATTCATTACCCAGCATTCCCACGCATTACCCAGCATTTCCATTCATTACCGAGCATTCCCACTCATTACCCAGAATTCCCACGCATTACCCAGCATTCCCATTCATTACCCAGCATTCCCACGCATTACCCAGCATTCCCACGCATTACCTAGCATTCCCATTCATTACCGAGCATTCCTACTCATTACCCAGAATTCCCATGCATTACCCAGAATTCTCATGCATTACCCAGTATTCCCATGCATTACCCAGCATTCCCATTCATTACCTAGCATTACCACGCATTACCCAGCATTCCCATTCATTACCCAGCATTCCCATTCATTCCCCAGCATTCCCATTCATCACCCAGCATTCCCATTCATCACCCAGCATTCCCATTCATTACCCAGCATTCCCATTCATTACCCACGGAGAGAGACATGCAAACTCCAAATGTACAGGCATGAGGGTCAGGATCGAACCCACGAACTTCTGTATACCACGGCAAGGTAGTTAACATCTCCTGTTAGTAAATTCAAACTGACATACCTACACGATCTAACCCAAAATAAAGTCCCGGGCGTGAAGTTTAGCCGCATCTGTTGGGTGGGTTTTCACCATACGACACCCGTGAAAAAAGGCATCGGTCACATCATCTCCTTAGCAAAGGGGTCGAGTACCCTCGTACGGACCGTGGTTTTTGTGCGGCGAGCCGGAGCGAGTGACTTTGACCTCATTGTTGTCATTGCAGAGGCTTTCTCTGCGCACCTCGCTCACGATGGGCCGCGAGCGGACGAACCCCTTCCGGAACTTTTTCATCTACAACCCGGCCAACGACACATCGACGTGCACCATCGGCAACTGCCAGCGCGTCATGGCGGGCCAGCACGCCGCCAACCTCGAGCGCCACGTTCGTTACGTCCACCCCGAAGAGATCGACCTTGCGACCCGGAGGGACGCGCAGGCTCGCAACGACGCCGGGCCCCCGCCCGGCTACGGTGAGCCGTCGGGCAAGAAGCCCCGCCTCGCCGCGGGAGGACGCCACGCGGCCGTCGACCCCGGCGCGGTCAAGAAGCCCAAGTGCATCCCCGTGAAAATAACCGCCGAGCAGATCCGCGACGCCTGCACGGAGCTCGTGACCGCGAACGGTCGGCCCTTCTCGCTGATGGACGACACCGGCTTCCGCAAGCTCGTCGACCCGCTGCTCGACGGCCTGAGGGGCTCGCTCGCCGTCGATGCCGACAGCGTCCGGGAGAACGTGAGCGCCGCGGCGGCCGCGGCGCGCGACCTCGTCCGGGCGGAGCTGAGGGACGCGCTCGTCTGCCTGCGGCTGGATGCTGCCTCGCGCTTCGGCCGCTCCGTCCTGGCGATCGGCGTGCAGCTCGTGCGCGACGGCGCGCTCGCGCTGCGCACGCTCGCGGCCAGGGAGGTCGCGGGCGGGGAGGACCTCGCGGCCGTGGTCGTTGGTGTGCTCCACGACTACGCCGTGGACGTGGCGAACGTCTACTCGGTCACAACGGGCGGCGACGCCACGAAAACCCTCGTCGGGCGGCAGGGTTCGGCGGAGGGGCGGTACGACGACGGGGAACCGGCGGGGGACTCGGGCTCGGAGGCGGAGGACGCCGCCGCGGAGAGCCTCGAGCTGACGGAGCTGCGCCTCCAAGAGATGTCGGGCGGCGCCCACTCGCTCATGAGGGGCGTCCGCTGCGCGGCCCACGCGCTGCAGCTGGCCGTGGGCGACGCCCTCGACGACGCCCCCACCGCGCGCCTCGTGTCCGACGCCAGGCGAGTTTGCCGGCAGCTGGCAACGCAGCCGGTCGCGGCCTCTCTCCGCGAACGGAACCTGCGGGCGCCCGCCGTCGATCGGCCCGCCCGGTGGCACTCCACGTACGGCATGCTCGAAGGCCTCCTTGATCTCGAGGGCTTCTGCGAGCGCGAGGCCGCGTCCGTCCCCGACCTGGTGCTCTCCCACGGCGCCTGGGAGCGCCTGCGGGATCTGCTGGCGGCTCTGAAGCCCGCGAGGGCGGCGGCCGAGAGTTTCCGGTCGGGGCAGCTTACGATCGGCGACTTTTACGGAGCGTGGCTCAAGTGCCACCTGGACACCGCCAGCGTCGGGTCGGAGTTCTCTCACCCCCTGGCGTGCGCAATGAAGAGGCGCGAGAAGCAGCTGCTGGGCAACGACGCGGTCGTCGCCGCCGTCTACATGGACCCGAGGTACGGCGTCCTGCTCACCGACGGTGAGTCGGAACGGGCCCAGCGGCACCTGCGTCGGGCGTGGGCGGCGATGGGGCCGCGCGGCGGACGCGCCTCCTTCGACACGCCGGACGAGCGCTCGCCGGAAGACCCGGGGGCGGGGGCAGCGGGGACGTACGGCGAATGCGACGAGCTCGAGAGGCTCCTGCAGGCGAAGGAGAGCGATTCGCACCGCAAGCCGGGAGGGCGGCCGGGCGCGGACGACGGCGCGGACGACGTGGCAGCTGCGCTGCAGGCGCTCGACGGCGAGCCTCGCCTCAAGAAGGACGCCAATGTCCTGGTGCACTGGGAAGGCTGGAGGTACTCCAAGCCGGAGCTCTTCCGGCTGTCCCAGGTGGCGCTGGCGGTGCCCGTGGCGCACGCCAGCGTTGAGAGGGCCGTCTCCGCCCTTGACTTTATCCTGTCGCCCAACCGGTGCGACCTTGACAGCCAGACGCTGGACGACATCCTGATGGTGCGCCTCAACGAGGTCTTTGGCCGTTAGCTGATTTGTGTCGTTTGCTAATCGGCTAAGAAACTAAACAGCTTTTTAATCTTACCAGGTAAAAACCCCACTTGAGCTGTTGGTTCTTTTTCAGAGGCGACCTGGCGACACGTGATGATATCATCATCGCACATAGGAATTTACAATAGCAGCCGAATCCTCTCAACGCGTGTTTTTTCTAAATGTTTAGTAGGGCAAATCCGGAGGAAACCGAAAAAAATCCACACGACCACCACGGGGAAAGAGAGAGAATGCACGGACTTCAAATATACAACAGGCATAGTCAGGGTCCGGGATCGAACTACAAATCTAGTTTACACATCTCTCCATGGTCTTGCCCCTACGTATCTCGTTCTCCACTCCTTCTCGCCCTCTCCATTCAAAATCCCGGCTGTTGTTATGTTCTGACCCGCCACGACTGGACGTTTGTGAAAAAGGGCGGGTCAGAAAGTGACAACTAACAGTACAACAAACACGATTGGAGTGCAAAGGATAGCAATAGATAAGCAAATCACTAAAAATACGTATAAATGTACGTTTATTTTACCAGGTAAAGCCCACTGAGCTTTGAGTTTCCTTGTCAGGAGCAACCTGGCCAGAAATAATAGCTCAACGAAGGTGGCTTATCACGTGGACATTTGCATCAGTCAGGCTAGTCTGTTCCCGCACCTCTGATTAGCACAGTTGGCGATGTACGATGCGAAAGAAGTTCAACATACATCTCGTGTCCCCGTGTCCCATGTCTCAATGTGCATTCCATGTCCAAGTTAATCCTCTGTCCTTGTGTCCCACGTCTTGTGAGCACCCACCGCTGGCGAACGATCAGAATTTTACGGGCAAGGGCCCCCCCCCCACCCCCTCTGTTTTAAGATACGGGTCCCTCAGCTTTATGAAGATCGGCCGATTAGCGGATTAAGTGTTTTTCCTTTTTTAGGTCATCGACCGTGACGAGAGGAGACGAAAACGCAGGTTGATTTTATATATTTAAAAAAAAATTGGATTCAAAGTATATTCGGTGCGCTTCACCCTTTCCCCTTCCAAGATGTCTGCAAGTTGCAGGGCGTGGTGTGTCCCGCTCACCGCTGAATCTCGGAACACGCGAGCGGCTCGGCGTTAATTTTATCTAGAGGCGTAGTAGCGCCGTTGCTTTTAAAGATATCGAACCGCAGAGACACGACCGCGCTCCGTGATGGCTGGCACCAAACTGAGCCGCGCGCCCTCCCGCGTGGCCCTGGTGGGAGCCTCGGTACCGATAAAGTTTTTTTTCTGGTACGTGTACGTCATCGGAATGGGAAAGCGTTCATAATGTGGTAGTAACGGGCCATGTAGGGGAAAGGTCGCTGGGGGTGGTCGGATATTTCCACAGTCTGACGATATATGAAAACTCGTGGGTTTAAACTTTCAATCGTCGCGGGCAATGTATGTTGTTCATTTCCTATTCACATTATGTAGGACTGGTTGATGTCCGTGTTCAATAAATGTTTAAAAGCAGATGCTCGCGGTGTGCGATTTGCTTTTACAAAAAGAGAAGGGCATTATTTCCGCAAACTTAACTCCAGACTTTGCACATCATAAGAATGTTTTATCTTCAGACGTTTATAAACACATTGTTCATCGGGATTCGCGTGGAGGAGTAGGATGCTATGAACTTAAGGGATATCCACAGAGAGGTAAAAGTAATTGCAATTTCTGGCCTGCACCTGTTTCTGGGAAAAGAGCCTCCACTAAATAGAGCACTAGAGAGCCCCTTGCAGGAGGGCATTTGGCTTACTCTTCCACACTTGGCCAAAACATTTGGAAGAGGTGAGAGTACCCACACTTGACCTCACTCCACGCGACATGCCGATCGACTTAACTTTCATTCACCCATCTGTCCCCACGGTGGCGAGTTGTTAACTACCTTGCTTGGTTTACAGGAGGTCGTGGGTTCGATTCCCACCCTCACGTCTGTAGATTTGGAGTTTGCACGTTCTTTCAGTGGTCGCGTGGATTTTTCTCCGGGTCCTCCGGTTTTTCCCTCCACGTCTAGAATCATGCGTTTAGAGTAATTGGCTTCGATATTTTTCCACGTAAGCCGCTTCTCGTTGCGCTATCATTTGTGGCCAGGTCGCTTCTGAAGAAGAGCTACATAGCTCAGTGGGCCTTAACTGCTAAAATAATAATAGTTAAATCGTTAATACTGATAGAAACCTCCTGGTTACACCAGCCCACAAGGGATTATTGTGTCCGTCCGTCTGGCATCCAAAAATGGGAGGGGTGGGGCTGGGTGGAGAAGGGAGGGTGGGGAGGGGAGAGTGGGGCTGGGTGGGGAAGGGTGGGTTGGGAGGGGCTGGGTGGGGAGGGGAAGGTGGGGAGGGGCTGGGTAGGGAGGGTGGGGCATGGTGGGGCTGGGTGGGGACGGTGGGGCTGGGTGGGGAGGGGCTGGTCACCCCGTGGTGCCCTTATAAAACTCAACGTTTAACCTACTCACGTCGGCTTGTGCCCGCCCTGACAGTCGGGCATATTTGCAGAATATACCACGTGGTGCCGCCGTTGACCCTGGCCATTGAGCGAGCAACCCAACGTTTCTACCAGCTCCCTCCGCAGGAATATGTTAGTTATTCCGGGTGCAATAGAGCTGAGTGGACTTAAACACAGATGTCTGCCGTGCCGGGGAGTTTCGGGAGCGTGAGGAAATAGCCCACCCGCATCGAACCGCCACAACCATCAAAACCACCACCACCACTACAATGATCAAAATCACGATAACGCAGACTTACAAAGTCGAACTCCGCGAAAATACACACAACACAAGCGTGGTGATGCAATCCAAATTTATTGTAATTGCGCACGGTGCCATTTGCAAGTTGGTTAAACGATCGCGGATCACGCGAGGCAATTGTCCAAAACCATTTTCAATTCTAACGTGGGGGTCCCCAACCTGGCGTCCCAACGTAACGTCCCAACGTAACGTCCCAACGTAACGTCCCAACGTAACGCCGGGAGGCGGCGGATGTCTAAGAGCGTTTCCGACTCATCGTCCCGCAAGCTTGAGACACTCCCCCCCCCCCCCCCCCCCGTACGTTTGTGTGTCCGTGTCGCCCCACGACATGAACGACGGCTGGGACTTAGGACCGAATGTCTAAACCAGATATGGGTAAGGAAAAGATCTCACCAAGAAGATGCTTCTCCAACCGTAGCGGTGGTTGTTGTACACCAACTGGTACACTGCGACTAGGACACACTGCGACTGGTACACGGGTGGCACGGTCACATTAAGCCACTGGGCCACTGTGTGTGCCTACCCGCGCGTGGCCGTGTGTGTGTGCATGTGGGTGTGCGTGTGGGTGTGCGTGTGGGTGTGCGTGTGTGTGTGCGTGTGGGTGTGCGTGTGGGTGTGCGTGTGGGTGTGCGTGTGGGTGTGCGTGTGGGTGTGCGTGTGGGTGTGCGTGTGGGTGTGCATAGGGCTCAGGGCATCTCTCGCGATCGGGTCACCTCGCTCCACCACAGCGGCGGGAGCTGCCCGTCTTTGCGCGCCGGCGGCAAAGCCTCTGTAGTCGGTCCGTCCGCCGGGGTCTCCGCTTGCAGCTGTTTCATCTGACAAAGCGCACACAAAGACACAGAGATCCCCCCCCCCCCGTGTAGCCTGTAACAGACTGTTGAGGCAAGTGCTATTCGCGAGTAGCATCTATGAAGGCCGGCATGGCACGCGAGGTGGTTGGGGTGGATAGCACCACGTTTGGCCCCCATCGTCTCCCCAGGGGCAATGTTTACGTGAGAAAGAAAGACGGATAGAGAGACGAGAGGAATGAGGAGAGGAGACAAGAGGCAAAGATGAGACAGAGGGATGAAGTGAAATACACAGAGACAAGGAAGGCCGAGCAGAAGCGAGGACACACCGAGAGTGAGGGAGAACTGAGGATACGAACGGAGAGGGAGAGACATGAGGATGAATCAATATTTATTTTACGTGCCAATATCACCCTCAAAGTGCACATTACAATGCAATGGGAACAGTACAGGAGGGGCACAGAGCAAACAGGAATTAAATAAATAAATGTGTCACCTTCGCCGGCAAACACCGACTGAGCAAAAGTAAATTTCAACCGCGCACAAAATAAAGGGGAGACAGGCAAGACGGTGAGTGACATGAGGAAGGCCGAGATGTAAAAGGAGAATCGGGGAGAAAGCTAGAGACACCGGCACCGTCGGAGAGGGAGATGTGAGAGACATATGGTGAGACAGGGAGATGGTAATTGACAAGAGAAAGGCCGAGATGGAAAAATGGAATCGGGGAAGAAAGCTCGCTGATGCCCTGTTCAAGGTGTGGGTTGCCCGGGTGGACTTTACCTCTTTCTCCCAGCTCTGCAGGCGAAGCTGTTTCCACTGCTCCCGCTTAGCAAAGTAATCCGGGTACTGGGCTTTCTCCGACGGATGCCAGTAATCCAGAACAGTCTCGGGCACCTGACACACGTGCAGCAGACGGCACACACACACACACACACGTGTCGTTTTATGGAAAATTCTAACATCGTATGCACGCACGAAAACAACACACATGTTCGCGTTCTGGTGACGTAATCAAGCTGATTTAACTTCCAACCCTCCGAGGGCCATTATTAAATAGTCCATTTGAGTGACGCTGTCGGTGAGATTAAATGACCCACGGGACTTAGTTTATCCGACGGGCTGCAGCGTGGACTATTAACTGTTTAACTCTTGTTATTTTACCAGGTAAGGCCCACCAGGCTATATAGCTCTTATTCAGAAGCGACCTGGCCACAAATGATAGCTCAACGAACTGACTTATCGCGCGGAAATTTCTAGCAGCTAAATACTTTTTTCTGTTTAATTTGTTGTCCTCCTTCCACACCTCCGATTAGCGCAGTTGGCTCCTTTCGGCACGAGAGAAGTTCAACATACGCACACACACACAAACTCTCGACGCATGTTTCTAAATGTGGAGGGAAAAACCGGAGGACCTGGAGAAAAAATACACGCGGCCATGGTGAGAGAGAAAACACAAAATATACAACTGGCGTCCAGGGTCGGAATCGAACCCACGACCTCCTGCATACCAGGTGAGCTCGTTAACATCTTGCCACCGCCATTCCCCCCCCCCCCCTCCCCACCCTCATCACCTTGTAGCACTCGAAGCGTTCGTACATGGTGCCTCCGGGCGCCTCGGGGAAGATGTATGGCTGCGGGTGCTGGTTGAGCCAGAACTCCTGCTCCCCGTCCACCAGAAGCTGCGTCGCCCTCACCATGTTCCTCTCGCCCTTGCTCCGCTCGAAGCGCTCCCGCAGGAGCACCGCCTGGAAGCGATACTCATCCCTGCGGCAAAAAATGTGGGGAGCGGGGGGGGGGTGTGAGTTCGCACGTGCAATTAGCCAACCTTTAAACAAATTATTTAAAATTTTTATTCATTTTACCGGCTGAGAATAACCACCGAGCTACGGAGATCTTATTTTTTCAGCAGCGAGCTGGCCCCGACAAATGATAACTCGACGAAGTGGCTGATAACGCAGAAATGTACAGCAGTAGCCAAACACTCTCGCTCTATTTTAAGAAGGCATCTCGGTGTGCGCCCTGTTTAGCCTCAGTGTCCCTTGCAACAACAATAACAAAAATCCCAAACAAAACTCTGCACAATTCAATCATTTGGCGGGACCCCGGGGTCCCGCAAAAATCAGGTCAATAATTATTATTTTTCTTCAGTCCGCCCACTCGTGACCCCGACAGCAACGCGCCGCCCGCCCAGACTCGCGCCAACAAGCAGCAGCAGCAGGCGGCGATCGACACGACGGGCGCCACCCCACCGGCCAAACGCGAGCCCCGGGGGGGCGTCCGCCGCAGTCGCGCGCGGCGACGACGCCCTCCGGTCAGCCGTCGATCCTCAGCTTCTTTGCCAAGGCGAGCCCGCCCCCCCAGGTAGTGAATTTAACGTGTTTATGTAATTTTTCTACTTTTTACGAAACTTAGTGCCCCGAGTAGCTATCGACGAGGCCAATCGATTGACACTAGTTTTGTTGTCGGTAAGGCAAGACTCGTGTCGCTACGCGGTTTTTCCCACCCCGGGGTAGTGATGGGACCCCAGGGTCCCATCAATTGCTTCAATTGCTTAATTTTGGATGCAAAGGAAATGCTATAAAGTCTAAACAAACCACCGGTTAAATGGAATGATGCACATCAAAATGCATTCATATACAGTACACTACAAAATAACTATTTAACTTTTATTTTAACCAGGTAAGGCCCACTGAGCTAGATAGCTCTTTTTCGGAAGATACCTGGCCACAAATCATAGCTCACCAAGGTGGCTTATCTCGTGGAAATGTACAGCAGCCAGATGTTCGAAACGCGTGTTGTTGGTTCGAAATGTGGAGGGAAAAAACCAGAAGGACCCGGAGAAAATGTCACGCGGCCGCGGGGAGAGAGAGACGCGCAAACTCCAAGGCCGCGAGTTTGTATCCAGGCGCTGTTTCACTCGGCACCATCATCCCTGCGGGATCGATAAAACGAGCACCACTTGAGTGAGGAAGTCAACGGCGGTTGTCCTGCGGATAGACTCGGCCCCGCCACGGCAATAAGGAATTTCCACCACTTTGGCTAGTCGCCCCGATGGATCTGGCATGGCCGGGTAACCCCCTGGCGGGTAACCTGTAACCTCGAGGTAACTAAGACCCGTGGTAACCCCCATGGTTTAAGTGTCCACGCGATGAGCCACTTTGTCGAGCTATCATTTGTGATAGCCGGGTCGTTTCTGAAAAATAAGTCCGTGCCTCGGCGGGCTTTGCCTGGTAGCATGGGGATGGTTTCGTTTGATTGGTACGTTTTTGGGCGATTTGCTTACCTTTCTGGTACTTTTGCACTGCTGCTGTTGTTGTTGTACTGTTTGTTGTTGTGACGTTCTTACCTGCCCCTGACTGGACATCTGTAAAAACAAGAGCTTTACAGCTCATCGGATTCCTCCAGTGTAAATAAACGGACGTATTGGCGGTACACCGGTGCAGCATAACACACCGGTCCTCATAAAACAAGTCTGAAATCTTTGACCCTGTCGCCAAATTTGACGATATTCTACGGTTTACTGCAAGTCTAGCGTGAGACTTGCCTGGAAAACAAAAGGTCAACACATCGACCGTTGATTTGGGGATTTCCGGGGCCGCTTTGCAGGCCAAAGGGAGCCCACGGAATCATCAGAGGCAGCTCTGCCACACGGCCAACAACAACAAAGACGGTGAAGCTTCGTGTACCCACATAAACGAACAATATCGCCTTACGACTTGCTTAGACACCACGAGAATTCAGATTTGTGTTTTTTTTGTGACGCGCGCACGCACACACACCACAGGCAGATGTCTCTCGCCTACTTGCTGTGGTTGTCCCACCTGATGGCGGGTGCTTGCGTTGCGATCGAAACGTCGTGGTTTATTATTTTGCTACCTGCCACGTGACTTTACCGAAAGAACCAAAGAGTATGGAATTCCTGCAGTCACGAAATCTTCAAATCAAGATTGCACCACAACCGCACACACCACACACACTCCACACACACCAACCCACACAGGTGTTGTGTTCTGAGCTGGGAGGGTTGGGAATTTGCGGCAAAGTATATAATTATTGCGAATAATGTGATTGTTTTATAGCGCGTACCACCACCGGTGTACAGCCAATCCGTTGTGTGCTGTACCAGTAACGAACTGGCATGTTTCTATTCTGAGCTCGATCGGTAAAGTCACGTTGAAGGGAAACAATAAAATAATAAAATATATAAAAAACACCTGATGATGACCGTTTGTGTTATGGTCGAAACGTCGTGAGAATTTTTATTGTTTTATATATATTTTATTATTTTATTGTTTCCCTTCAACGTGACTTTACCGAAAGAGCTTAGAATATGAATTACTGCAGTCACGAAAGCTTTAAATCAAAATTTGGCCACGTTTCTGTTAACGTGACAAACCTTACTAATTGTCCGTGTCCGGGTGGTGGCGGGTTTGACGACACATTGATATATTTACGCGATCCTACCTCAAAAAGAAAACACCTCTATTGTGGACGTTCAAAAAAATATTCCCGATTCTGAACCCCTTCACGACCCCCTTCACGACCCCTTCACGACCCCCTTCACGAACCCCTTCACGACCCCTTCACGAACCCCTTCACGACCCCTTCACGGACCCCTTCACGACCCCCTTCACGAACCCCTTCACGACCCCTTCACGACCCCTTCACGACCCTCTTCACGACCCCTTCACGATCCCTTCACGAACCCTTCACGACCCCCTTCACGGACCCCTTCACGGACCCCTTCACGACCCCTTCACGACCTCCATCACGACCCCTTCACGAACCCTTCACGACCCCCTTCACGACCCCTTCACGGACCCCTTCACGACCCCCTTCACGACCCCCTTCACCAACCCCTTCACGACCCCTTCACGGACCCCTTCACGACCCCCTTCACGACCTCCTTCACGACCCCCTTCACGACCCCTTCACGATCCCTTCACGACCCCTTCACGAACCCTTCACGACCCCTTCACGACCTCCATCACGACCCCTTCACGACCCCCGCCGCCGTCTCCCCGCCTCGCCCGGCGGCGCTTAGGCTTGCCCTTGAGGCCGCAGAGGCCTCGGCTCCCCGGCTCTCCCCCTTTCGGCGACCGCGCGTGGCTCCCCTCACCGCCAACAACAACAACAACAGCGCCGCCGCCGCTCGCCACCAAGCGCGCGAGCGGCGCACAGTCGCCTGTGCCAGGCTAGGTGCACGCTAAAGCGGTCGAAGGCTCCGCTTTGCAAGGCAAGGAGGTCACGGGGCAGACAGACCCCGGGTGTTGCCATGCGTTGACCTGACCCAGTGAGGATGGGCTGCCCCACCGCCCGATGCACCTCCCGGTGCTCCCCTCCCCTCACCTGTAGACAACCCACGACTCGAGGTGGCGCAGCGCCTTCTTGTAGAGGCGGCAGACTCTCTGTCGATGGGAAAGCAGGCCCGCCATCGCGATCGCCGTCGTGACGTCACGTCACCGCCACCCCCTCTAGCGCATCCCCACCCCACTTCACCTCCAGGCGCAATGACGTCACTTTCCTACTCCACTCCCCCAGGTGCGATGACGTCACGCCCCCTTTCCCAGCCCCCCGGGCGCGATGACGTCAGGTCGTCACCCCCACCTCCCTCCTCCCGACGTCACGCAAAAAAATCAAAGTTTTGTGACGACACGCCACAAAAGTCGCTGTGTGACGTAATCGGGATATGGAGGTTGTCGTCCACCAACATGTCTTATAAGACGTCACGATGAGATGGCAAGGCCCCGAGACAATGTGGCCCGTGACGACGTCATTAGTCAAGACACCACTAGAAACCCCGAGTGACGTCATGGTGCGTGTGTCACTATAAGTAATGAATGGGTTGCTGGGTTTGTACAGCGGTCTTGATATGCCGTCGCATCTTGATATCGAGAGGCAGGCACTCATAGGTCTCTATGCGAGTCTGTGAGTCTCTTAATTAGAAGCTAATCGTTCAGTGGGCTTTACCTTGTAAAAAAAAATCTGATTATATTTGTATTTTTTTCGTGATTTCCTTGACTTTCCTATACTTTGCACGCCTATCGTGCTTTTGTATTGTTTGTCGTCGTAATGTTCTGACTCGCTTCTACGGCACATCTGTTTAAAAAGAGCTTTATAACTCATCGGATTCCTCGAGTTTAAACAAGTAATCTGGTTTGATTTAAAGCTTTCGTGACTGCAGTAATTCATATTCTTAGCTCTTTCGGTAAAGTCACGTTGAAGGGGAACAATAAAATAATATTGTTTCCCTTCAACGTGACTTTACCGAAATAGCTAAGAATAAGTAATCTGTTTCTCGCTGCAGTCACGTTGAAGAGAAACAATAAATAATAATAATAACAATAAAATAATAATAAAATATATATAAATGAATATAAAAAGTGGCGGTTTTCAAATTTTCTTGCTGTGGTTTTTCACACCTGATGATGATTGCTTGTGTTGCAGTCGAAACGTCGTGAGAATTTAATTGTTTTATATTTTTATTATATAAAGCAATATTTAATTATTTTATTGTTTCCCTTCAACGTGACTTTACCGAAAGAGCTAAGAATAAGTAATCTAAATTTTGATTTAAAGCTTTCGTGACTGCAGTAATTCATATTCTTAGTTTTTTCGGTAAAGTCACGTTGAAGAGAAACAACAAAATAATAAAATATATATAACAATAAAAAATTCTCACGACGTTTCGACCATAACTCAAACGGTCATCTTCAGGTGTGTTGGTTTGCATAAATTTATTTTTAAACGTCGCATTTATTTATTTATAATTTTTTCAAATTTTCAACCGAGAAGATGGATTCTATCTTAGCAATCATTGGAAAGATTTCATAAACCATTTCAGTTCTTAATTGATTGTTCACGCTTACATTGGCTTTCAGACAGCATACATTATAAAAAAAAATTCGTCTCCCCCCTCCTCTTTTCAAAATATAGATGGACTAGTCCTGGGTAAACTGCCAAATCGCTGCGCGTGACGCTAACGTTTTTATAAATAAATAAATGCGCCGTTTAAAAATACATTTATGCAAACCGACACCCCTGAAGATGACCGTTTGAGTTATGGTCGAAACGTCGTGAGAATTTTTTATTGTTTTATATATATTTTATTATTTTGTTGTTTCTCTTCAACGTGACTTTACCGAAAAAACTAAGATATAATAAGTAATCTGTTTCTCGCTGCAGTCGATTCAGGGTTACATAACGTCACCGCGGAGCCCAGCCGCGACCATCGGGAACAGTAAGCGGGGTGACGTCACAACTACCTACGCTCTACCCTCTTCTCCCTTTTGGTGGTGACGTCACAACTAACCACTGAAGTCACCACTAACCACCCCCTCGGTGGTGGTCAGTAGTGACGTCAGGTCAGCACCGGGGAGGGAGGTTGTTAGTTGTGACGTCCTGTCTCCACTGGTTAGGGGGTTCATATTCTTGGTTCTTTCGGTAAAGTCACGTTGAAGGGAAACAATAAAATAATAATATATATAAAACAATAAAATCCTCACGACGTTTCAACTGCAACACATTTGCCGTTGGTTTTCACACCTGATGATGACTGTGTTGCAGTCGAAACGTCGTGAGAATTGTATTGTTTTATATTTTTATTATTTTATTGTTTCCCTTCTACGTGACTTTACCGAAAGAACCAACAATATGAATCCCTGCAGTCACGAAAGCTTTAAATCCTAAATTTTTGGTTAAGGGGCGTTTAGTGGTGACGTCACATCGCCAGCGGGGAATGGCGGTTGGCGGTGACGTCACGTCACTGCCGGGCAGCAGGTGGTTCGTGGTGACGTGACGTCACCAATGGAGAGGGAGTGGTTAGTGGCGACGTGACGTCACCAACAGTAGAGTGGGTGGATAGTCGTGACGTCACGTCGACTGTGCCCGAAGGTCGGCGACTGTGCTCCCCTGCCTGCTGCTGCCGCGACCGTGATGGTAAAACAAAATGCGCGGCGCTTTTCACCCGCTCGCCCACCCGCTCAGCCACTCACCAACTCACCCACTCACCAACCCACTCACTCACCAACCCACTCACCCACCCACCCGTCAGTCACCCACGACCATCGCCAGCGCGCTCCCCGGAGCCTCGGGCTGAGCGGGACAACTCCCGTTTTAGCCCGAATCGATTCCCTGTTTCAGCACTCTTAACACGTGCGGTTGGGAGTCGTCAGTAGTCAGCGAGTACGCGCCAAGTGATGAGCGGTGGTTTTTCGGATTTACTTGTCCGGGGGGTTAGGTTGTAAAATAATTGTCGTCGTTATTAACCCGCGTGGCACGATCACGGCAAACGAGTCGGCGCTGCGTGTGAATGGAGCGGAACTCGGAATCGCAAGCGATTCACCGGGATTGAATCGTGAGAATCGATCCGGGAGCTGAAGAGCCGAGAACCCCACCACGGTGGGTGGGAGACACGGACAGTACAACGAGTACAGTACAGCCTTTACATGTAGCTAGAGTATAGTCTCCGTGTACTGTCAGAGTACAGTCTACGTGTACTGTCAGAGTACAGTCTACGTGTACTGTCAGAGTACAGTCTACGTGTACTGTCAGAGTACAGTCTACGTGTACCGTCAGATTACAGTCTGCGTGTACTGTCAGAGTACAGTCTACGTGTACTGTCAGAGTACAGTCTACGTGTGCCGTCAGAGTACAGTCTACGTGTACCGTCAGAGTACAGTATACGTGTGCCGTCAGATTACAGTATAGTGTGCCGTCAGAGTACAGTCTACGTGTGCCGTCAGATTACAGTATACGTGTGCCGTCAGATTACAGTATACGTGTGTCGTCAGATTACAGTATACGTGTGCCGTCAGATTACAGTCTACGTGTACCGTCAGAGTACAGTCTACGTGTGCCGTCAGAATACAGTATACGTGTACCGTCAGAATACAGTATACGTGTGCCGTCAGAGTACAGTATAGTGTGCCGTCAGATTACAGTATACGTGTGCCGTCAGATTACAGTATACGTGTACCGTCAGAGTACAGTCTACGTGTGCCGTCAGAATACAGTATACATGTACCGTCAGAATACAGTATACGTGTGCCGTCAGAGTACAGTATAGTGTGCCGTCAGATTACAGTCTACGTGTGCCGTCAGATTACAGTATACGTGTACCGTCAGAGTACAGTATACGTGTACCGTCAGAGTACAGTATACGTGTACCGTCAGAGTACAGTACGTATTGACAGTAGGGCGCACGCCGTTTTGGAGTTACATAGAGCACTGTACTCTCACGTGTACTGTACGCTATGGCAGTACAGTACTGGGCCTACAGTAACGAACTGTAGTTATGTATGTACCCGTGCCCAAAATAGTGTGTAACCCCCCGATTAAGATTAAGAACGATGAGCATTGGCTGGCTACGTACGGTGCGAAAGAAGTTCAGCATTCCCACACGTATTGCAGAGTACGGGTATAACGTGTACTGTCAGGATAGAGGCCAGTATCAATGTATCACGCGTACTGTCGTGTTACAATGTATAGTAGGACGTTCTCGTGGAGTGCGATACGGACTGTCGGTACGGCATGCATGTTTAAAGAGCACTTTGTACCAATTCTAGATTTAAAGCTTTCGTGACTGCAAGGATCCATACTCTTTGGTTCTATTGGGTAAAGTCACGTAGGTACCTACTTTGTACCAGTACGTACAATATACAATTGAATGTACAATGTGTACCCGTACTTCTCGCAATGTGTACTGACACATGTACTGTCAAAGAGTGTACGTTATAGATACAAAGACAAAGATCCCCCGTATTGTAGCCTTAACAGACTGTTGGGGCAAGTGCTGTTAGCGAGCAGCACCTGTGAAATCCGGTACGGCACACGAGGGGGTTTGGTGGCCAGCACCACGCCCGGCCGCCTTTGTCTCCCCAGTGGCGATGTTTACTACACACCGCACCAGGTACTCATTTAAGGCCGAGTCCACCTAGGGGAGGCCCAGGACCGGTTCAGATAATCATCACCGGTGTTGGTGGCCGTGAGCGGGAATCGAACTCTGCTCGCCGGGTTCGTAGCGCAGCGTAGCGCTAACCACTGCACCACCGCTCCACTGACGTCCACGTACACATGTACGGACATAGCTAACACGTGCTGTGTAATAGAGCATTTCCTTGTAATTGCCAACTTCATAGTGACCGCGCCAATACTTACACACACGTCGTTGCATGTTTGCAATGCAAGTGTCACTCGATAGCTTGGACGACCTTCGCAAACAACCAGATGCTCCCATCTCAAAGGAATCATCCAGGTTACAAAAAAAAATATTTCAATACATAAATAATACAATTGAAAGGCCGAGGAGCTGAGCCTACCTTTACCCTACCTTTTACCCTTACCCCATACAAATTACCCGATTACATGGTAATTACTGGGGTACTACACATGAAAAAGGTCTATAACAAATAAATGCTAGGTAGAGTGCTTTATTCATATAGAATACTCTTCGATTATTCCAATTTTACACGCTTTCTTTAAACTCACTCTGTTGTTGTTGTATCCTCAAATCTTGTAACTCAATTTTAACCCACATCCCAATGTGGTTTCGACTGCAAACTTGGTATACCTATGTCATATTGATGACAATACTATATTCTATCACTAAAAATAAATATTTCTAAACATTATTTTTTACGTGTTATGTTTCGGCTTGGGTCTAATTGTCCACGCTCAACTGACGTTGGCTGTAAATCACCACGGTCCCCTTACGTTGTGGCAAGCTTCGGGGCCACTTCCTGGAGCTGTGGTGGAGTTCTGCCATTACTAGTACGGTACATTTCATTAAAGCATGTTTTAAAAAAAAGTTTTTTTTCAATATTGCTTATTTATTCCCGTGTGGAGGCGCAGCTTTCTCCCCCCCCCATCACCACTCCCCACCATCACAGTGACTCTCGAGCCACCCTCTCATTCACGTTTTTCAGAATGATAATTTTTTTTGGTAAATTATCATTCCTAGAGAAATCCGATGAACCGTGAAGCTCTTCCCCCCCCCCCCCCCACAGACGTCCGGTAAGGGGCTGGTCAGAAAGTTACGACAACAAACAATGTAATAACGAGACTACAGTAGAGGAGATCATCGGTTATCTGGTGGCTTAGGCGGCGAAGGGGGACGCCGGATTTTCAATAACACCGGATAAGCACTCAATCATTATTTAAAATATCTTATTTTTGTGCATTATTGCATGACATTGTGCTTTTAAAAAAAAATGTTTTAATTTACATTCTTTGGGTCTTTCGGTAAAGTCATGTAGGATAGGTTCAAAGAAAATTACAAAAAGTAACAAATTGGTTTACCATTTGAAATTGCCATAAAAAAGCATACACATGGCCAATAAATATCCAGCTCTAAAAAGTTACTGTCTTTGCTGTACCGCACTTACCACGCCAATGTCGAAGACGCTGCATGGGGGTTATGATAGGGGTTGCGTAGAATTGGAGGTGGCTATTCGGGACCACCGCCGCCGGTATCATATTGGAAGCCGGATGATCGCACGCCAAATAATCGATGGCCGCATGCGAGTTCTCACCTGGGGAATAAAACTCAACACCTGTACGCTTTTGGAACTGGAAACCGCCCGCACCTGAGCCACAGTACAAAGACCTCTCGGTGGTGCAGCGGATCACGTGACGCAGGGCTGGTGGTCGGATTAATTTTATTCGTCGGCTCAATTTTTATCCGTCGTCTCTCTCCCGACCCATATTACGATTGACTCCTAATTCGGTTTTTTTTTTGTCCTCATTTGGATCATCGTCGTCGTGTAAGAATGAAGTCCAATTGTTTAACTGTAACCGTCCACCAACCCGACGGAGCCAACCAAACCAAAGTTGTCACGCGCAGTGGGCGCAGATGTGCCGATTGATTTGGAGTTTGGGCAAAACCTGGAGGAGGAGGAATTTTGAAAAGCGAACGTTTTTTAAAGTTCTTGTTCTGTTTGGGACGAAGGCGTTTCGCTGGAGGTGACCACCAGCGTCATCAGGTGTTTTGGATCACACATTTGCTCGTGTGCAACCGGACACTCGACGTGCACAGGCTCGTGAGGAAGTGTCCCAATGATGCGGTACAGCAAGTAGATTATGATTATTGTGCTTCTGCGGCCGTCTGGAACGTTGTTTCCTCCGAATATTAGGAAGCCGCTCAAGCTATGCACTTTTAAATAATCCAGATTGAAAATTCATTTCTTTTGAAATTGCGTTTTATCTTTAGTTTGGCTACGTACTGGGAAAAAGAAGTTAAACATACATGTAATAATCGCCCCACCTTATCTCCGAGCGATTCGATGAATTGCTACGACTCGGGAATCTAGATTTATTTAATTAATCAATTATGTCTTGGCTTTATATATTTTATTGTTCCCTTAAATCTGTACAGTTTGGTTTGCCCCAGTATCTGCTTATGGTGTAACATGCGCACACATGTTTACTTTTTTTTGCCCGTGCAAAACAGTTGGAATTTAACCCAACAGACCTTTGAGACTCGGGGAGGCGTTTCTGGGCAAATAATTAAATGTTGCCGTACATTTGCCAATACTTCACCTGTGCACCATGCGTGCAGGTGTAGCGTAGCAGTTAGCGCGCTGCACTACAAACCTGGCGACCCGAGTTGGATTCCCGTTTGCGGCCAACACCAGTGATGATTATCTGAACCGGTCCTGCGCCTCTCCTAGGTCGACTCAGCCTCAAATGAGTACCTTAGTCCGGTGTGTAAACATCGCCACTCGGGAGACAAAGTTCATAGTTCATTTATTTGGTATAGCCCTGTGAGCCGTTCGGCTCTTGAATCAGGTGCAACCGCAACAAACAAAAAAACATGACCAAGAAAGCATATTAAAGTGATTATGTGTGACTGTGCAAACAGAAAATCCAGGAAAAAAAACATCAAAAATATTCCTGAAATAGCACCGTACACCAACGCTGTGTGCACAAAATCCCAGTGGGATGCAAGTCAAAATAACAACAACAACCACAAGACAACTAAGATTAAGGACAAAGGCGGCCTGGTGTGGTGCTGGCCACCCACCCCTTCGTGTGCCGTGCCGTCCTTTCTAGGTGCTTGCTGACAGCACTTTCCCCAACACTCTGGTAAGGCTATACAGGGGATATTTGTCTTTGTTTGTCTCGCACAGGCACAAGTGCTGCCACCGCTGCTGTTGCTGCTCCTGGTGCTATGTCGCCTGGGCCCTGCATACCACCTCGTCCAGGGGCAGCCCAACGACAACGTCGCAGACTACGACGACAACGACTTTGCCGAGTTTGAGGACGCAGAAGACCATGACGCATGGCCCGGCGCTGCTCCAGGTGAGGAGAGGAGAGAGAGGAGGAGAGATAGGAGAGAGGAGGAGAGAGGAGGAGAGAGGAGAGAGAGAGGAGGAGGAGAGAGAGGAGAGAGAGGAGGAGAGAGAGGAGGAGGAGAGAGGAGAGAGAGGAGAGAGAGAGGAGGAGGAGAGAGAGGAGAGAGAGGAGGAGAGAGAGGAGGAGAGAGAGGAGAGAGAGGAGAGAGAGGAGAGAGAGAAGAGAGAGGAGAGAGAGGAGAGAGAGGAGAAAGCTCTCCAGCTGCCACTTGTCTCAGTGTGGTTCCCACGAGGGGCCCTCCGATGGCGAACGCCGGCTCGCAGCACGAACACGACACGACCCTTAGCCTGTGTGTGGAAACCACACGGGGTTCCGTCCAACAAATAATTCTACACGGGGCAATGAAGAGGAGGATTACGCGCGTGATAAATCGCTCAGTTGGGGTGACAGAATCGGAATCTTTATCGGAATGAGAATCTTTATTTTGTCCTGGAGAAATCTCCGGGAGGTGACCGGTCACGCGCACCCGCGCTCGTTCCGTCCTCGATCGCGCAGCGGCCTCGGCTCCGAAGGTGACCCCGGGGTCCGCTCGCGACGACGACGAGGGAGCCGAAGCCTCTCGGGACGAGGACGGCGACGAGGAGGACGACGACGACGACGGGATCGTGCAGGACGAGCCCGACCTGGACGACGTAAGTGACGCAGACGTTGCGTGGACGTCCGACGGGCTCCGTCACCTGCGTGGGTCACTTTCGGTCATTTTCTGCCCTCGCCACCTTTCACTGGAACAAACTTCCTCTCCACGTTAAGCACAATCTGTCTCTCTATCGCTACTACTCATTCACAATCTGTCTCTCTATCGCTACCACTCATTCGCAATCTGTCTCTCTATCGCTACCACTCATTCGCAATCTGTCTCTCTATCGCTACCACTCATTCACAATCTGTCTCTCTATCGCTACCACTCATTCACAATCTGTCTATCGCTACCACTCATTCACAATCTGTCTCTCTATCGCTACCACTCATTCACAATCTGTCTCTCTATCGCTACCACTCATTCACAATCTGTCTCTCTATCGCTACCACTCATTCACAATCTGTCTATCGCTACCACTCATTCACAATCTGTCTCTCTATCGCTACCACTCATTCACAATCTGTCTCTGTATCGCTACCACTCATTCACAATCTGTCTCTCTATCGCTACCACTCATTCACAATCTGTCTCTCTATCGCTACCACTCATTCACAATCTGTCTATCGCTACCACTCATTCACAATCTGTCTGTCTATCGCTACCACTCATTCACAATCTGTCTCTCTATCGCTACCACTCATTCAAAATCTGTCTCTCTATCGCTACCACTCATTCACAATCTGTCTCTCTATCGCTACCACTCATTCACAATCTGTCTCTCTATCGCTACCACTCATTCACAATCTGTCTCTCTATCGCTACCACTCATTCACAATCTGTCTCTCTATCGCTACCACTCATTCACAATCTGTCTCTCTATCGCTACCACTCATTCACAATCTGTCTCTCTATCGCTACCACTCATTCACAATCTGTCTCTCTATCGCTACCACTCATTCACAATCTGTCTCTCTATCGCTACCATTCATTCACAATCTGTCTCTCTATCGCTACCACTCATTCACAATCTGTCTCTCTATCGCTACCACTCATTCACAATCTGTCTCTATCGCTACCACTCATTCACAATCTGTCTCTCTATATCGCTACCACTCATTCACAATCTGTCTCTCTATCGCTACCACTCATTCACAATCTGTCTCTCTATCGCTACCACTCATTCACAATCTGTCTCTCTATCGCTACCACTCATTCACAATCTGTCTCTCTATCGCTACCACTCATTCACAATCTGTCTCTCTACCGCTACCACTCATTCACAATCTGTCTCTCTATCGCTACCACTCATTCACAATCTGTCTCTCTACCGCTACCACTCATTCATCCCTGACTGCAGGGATTCATCTTCTTGGTTCTTTCGGTAAAGTCACGTAGAATGGAAACAAAGTAATACAAATAAAACATCATAAAATGAGAATTTTATTTTATTATGTTTTATTTTTATTACTTTGTTTCCATTCTACGTGACTTTACCGAAAGAACCAAGAAGATCAGGCAAGGCAGTTAACATCTCGCCACGGAGAGGGAGCGAGACACGCATACTCCAAATATACAGCAGGCATTAGGGTCGGGGTCTAACCCACGACCTCCTTCATATCAGGCGAGGCCGGTAACACCACGGCACCCCATTATTTCCTCTCATCTATTTTATTCACCTCTGCCTCCACCATTACGTTCACACATACCGTTGTTATTTCTCCATAAAGATTGCACGGCCTCCGCCAACCACCCGTCACGTGATGCGTGCCCTAACTGTAAACTATACATCTATATAAAAAAAAAGAAAGAAATATTTTACCAGGTAAGGCCAATCGTGCTATATTGCTCCTTTTCAGAAGCGACCCTGCCACAAATGATGATAGCCCAATGAAGTTGGGCTTATCACGTGGCAATGTATAGCAGCCAAACACTCTATAAACGCATGACGTTGATTCTAAATGGGGAGGGAGAAAACCGGAGGACCCGGAGAAGAAAATCGACGCAACCACAGGGAGCGAGAAAGAGAGAACAAGCAAATATACAGCAGCAGCGGGCCTCGGGGTCAGGCTTCGAACCCACGGACCTCCTGCATACCAGGCGAGGTGGTTAACATCTCGCGGCTCCCCCAACTCTGCCCAGGTGGACGAAGGGGACGTGTACGACGAGGAGGAGTTCGAGGGGATGGACGGTCCGGCCACCCCCAAGCGGCAGGGGGAGCAGCCCCTGCACATCCGCCAGGTCAGGCGCTAGCTAGAGCAGGCCTCTTTCGCGCCTCGGTCGTCGGTGCCAACCCCCGACGTGGCGCGGGTTCCCGTTTCTTCGCCGCGGGTCGGCACCATGACGGTGAATTTGCGCGCGGCAGCCGTTCGAGACGAGCGGGCGTTGAGCCCGAACGGGGCCCCTCTCTCGTTTTGCCCCGTGCAACTCTCGTGTGACCCGCAAACGCTCGCGAGGTGGGGTTGCCCGTAAATGTCACAAACGGAACCAGCTGATCTCCTTCCCCGCTTGGCTGTGGTTTTCCCGGCGAGGCCTCCGCACGAACGCAGCGGTGCGTGACAAATTCCACGGCGACGATTCGATCGGCGATTTGCACGAATGGCAAACGCCGTACAGCGGCCCCTCCTGGTTAACGATATGAATTGGTTCCACGAAAACCATCGTTAATTGAATTTATCGTTAATCGAACATATGAAAATACAACATGTATCTATTCACAAAAATGTATCGTTAATAACGTGACCCGTACGGGAGGCGGATCGGTAATCGAAATATCGTTAATTGATGGCATCGTAAACAGAGAGACCACTGTATAACAGTAAAACCATCATTTGAATGATAATTATTCCGATGTATGTCATCAGTTTTTCCTTCCGGTTCCGTTCCCGATGACGTACGCGCGTGTCCATACGCGTACGTCAGCGTCGGAGTTTCGGTGACGGTGAGATCCACCGGTTTCATGCAGGTCCCCTTGGGCATGCACACCGGCTGGGACCGCTACCAGCTGGAGATCCTCATGGCAGCCGGCCTCACGGCCTACATCCTCAACTACCTGTTCGGGCGCAACAAGAACAACCAGCTGGCTCAGGCCTGGTTCAACGCCCACCGCAGCCTGCTGGAAACCAACTTTGCCCTCGTCGGTGAGTTTCATCGGACCCGTAGAGTTGCGTAGAGGTCCGTGGGGTGAGCACAAGGACGGCCACTGACGTCATGCAGGACGGCAAGTCCTCGCTTGCAACGTGCGGTGTTGGCAACGCGCGGTGTTGGCAACGCGCGGTGTTGGCAACGCGCGGTGTTGGCAACGCGCGGTGTTCGTAACGCGGCGTGTTTTTGCTGTAACGTGCTTCTTCCATTCGGGAACACTTTTTCGCAAGAACGCGGACTGCACGCCGTTAAAACGCGGGAACGCGCGCCGTTATGGCGTGGAATGTGCACCGTTGTAAAGCGGCTTCTGAGCGATCGACCAACGAACTACTTTCTTGAGCTGAGGGGTACAGCGACACAGCAAAGCGGCGGCGTACCCTCAGTTAATTGTCCCGCCATCTCACTGCCTGGCGTGCGTAGCGCACCGTATCTCAGCACACATTTACCGTCACGTTATTTGTGGGGAAATCGTTTGCGCTTGACGCGTTTTTCGCTTAACGCGTCACCTATTTTGGAACGCAGTCTACCGCGTCCAACGAGGACTCGGCCGTACGCACCTTAGTTTAACTGAGAGAACGGAAAGCAAGCAAGCGAGAGAGAGATAGCGAGCAGCCGCGCTTTGAGCCGCCGCTGTCACCCCCCCCCACGCCTCCCCCAAGTTTGACGTAAAATGCCGATCGGTCGCTGAGTCTCGCCTCTTATTATCGACCGCAACCGCCCAGGTGACAACGGCACGGACAAAGAGCCGACGAGCACCCTGCAGCTGGCCCAGGAGAACGACCACGTGTTCAGCCTGTGGTGCTCGGGACGGGCCTGCTGTGAAGGGATGCTTGTGCATCTCAAGGTAGGCCTTTTTTGGGCCGAGTGAAGGGTCGACGTGGCCGCTGCCGCCTCTGCCGCCTCTGCCGCCTCTGCCGCCGTCTCCTTCACGCAGTGGATCGTTCAAGTAGCGACGCGGTTGACGACGTGAACCCTGCGATGCGTTGTAGCCGGCCTGCGCGTTGTTTTGTTGAAATAAAAAAAAAAAGTAGAGACACCGGGGCAGCAACGGCAGTTGTGGCGATTTTGCGGGTCCGTGCAACACACAAACTGTGGACTGTATTGTAAAACCCGCAGACATGCGTAGAGGCACATGGAGACTCGGTGGATATAAATGCGGTATATAGAGACGCACAGACATCCGTACAGGCTATGGGTGCACGCGTTCATCTCGGTCAGGCGACCTATGCCACCGGGGGCATGTCCCATGACCTCCTGCCAGCGTGCCCTCAACACTTCACGTGGCCTCAAAGTGCACAGTAGCCCGGCACAAGCGCCGTGCTGACGTGGCCGCCACTTAGTGGCGAATGTCGGTTGTGGTTGTTGTTGTGTCACGCTAACATTGGCAACGATGCCTTCACCCCGACCCCGACACAGCTGCTGAAGCGACAAGACCTCCTGAGCCTGCTCACCCGAATGATGAGGCCGGCATCCGACAGCATCGTGAGTGTCTGTGGCTGGCGTGGCCGCGTGATGTCGCACACAGATCTCGGTCCGCATGCCTGACGATTATACTGAGAGATGTAGGAGGTCAGGCCGGGTGGCTCAGAGCTTAGAGCGCTGAGGGTCCTGGGTTCAAGTCCAGGCAGCTGCCTGCGATTAAATCTGGTCGCCGATGACCGCACCAAAAAAAAAAAAAACACTCATCATCGGACATGTGGTTCTGCACTCGATGTGGCAAAATTTTGGCTCCCGACGATTGAATTATTGCCTTGACCATTGTTGCGACGGGACCTCGCTCTCATATGCAGAGTTGAGCGAGAAGCGCCGCCCCATAACTCTGTGTGGACCAGAGGTCGCCCATCTCTCGCATGTGGCCCTTTGATGAGATCCCCTTCCTCTGGCTGGGGCCGTTCTCCCAACAAAGGGGGGGGGGGGGGGGGCGGGGGCGAGAATTTTCCGAAAGTGGTGGCCCGTCCCGTGACGCGAGGCCGATTGCACGGTTGGGATGCGATTAGGGAAAGAATTTAGGAAATAAACAATTACGGGTTGTGCGCCAATTGTTTTTACGTAAAAAAAACCTTTTTGGCCATGGCACACCAAGCGAAGAGTGAGGGTGGGGGGAGGAGCAGACTAAAGGATGTAATGAATGGGAAGAGAGGTGGAAAAGAACGGGAAGGGTTGCCCGGACGGAAGTGCCCAAGGACGCACAAAGTGGGGGGGGCGGGGGGGGGGGGGGTGGCAACTGGGGTTCACAATGACGCGGCAGGAAGGAAGAAAGAATTGATGAAGACCACCAGGCCGGAAGAGGGGCAGAAGGAATGAGCGGGGGGGCCGAGATGTCGGGGATGAGAGGGCGAGGGGGGAACGGAAGGAAGAAGGGAAAAGGAAGGAGCGAGCAGAAGCGAGCTGCGAGGTGGAGGAGTGCGGGGAGTGCGGGGAGAGCGCGCCGGGGGGGATTAGGGATGATCCGGAGTGCGGCCGAGCCGATTTAGACAGAAGACGTTGGACTTCACCGCGTGTCGTGGCGTGCGTTCAACCGCGTGTGACAGCACGTGAGCGTGACGATGAACGCGGAAGACATGGAGAGCTTGGTGTTCATGCTCGGCAGCAAGCGCACCGTTGCCAAGTTCCACAAGGAGCTGGAGGACCTGGTGAGTTTTGGTTTTTGCTCGGCCAAACATTCACCGGGCGATACCGTCGTGTTCTTGATATTAATCCGTTAATGCTGCGCTGGGTGTTGTCGACCCACGAGATACTACGCGCCGTCCGCTCCGCAGTGGACGTTGAACGCGGTAAGCCACTCGGTGGAGCTGCTATCATTTTTTGCTGGGTGGTTTCTGAAAAAGAAGCTAAGTGATCATTCGGGTTTAACCGGTAACAATAAAAAAATATTATGTTCTTGGTTCTTTCGGTAAAGTCACGTAGAAGGGAAACAATTAAATAATAAAAATATAAAACAATAAAATTATCACGACGTTTCGACTGCAGCACAATTTTCTTGCTGTGGTTTTTCACACCTGATGATGATTGCTTGTGTTGCAGTCGAAACGTGGTGATAATTTAATTGTTTCATATTTTTATTATTTTATTGTTTCCCCTTCTACGTGACTTTACCGAAAGAACCAAGAATATGAATCCCTGCAGTCACGAAAACTTTAAATACAAAAAAAAGATTGTTTTAAGTTATTTACTTAGCTTACCTTTGCTATACTTTGCACTCCGATGGTGTTTTTGCGTTATTTGTTGTTGTAAATTTCTGTCTTGCCCCTGCTGGACATCTGTGAAAGAGGCCTTTATAGCTCATCCAGATTCCTCCAGTGTAAGTAAAGAGTCTGATTCAATCGCAAAAAATCGGCGCTCACCCGCGAAACGATCGCCGATCAACAGAGAAACCCCGTCAATCGACGAGATTTAGTCGGAAGCGAGGCAATCGACGTGCACACCCCTGGAGCAACGCTACCGCACGCGTTGAGGGGGGGTCTCTGTCGTCAAAGCGCGTCGCGGAATCGGCAAGTCGTGCGAGGGGCCCGTGGCGGCGGCGTTGACGTTCCGCCCCGTGAACGTGTCGTTCCAACCAGAGCCACTTTTGCCCGGAGAAGCCCAAGTCCGGCTCGCGCTTCGGTTTGCCCGACTCGGTCGCCATCCTCAGCGAGAGCGGCGAGGTGTCCGACGCCATCCTGGACGACCGGGTAACCTGCGCGGCGCGTCGCTCTGTTCTGAGAAGTCTGTTACTTTTTTTTTCCGTATGTACTAGCAGCATCCATGTCGTTTGTGTCCCTCCCTCCCTCTTCCTGCCTCCCTCCCTACTCCCTCACTACTCCCCTCCCTACTGCCTCCTTCCCTACTCCCCTTCCTCACTACGTCCCTCCCTACTCCCCTCTCTCCCTACTCCCCTCCCTCCCTACTCCTTTCTCTCCCTACTCCCCTCTCTACCTCCCCTCCCTCCCTACTCCAATCCCTACTCCCTCCCTCCCTACTCCCCTCTCTCCCTACTCCCCTCCCTACTCCAATCCCTACTCCCTCCCTCCCCACTCCCCTCCCTCCCCCCTCCAGCCAAGCCAGCAAAACTTTTTTGTTCCAATGTCCTATAATAACATTTCTACAGCAACGCGTCAACGCGTGTGGGACGTTGAGCGATGCGGGGAACCCAGCTCGACGCTGTGGGATGCGCGCAACGTCACCATCGTGCGGAATTTGCGCGGTGAAGTCGCCACCACTGTTGTCCAGCCAGACAACTTTAGTTGTATTATGGTATGATTAACACAGGCTTGCATACGGCACAGCTCCGTGGCCACCTGCGCAGTGCGCAAGAGATCAGCGAGGTACCGTGGTTAATTTGTGTGTAACGAGCCACGACCTCGGTGTAACAAGCGTAACTTTAAATGTAACGGTTGCAAATGTTTGTACTCGGATTGTAAATGTTGTGGATTTGCTCTCCGACACACCGGTGCGCTGTACTGGTAACGAATTGGAATGTTCTGTTCACGTGACATACCCGACTAGTCGGCTGTGTCGGGCGGTGGCTGGTTTAACGACACGAAAGAAAAACTATATTATGGATGCAAATGTTTGCCTTGCAGATGGTCACCTTGCTGAAGAACAACGCGGAGAAAATCGAGTCCATGCACTTCTCTGATCAATACTCGGGAACCAAAATTGTTCAAGAGTAAGTGGGGGCGCCGGGGGAGTTGCCCGAGTCGACATCGTGCACCTCGCGCACGTTTCACGGGTTTTTTTTGTCTACTAACGGCAGGGACACCTCATTTTCTCGTCTTCTTTAGAGAAGGGCAAGCGGTCAAGCCGCCGGACACCCAGAAGACCCTTTTGTTTACATTTAACGGTGAGTTTGGGTTTGCTCGGGGGGGGGGGGGATGGGGGGGGCGGGGAAAAAAATGTTTGGCAGTGGAAAGTTCCCACGATGGTGACGCAGCGATTTTAAGGTGTCGCGGGGGTAGCTTGAAACGTGAACGTCGCGAGTGCCAACGCGCGCTTCGCATCGCAAGACTCGCAAGACTTTTGTTACTTTTTGCGTGTTAGTTTGTGTGTCCTTCCCCGGCACCTCCGATTAGCACGATCGGCTACGCACGATGCGAAAGAAATGCAACATACATACATACGTACAAGAGAAAATCCCGGTTTGAGGTTATTTCATAAGACTCGGGGAGGATCCTGCTGAGTATTTCCTCATCGTGGGAAGACTCATGCCACTTGTTTCCCAGTTAAGTCAATCGCGGTGTGACCTTTCCCCATTTTGGATTTTTTTTTTTATGCGAGCGATGCCAGTACGTAGAAGTGGCCTTCTACTCGTCTTAGAATGATGGGTAACGGGGTCTTTTAAATGTTTTTTAATAAACATTTTTTTTTAATAAACAGCTTTTTCTTATTACGACAACTCCACACGAGCCCAGTACAAAACGCCGATCACACAACGGAGCGGGGGGCGGGGGGGGGGGACAGAAACTGCCCGAACAGCTGCCCCAATTTCGGCGCGACAGGTGCCCAACGAAGGGGGGGAAAAATTGGGCTCGCAGCCCCCCACCCAGGTGGGGGGGGGAACCGCGTGCGGAGACGGGAAGGTTTATATGGGGACGGCACGGCACTGGGTCTTTCACGGTCGCTGTGAAGCGGGTGGCGCGTAGTGTCACACGGTTAATACACAACCGCAGAATTAACCAGGGCGGCCTGCCGGATTCGAACCGGGGCGGCCTGCCGGATTCGAACCGGGGCAAACGCCTCTAACCGCTGGGCCCCGGCAGTGCTAAAGGTGGGCGGTTGTTCGTTGGGGCTGTGCGCAGTGCCAGGGAACGGCAGGAGCTCCACCCAGGACATGGAGGCGATGCTGCCGCTCATGAGCATGGTCATCTACAGCATCGACAAGATGAGGAAGATCCGGCTCAGCAAGGAGGTGAAGTCCCCACTCTGGCACTTGGGGGGGGGGGGAGGGTGGGCAGGCGGGCGCAGACGTTGTTCGATGAACGTGGAACATTCGACGTTGCCAGCGCATCGCCGTCTGTTACTAGCCAACAACCCTCGTCCTGTCTGAAAATGCTGAAAAATATTTGGTGCTTGCCGCTGCGTTTGGCAGCGGTTGTGCAAGCACAATTAACAAAGAACTCTACGCGCTTGTCAACAATCGATCAAACTGCTACAAAAACTCAACATTCGTCAATAATGACGATTTGCTACTTCTGCTCACTTCCCGAGAGGCACGAGGAGGCCTTCAGTGATACTGACGAGAGAGCTGTACAAATATAAAACGAACGGCGCGTTAATCGAATGAGCGTCTCCGAGCACGGTGTTTTTTTCCGGGTTGGGCTCCGTTTTTCGAGGCTTTCTCCTCTCAAGCGTCGCACGGGAAGCGTCAGCGAAATGCTTCCCTAAGAAGCATCCGCGAGATGCGTCAGAAGCGTCGTCGAAAATCATCGGTGAGAAGCATCGGCGAGATTCGTCGGTGAGACGCGTCGGTTAGGATCGTCGGCAAGATGCGTCGGCGGGGAGCGCCCGCGGTGAGCCCCCGGGGAGGGGGGGGGGGGGGGGATGGGGGGGGGTGGGAGAACACCCGCGGGGGGGGGGACAGCGCCCGCGAGAAAGCGTCCGTGAGCATTTCCGCGGACCGCGTGCCGCTCGTTGTCGCAGGCGAAGCAGAAGGCGGACCGCAACCGCTCGCACGTGGCCGAGCTCTACCAGAGGCTGGGCCACGCGCAGAGGCAGGAGGCCGCGCAGACGCGGCGCGAGGAGAAGCGCCGTGCGGAGAAGGAGCGCATCATGAACGAGGAGGACCCCGACAAGCAGCGCCGCCTCGAGGTGAGGGGAGGGGGGTGAGCGAGCACGGGGGGGGGGGGGGAGGGGGGTGAGCGCGCGCGGGGGGGGGGGGGGGGGGGGGGGGGGGTGAGCGAGCGCGGGGGGGGGGCAGGGAGAGTGAGGGTGGTGGGGGCTGGAAGCGGCGAGATTTATTTTCGGTCGCGGGGTCTCCTCGGGTTCTCATGGACGACGGGACCTCGGGGAGCGATGGGCGGTGGATGCTTCCGTGCGTGCGCGTGCGTGTGTGTGTGTGCGCGCGTGTGAAGCGTGTGCGTGTGTGTGCGTGCGTGTGTGTGCGCGTGTGTGCGCGTGTGTGTGTGTGTGCGCGTGTGTGCGCGTGTGTGTGCGCGTGTGTGCGCGTGTGTGCGCGTGTGTGCGCGTGTGTGTGTGCGCGTGTGTGCGCGTGTGTGTGTGCGCGCGTGTGAAGCGTGTGCGTGTGTGTGCGTGCGTGTGCGTGCGTGTGTGTGCGCGCGTGTGCGCGTGTGTGTGTGTGTGCGCGTGTGTGTGCGCGTGTGTGCGCGTGTGTGCGTGTGTGTGTGTGCACGTGTGTGCGCGTGTGTGTGTGCGTGTGTGTGTGTGCGCGTGTGTGCGCGTGTGCGCACTTTCGGTAAAACGCCGAACGTTTGAACGCCGTGTCCTGCCTGCAGGAGGTGCAGCAGCGCCGGGAGCAGAAGAAGATGGAGCGGAAGCAAACCAAGATGAAGCAGCTAAAAGTGAAGGCCATGTGATGGAGGTGGCAGAGAGAGGTAGGAAGAGAGAGGGTGGAAGAGAGAGGGGGAAGAGAGAGGAAGAGAGAGAGGGTGGAAGAGAGAGGGTGGAAGAGAGAGAGGAAGAGAGAGAGAGAGGGTGGAAGAGAGAGGGTGGAAGAGAGAGGGTGGAAGAGAGAGGGTGGAAGAGAGAGGGTGGAAGAGAGAGAGGAAGCGAGAGAGGAAGAGAGAGAGAGAGAGCACGGTGCTCTGCCTGCCAGCCGTAGTATCGGCCGCAGGGGATTTTATTTTAAGCCAAGGGGGTCAGGGGCCTGTACGGAGGGCGTGCGTCGCTCCCTGTCCCTACTGCTGTTGATCGTTACAGTGGTAGCACTTTGTATTGTGTCAAGACTCCAGCTTTCGTTGTAATTAAATTCGACCGAGAGTGGGAAAACTGCGTGTGATAGTTGTGTTTTGCGACGCGGTTCGTGAAATGTGCCGGTGACCTTTGTTGTTGTGATGGTGGTGGGTGGGGTCACTCCGGCCAGGAAGAAGTGCTATGCGTGTGCTGTGCGTGTGTCGTTTAGTGTTTCTTATCTGGGCCATTGCCTCCTTGTGTGAATTAATAAAAAAATATATTGATAATATGGGATGAATTGGATATGGAAAGGACTATGCAATTGTTTGGCAAACTACTGTAGAATCAAAAAAGTTGTATACCTTTTAAAAATAGTTCCAAGCATTTCACATGGGGTGCGGGACACATTAGTTTGAATAAGATAATCTTTAATTACGTGACAATAAAATGAAAATATAAAAAAAACAACTTGTTGAAATGTGATAACACGTAATGAGAATATTGTAGGAAATGTCTTTAAATGATCACATGCAAACACAGAACATTGTTTGGTACTTTAAAAGCATCGTTCACGCAGATGTCGATGGGTAATGAATGAGGCAATCGGACGCACGGCTGAGGATATGGGGAGGGAGAGACATGGAGAGAGATACAGTCACGTGGGGATAGACACGAACATGGGGAGACATTTGAGATAGACATGGGGAGAGTGACACGGGGAGAGATGAGACATGAGATGGACACAGACATGGGGAGAGACGCCGAGAAAGACGTGGAGAGAGAGGAGAGAACATCAGGCGTTATGTAGTGGTGGGCAGCGCAGGGCAGTGCTACAAAATCCACCGTGGTGATGTACAGCACGTCTACGCTCCCACGTCATTCAGCAACCTGTGGCGCACAGGCGTGGGGGAGGCCTTCATCCATCAGTGGATTGGCAACGAGGGCCGATACGTACACCGTGAGGACAAGGGATTAGCCGGTACAAGGGCTTCCACTTGAATGCCTTGGCATCCCAAAGCGCCTTAAAATCTGAACCATTCCCCGATGCTCTGATGTCGTCTAGTCTAGGGGATCCCTCCACCCCCGTGTCCCTGCCCCCCAGTGGCAGCTGTCCCTACGGCTAACGGCAGCATCGGCCTCCAAATGGGTGGGCATTCGAGTCTGCCAGGCGGGAGGGGGGGACGGGAGGGGGGGGTGGACGTTGCTGTGTGGTCTTTAATAAAAAAACTCCCGTGCAAAGTTTTCAATTGCGTACATTAAAAGCAAAAAAATATGATAATGAAAAATTAGTTTTTGGTTGGATCGCGTAAATATATAAATGCGTCGTTAAAGCCGCCACCACCCGACACAGCCAACTAGTAAGGGTTGGCGCGTAAACAGAACATGCCAATTCGTCACTAGTACAGCACACACGATGTGTTGGAGAGCCAAGCCACAACATTTACAATCTGAGTTACGACGTAATTGCGAGCTTTAAAAAAAACATGGATATTGGTCGCGAAAGCCGAAGTGTTAAACAAGTCCAATTTGTAACGCGCACAATTTTCACTCGCCGACGCGGAGCTCAGCTCAGCTCGGAGATCCGCTCAAGTAAAAAGAGTGAAATAAACAAAATAAGATGTTGCGTTTGAGAAGGTGCTTAAAGAAGGGGTGGATAAAGAGTCAGCGCTGCGAATTGTGGAGTGGGCGAGGGCGGGGGTGGCTGTGTTCCAGGTGGAGGAAGGACCGACGACTGGGAAAAAACGACGCATGGCGATCGTGGTCCTGGATTTGCACGAACAATGTTGGCCCAACTTTCCGTGTCAGAGTTTGCCGTGGTGTGTCACGATCGGCTATCGAAGCCCCGCGATATCCCGATTATCAACTATCGGTTTCTATACTCTTTGGTTCTTTCGGTAAAGTCACGTAGGTATAAAATAAAGCAAAATAAATCACGACGTTTCGGGCGCAACACAAGCGTCCGTCATCAGGTGGTTTCTCTTTAAAGGCTGCAATTATGATTTTTTTTTATCGCTTTGCGTTTTGTGCTTTTCTGTACTCGGAATAAAGATTCATCGAGGCGCTCTACAACGGGAAGATCACTCAACGCACGAATGACACAAGTCTTCTCGCTGTTGCAACTTTTAACACAATCCGTATCGCACATGCGCTGCTGCTGTAATACGGAAACGATTACGTCACACCGTAATACGTCACACGAGAACGATTACGTCACACGAGAACGGTTACATCACACGAGAACGGTTACATCACGCGTATTCCGTCACACGAGAACGATCACGTCACACGAGAACGATTACGTCACGATTGTCACCATTGCATTGGGATTTACCCCAGTAAAACCGTTTACAAAGCACCGCTTCAATTAAATAAGCACCCTACAGTGGCTATTTACTAACAATACGTTTTTGCGTTCGGCGTTCCAGAAATGTTTTTCCTCAGGAAAAGCCGAAATTTACAAGAAACAAAATACGATCATAACAAAATGTATTAGTACAGTGTGAACGATACGATTATCGTGGATCTGGTATCACATGATATCGCGAGCTGTGGGGCTGAGCTTGATTGCACATCCTACAAAACCAATCACGTGGTCTCCCCTCGCACGCATCCCCCTTCATCCCCCTAAAACCACGTGGTCCTCACTTCACCCAACCAACCACGTGATCTCTCCCCCGCACCCTTACCCCCCTAAAACCACGTGGCCCTCCACCCAACCAACCACGTGGTCTCTCCCCCGCACCCTTCTCACCTCCCTAAAACCACATGGCCCCCAATCCACCAAACCCAACCACGTGGTCTGTCCCCGGCACCTTACCTCCCTAAAACCACGTGGCACTTCACCAAATCCAACCACGTGGTCTCTCCCCGGCACCCTTACCCCCCTAAAACCACGTGGCCCTTCACCAAACCCAACCACGTGGTCTCTCCCTGGCACCCTTACCCCCCTAAAACCACGTGGCCCTCACTTCATCAAACCCAACCACGTGGTCTCTCCCCCTTACCCTTACCCCCTAAAACCACGTGGCCCTCACTTCAAACCCAACCACGTGGTCTCTCCCCCGCACCCTTACCCCCTAAAACCACGTGGCCCTTCACCAATCCCAACCACGTGGTCTCTTACCCTTACCCCCCTAAAACCACGTGGCCCTCACTTCAAACCCAACCGCGTGGTCTCTCACCCGCGCCCTTACCCCCTAAAACCACGTGGCCCTTCACCAATCCCAACCACGTGGTCTCTCCCCCGCACCCTTACCCCCCTAAAACCATGTGGCCCTCATTTCACCAAACCCAACCACGTTGTATCTCCCCCGCACACTTTTTACCCCCCTAAAGCCACGTGGCCTTCAGGGGCCGTCCATAAATGACGTCACGCACCTAGGGGGGGGGTCAGGCATGTGACGATGTGTGACGAGGGGGGGGGGTTTGAGAAATGTGACGTCACATCAAAATGCGCAACTTTAAATAAATATAGACCACACGTTTTACTTAAATAAATGTTTTCTCCTACAACATCAGAGTGCAGCGCCACATTAAATACGCACTACAATGACAATAGTTTAAAGCGATTTGAAGCATGTTTTTATATTTTTTTGGAGGGGGAGTTTGACTTTTTGTGACGTCGTGTGACGAAGGTGGGGGGGGGTCAAAAAGCGTCCAAAATCGCGTGACGTCATTTATGGACGGCCCCTCACTTCACTAAACCCAACCACGTGGTCGCTCCCCCGCACCCTTCTGATCCCCCTAAAGCTACGTACTAGAGGGTCACGGAACAGCCCTTTAACGGGCCGCGGGTTGCCGACCGCTGCCCACGATAAACTGGACTTCGATGGTCCTGGGTTGGCAACCACAAAAACAAGAAGTGCCATTTTTGTTCGAATTTCAAGTGCCGCAGGTTGCCGATCCCTGCCTTAAAACCACGTGACCCTCATCTTCCAAACCCAACCGCCAGTCGCCACGAAGTGGCGCTGACGTCACAAAGGCGCATGTGCCAGGCTATGTGCACGTAAAGGCCACGTGAGGTGTCGAACGCCCGCTGGCAAGGAGGTCACGGGACAGACCCAGCAGGTGTCACGGGTTGACCGACTGAGATGACTGGTAAATGCACCACCTGTGCCCCCTACTGTACCAAACCCCACCAATATAACCAACGCCCGCCATTCGCTACTAAGTGACGGTGACGTCACCACGGTGCCCGTGCCAGGCCAGGTGCACTTTGAGGCCACGTGGTCTCTCACCCCCTCTCCACACACACACACACACCCGGAAACCACGTGACTCAGCTTGCCACACCCCCTTTCCTTAACCCCGCCCTACTCCGGGGTCACGTGGTCGAAGCAACCGGCCGTGAGGAGAGGAGGAATCGGAAGATGGCGGTGGCGGGCGAGAGTTTGATGCGGATGGAGGAGGTAAAGCAACGGGCCGCGGCGGGCCGCCTGTGCCTCGTCATCCACGGCAAGGTGTACGACGTCAGCGACTTCGCCGCCGAGGTGAGGAGCCGAGCGGCGATGCGATGCGAGGTTTTGGTCGTGTGGCCGGGCTGTGGTTGCTGGCCACCCAGCTACCAGCACCAGCACCACCTACACCCTAATTTTATCTCTCTGTGTGTGCCGTGCCGGCCTTCATAGGGCGCCTACTCGCTAATAGCACTTGCCCTCAGAACTCTGTTGAAGGCTACACGGGGGATCTTTGTCTTTGCTAGGTGCTACTCGCTAACAGCACTTGGCCCCACAAGTCTGTTGAAGGCTACACGGGGGATCTTTGTCTTTGCTAGGTGCTACTCACAGCACTTGCCCTCAGAACTCTGTTGAAGGCTACACGGGGGATCTTTGTCTTTGCTAGGTGCTACTCACAGCACTTGGCCCCACAAGGCTGTTGAAGGCTACACGGGGGATCTTTGTCTTTGCTAGGTGCTACTCGCTAACAGCACTTGGCCCCACAAGTCTGTTGGAGACTACACGGGGGATCTTTGTCTTTGCTAGGTGCTACTCACAGCACTTGCCCTCAGAATTCTGTTGAAGGCTACACGGGGGATCTTTGTCTTTGCTAGGTGCTACTCACAGCACTTGCCCTCAAGTCTTTTGAAGACTACACGGGGGATCTTTGTCTTTGCTAGGTGCTACTCACAGCACTTGCCCTCAAGTCTTTTGAAGACTACACGGGGGATCTTTGTCTTTGCTAGGTGCTACTCACAGCACTTGGCCCCACAAGGCTGTTGAAGGCTACACGGGGGATCTTTGTCTTTGCTAGGTGCTACTCACAGCACTTGCCCTCAAGTCTTTTGAAGACTACACGGGGGATCTTTGTCTTTGCTAGGTGCTACTCACAGCACTTGGCCCCACAAGGCTGTTGAAGGCTACACGGGGGATCTTTGTCTTTGCTAGGTGCTACTCGCTAAAAGCACTTGGCCCCACAAGCCTGTTGAAGGCTACACGGGGGATCTTTGTCTTTGCTAGGTGCTACTCAGCACTTGCCCTCATAATTCTGTTGAAGGCTACACGGGGGATCTTTGTCTTTGCTAGGTGCTACTCACAGCACTTGCCCTCAGAACTCTGTTGAAGGCTACACGGGGGATCTTTGTCTTTGCTAGGTGCTACTCGCTAAAAGCACTTGGCCCCACAAGCCTGTTGAAGGCTACACGGGGGATCTTTGTCTTTGCTAGGTGCTACTCAGCACTTGCCCTCAGAATTCTGTTGAAGGCTACACGGGGGATCTTTGTCTTTGCTAGGTGCTACTCACAGCACTTGCCCTCAGAACTCTGTTGAAGGCTACACGGGGGATCTTTGTCTTTGCTAAGTGCTAGTCACAGCACTTGCCCTCAGAACTCTGTTGAAGGCTACACGGGGGATCTTTGTCTTTGCTAGGTGCTACTCGCTAACAGCACTTGGCCCCAAGAGATCTGTCACAGGCAACAAGGGGGCTTCGTGGTGTCTCGGATATCCGGGCCGACTTCCTTGACCTCCTCGGGGTGATTCGATTCCTCGATTTCGTGGGGACGACATTCCTTGAGAGAGAGACACAGAGAGAGAGAGAGACAGACAAAGAGACACAGGGAGAGAGACAGACAAAGAGACACAGAGAGACACAGAGAGAGACAGAGAGAGAGACAGACAGAGAGTAGAGACAGACAGAGAGGAGAGACAGAGACAGACAGAGACAGAGAGAGAGAGACAGACAGAGAGAGGCACACAGAAAGAGACATAGAGAGACATAGAGAGAGAGACAGATAAAGACAGAGGCAGACAGAGAGAGAAGACAGACGGAGAGAGAGACAGACGGAGAGAGAGACAGACGGAGAGAGAGACAGACGGAGAGAGAGACAGAGACAGAGAGACAGATATAGAGAGACAGAGACAGACAGAGAGAGAGACAGACGGAGAGAGAGACAGACAGAGACAGAGAGACAGACAGAGACAGAGAGACAGACAGATACAGAGAGACAGACACAGAGAGAGACAGACAGAGAGAGACAGAGAGAGAGACGGAGAGAGACAGACAGAGAGAGGCACACAGAGAGAGAGACATAGAGAGAGAGACAGATAAAGACAGAGGCAGACAGAGAGAGAAGACAGACAGAGAGAGAAGACAGACAGAGAGAGAAGACAGACAGAGAGAGAAGACAGACAGAGAGAGACAGAGAGAGACAGACGGAGAGAGAGACAGACAGAGAGACATCGATTCATTGATTCCACTCGATTAGTGAGAACGAGAGAGGCGCCAGGCGTGTTGGGGGATCAGTCCGCGAGCGGTGGGGTAAAATGTGACCACTCCCGCCTCTTCTCGTGCAGACGCCTTGTAACCGATGGCGTCTATGTACTGTGGACGGGTGGACTGCAGGATGGTGGTAACGGGGTGGATAAACAAATTAGAATTTTACTACACGCTTTCATTTAACTCACTCTGTCGTTGTTGTATCAAATCTTGTAACTCAATTGTAACCCACTTCCCAATGTGGTATCGACTGCAAATTTGGTATACTTTTGTCATACTGATGACAATACTATATTATATCATAAAAAAATATATATTTTTCAACATTATTTTGTATATGTTATGTTACGGCTTGGCTCTAATTGTCCCACACTCAACTGACGTTGGCTGTAATTGGCCACGGTCCCCCCTACGTTATGGCAAGCTTCGGGGCCAATTCCTGGAGTCGTGGATTTCTTCCATTACTAGTACATTTAATAAAAGCGTGTTTTTAAATAAAGTTTAAAATATATATTACTTATTTTGCCTATATTGAAACGGCTGTACGCCGTATGGACCTGAAAATTGAATCTCCCTGTACAAGAATACGGGGTAAACTGTGTATGGGTTGACAGGTATGATACTATACACGACACTGCTATACACTACTCAATACACTACTATGCAGTACATTATACACTACACTACTATACACTACTCTATACACTACACTACTACATACCTGTCAACCCCTTATTAGTGCCTACCTTACTGTAGACCAATTCAGACCTTATATTGGTCACCCCGTGCCCCTTATAAGTCTCAACGTTCATCGTACAAAGTCCCATCGCAAGGGAGAGAAACACACACGAACAAATAGACAGTATTTAGTTTTGCCCGGCTGTACGCCGTATGGACCTGAAAACTCAATCTCCCTGTCCAAGAGTACGGGGGTAAATCTTACGGGTTTACAGCTATGCATCCGGCTCCTCCGCCTTCTCAGAGTGCTTAATTGGAGCATTACGAGAAGTTTAAAAAAAAGTTTTTTGTATCTTCTCGTAATCCTCCCACTGCCATGTACCTCGTGAATGCATGGGTATGTGACCAATAAAGCTGACTTGACTTGATCACTCACCGCCTTGGTGTTGCCGTCCCGACCTCAATGGCTACCCGCTTAACAGCACACCATACTTAGCCAAGCGTGCTCATCGAGAGGTGTGCACTTATCCCCCAACAACTTGTTAACGGCTACACGGGTGATCATTGTCTTTATTGCCTCCTGCCCGATCATTGTCGAACCTTTCAAGACAGCCGTCCCAACACCACACCACCCGTTGGCCTGCATTTGCGTGACCCTGCGCCTGAATTACGGAAGCGAAACGGGGGATTCCCATGAGGTGACCGTCGGGTGGTTTTTTGAGGTCGGAGACACCGAACTTGAGGGCTACGCGTCCCGGTCGGGTCCCGTCCAGCGGTGAGTGCGCGCGGCGAGTTGGTGGTACCGTGGTCCGGCCTCCAGTGACGCACTGCGCACAACAAAAAAACCCAGAAATTCCACACTTGGATCATTGAAATATCATTTGGGACCCTCTTTGCCTTCCATCAAAATGATGAACAGAATTAATGAGATGTGAAGCTTTGGTGACTGCAGGAATTCCATAGCCTGTGGTTCTATCGGTAAAGTCGCGCGGTTGGTAGAAAAGTAATAGGTGACGACGTTTTCGATCGCAACAGCAAGCGATCGTCATCAGGTGTGACGACCACAGCAAGAAAAAAGCACTACTGAAGTAGGCCTACTTAAGCAGTTTTTTTTGTTGTTGCGATCGAAACGTCGTGATCTATTATTTTTCTACCTACGTTGACTTTACCGATAGAGCCAAAGAGAATGGATTCCTGCAGCCACGAAAGCTTCAAATCAAGATATAATTAATAGGCTTTACCCTTTGTGGCCGTTGCCTGTTGGTGTCCTTTGGTCTAACACTGGTGAGACATGGCTATAAAGGAGGCCGTCTCTGGTGTAGACCAATCATTTCCAAAGACAATGCGTAGATTTCTCAAAGGATGTTTGTTTGCACGTCTTAGCAAAAGAATGATGTGTGCTTCATGCCGACTTGATGCCTTGCAATAGCTTTGTCTCTTTGCTGTTTGAACATCATTTGCCTGTATTGCAAACTAATTCACCTAAACCTCGTAGCCAGAGTGTGTCAATAATTGCGGGGAACGGTTGTGTAGCGATCTAGATTTGAGGTTTTCGTGACTGCAGGGAATCCATACTCTGGTTCTTTCGGTGAAGTCGCCACGTAGTAGGTATAAAATAAATTAAAGCACGACGTTTCAATTGCTTGTGTTGCAATCGAAACGTCGTGATTTATTTCGTTTTCTACTCTACGTGACTTTACCCGAAAGAACCAAAGAGCATGGATTGTGTAGCGGTTAGCGCGCTGCGCCTCGAACCCGGCCAACAACCATCGCTCATAGGTCCACTCGGCCTCAAATGAGCACCTGGTGCGGTGTGTGAACATCGTCACTGGGGGAGACAAAGGCGGGCGGGCGTGGTGTTGCTAGTCACCGCCACCCCCTTGTGCGCCATGCCGGCCTTCATAGGTGCTGCTCGCTATAACAGTGTCCAACGAGAGCAGTTGTCAGGAAAATGTTGGATCGAGGCTTGACCCCCTTGCCTTTTAACGCTCCATTTTATTGAAGGACTGCTACTGTGTGTTGTCTTGGTGTGGTCTGGGACTCTTTTTTGTTGTTGCTGCTGCTGCTGCCTTGCTCAAGATTGATAATTCGGACTTATACAATCAATGCATTAATGTATTAATTGTTATACTTAGTGACTTTTGCTTACCTTTGTCTCTATTTTGCACTCCTATCGTTATTGTTTTTGTATTGTTTGCAGTCATAACTCGCCGACTCCGTGTCCCATACTGGACGCGTGCGGAAAAAAAAAAGAGTTTTCACATCCCTGTCGGATTCCCCCGTCCTCCAGCACTGAATCTTAAGCTTCTGATTTGGATGGTGTTTTGATCGTGTTGTTTGTTTGACCGTACTTCGCCGCGTTGGTCCCCAGCACCCCGGCGGCGAGTCCGTGCTGCTGGAGAAGTCCGGCAAGGACGCGACGGAGGCGTTCGAGGACGCAGGTCACTCGGGGGACGCGCGCGAGATGATGCAGCAGTACTACATCGGCGAGCTTGACACGGTATGAGCACAACAACAACGGCGGCCGCCAATCCCCACCGAGTGGCGGTGACATCACCACGGCACCTGTGCCAGGCCAGGATCACTTTGAGGCACACCTGTTCACAGACTCGCACTTACGGGCTCCTCACACGGAGATTAATTCAGGCAGAATCGCACACACACGTGGACTCACTCACCGACTCAATCACAGACTCACTCACAGACTCGCACACAGTGTGAGACTTGCGCAGAATCGCACACAGAATCGTGGACTCACTGCCAGACTCGCACAGACTCCACCCACACAGACTCACACAGACTCGGATGCACTCAGACTCTCACACGCACAGTGAGACTCGCTCACACAGATACTCGCACAGAGACTCCACGCAGACGCAAAAACAAAGATCCCCTATCTTATAGCCTTAACAGACTTTTGAGCAAGTGCTGTTAGCGAGTAGCACCTACGAAGGCCGGCACTCCACACGAAGAGGCGGGTGACCAACACCACGCCTGGCCGACTTTTCCTCACACCGCACCAGGTATTCATTTGAGGCCAAGTCGACCTAGGGGAGCCCCAGAACCGGTTCAGATATATCCATCGACGATCTTGGCTGTGGGAATTGAACTCAGCGAAAAGTGTTCCCTTATGAAAGATCTGCATTGTAGAAAAAAACGCATTGTGAGTTCACGCGGTAAGCGCGTGTGTACGTTACCATCGTGGTTACAGTGCATATTATTATCAGAGTTGTCTTTTTTTGTTTGCATTTTGACTGCTTGTGTTGTGGTTATTGCAAACATGATGCCTTGAATAAAGGTGTCAGTTTTTTTGTGCCAGTTAAAAGGGTAAAACCTATTCTTATATCTTGTTTCTGGCAAAGGTCTCATAATGTTAATGCTCACCCGGAGCCCTCAATACTCTGATAGTGCGCTGTTTTTGAGTTGTACGCCTTTTGGCGTCTTCTGGTCCAACACCAATGGAGACTAGGCTCTAAGAAAAGCTGTCTCGGGTGCGGACCAATCAAATTCAAGGACAGTGCATATTATTATCAGAGTTGTCTTTTTTTGTTTGCATTTTGACTGCTTATGTTGTGGTTATTGCAAACATGATGCCTTGAATAAAGGTGTCAGTTTTTTTTGTGCCAGTTAAAAGGGTAAAACCTATTCTTATATCGTGGTTACTATCGTGGTTAACATTGTCGGTTATCTTTTGCAGGAAGGGTCAACGTTGGAAAGGCCGCAGGTAAGAAAGGCATCAACGCACAGAGTTCTCAATCCCTCTGATCCACACCGACAACACCAAATACGTTAACCCTGCTATGCCACACACTCGATGCAATACAGGTCCGACTTAAAAAAAATATATACTACTGGACATCTGTAAAATAAATCTAGTAGTTAGCAGTAGGACTTGTTGACGTGTTTTTGCGGTCGGTCGCCTTCTCGATCGAGCGAGGAGCGTCTCGATAATTGATCCGGCGGCGCGCGTGTGGCGATCGAGACGTGCGAGCACTTAGCACCACGCTGGCACTGCCAAGCTCGGCTCAGAAACCCCGGTGCCGGTGAACCGTCACATCTACCGCCGTGTGCGCTCCGTCCCGAGTCCGCTGCTTCTCGTCACCGGGGGATGACCCGGTTTTCCCTAAAAACGAAAACTACAAGCAATTATTTTTTTTATTTGACCAGGTAAAGCCCCAACTGAGCTGTGTGACTTCGCTACACATAATTAGGCCTCGGCAAGGTAAGGTAAAAGGTAAAAACAACGAGCCTACCTTTACCCTACCTTTTACCTTGCCACAATACAATCACTCTACCCTACCTTTTACCCTTCAGCAGGTAAGGTAAAAGGTTAAAAGCAACGAGCCTACCTTTACCCTACCTTTTACCCTTACCCCATACAAATTACCCGATTACATGGTAATTACTGGGGTACTGCACATGAAAAAGGTCTATAACAAGTAAATGCTAGGTAGAGTGCTTTATTCATATAGAATACTCTCGATTATTCCAATTTTACACGCTTATCTTTAAACTCACTCTGTTGTTGTTGTCGTTGTTGTATCCTCAAATCTTGTAACTCAATTTTAACCCACTTCCCAATGTGGTTTCGACTGCAAACTTGGTATACTTATGTCATACTGATGACAATACTATATTCTATCATTAAACATAAAATACAAATATTTTTAAACATAATTTTTTATGTTATGTTTCGGCTTGGGTCTAATTGTCCATTGTCAACTGACGTTGGCTGTAATTGCCCACGGTCCCTTACGTTGTGGCAAGCTTCGGGGCCACTTCCTGGAGTCGTGGAGCTCTGCCATTACTCGTAGATTTCATTAAAGCGTGTTTAAAAAAAAAAAATTCTTAAAAATATTACTTATTAAATGGAGGCCATGGACTGCGCCACGGAGCTTTTAGCAGTAAACAAGGCACCGTATTTACCGGGTAATACTTCGCGCTACCTTTACCCTACCCTTTACCTTACCCCTTGGCATGTCGACACCTTTACATTTTTACCCGGTAAAAAAGGTAAATTACCTTACCTTGCCGAGGCCTACACATAATGATAGCTCGACAAAGTGGCTCAGCGTCACGTGGAATATTTACAGCGGCCAAACACTCGGAACGCGTGACGCCGATGCTAAATGTGGAGGGAAAAAACCGGTGGCCCCGGAGATAAATCCTCGCGACCACGGGGTAGAAAGAGAGAGAGAGAGAGACATGCAAACTCCAAATATACAACAGGCATCGTCCAGGTCAGAATCGCATCCACCACGACTTCCGTATACCAGGGGAGGTAGTTAACCTCTCTGCTGCCACCCCCCCCCCCCCGATTTCTGTTTTTCTAGGCGAAGAAAATACCGGGGTGCTCCTCGCCAACGTCTGCCAGATGGTGCGTGCTCCGCAAGTTTCACGTTTTTGCTTTCTTCTACCTTCTAAAATAAAAAAAAATATTTTTTTTTTACTTTCGTCATTTCCCCCACCGACCCCCCCCCCCCCCCCCACAAATTTTACTCCTGAATTCTATCCTAACTCGTGACGTTTCGGCGTCGCGCCATGAGGCGGGAAGCATCCGTCGCAGAACCTTTCACGTCGCCTCTCGTCCGCATAGCCAGGGGAGCGGCGCTTTCTCTCACAGCTGGAATTGAGCGAAATGAAGTGCAGAATGCAATTTAATGGAATGTCATTTTTAGAAGTTGTTGTCCAGTCATTGGTGATGACTGGTTGAGAATCAAGGGCAGTGGCTGCAACCCGGATCCGAACCAAGGGTCCATATTGTTTGTCATCGTTTCAGCTGTGAAAAGTTTTGTGATGTAACTGTGGTGGCCGGGGGTTGTTCGGAGATCATAATTACGTCCTACAATCGATTATTGTATTGGCAGTGTGGCCTTAGGAGGAGTCGGGGTGCCGCGGTGGTGAGATGTTATCTGCCTCGCCTGGTGTGCAGGAGGTCGTGGATTCGGTCCCAATCCAGATGCCCACTGTATAATTGGAGTTTGCGTGTCTCTCTCTTACCGTGGTCGCGCGGGTTTTTCTCCGGGTCCTCCGGTTTTCCCTCCACATCTACAGTCGACATGCGTTCAGATCATTTGGCTGTTATAGATTTCCACGTGATGATGAGCCACTTTGTTGAGCTATCATTTGAGGCCAGGTCACTTCTGAAAAAGAACTACATAGCTCAGTGGGCCTTTCCTGGTAAAAAATAAAATCGCGGTAGTAGCTGAATCCTAGTCGCAACTCAATTTCCCGATGATGACGATGATGATGACGACGACGACGATGACCACGATGATGACTGATAAGGACGACGAAGCCGATGATGACGACGACTATGACGACGATGACGATGATGACGACCATGATGATGATGACGATGGTGAAGCGTGGCTAACGTTCGTCTCCCCGTCGCGGTGTTGCGCCGGCTCTGTGTGGTTCCAGCTGCTGCTGGCTGTGGCTGGCGCCGGCGGTGGCGGTCGGGTTGGTGGTCGCTTGGCGCTACTACCGCAGGGCCTAGCGGGAGCCACGCGGGAGCCACGCGGGAGCCACGCGGGAGCCACGCGGGAACTTTCCAGCTAGCCCGGCCAGCCTGCACGAGGCCTCGGGAGCTCGGCATTCCGTACGCTAAACCTGCACGAGCAGCCTAGCCCAGCCACTCGACACAAGGACTCAGAACTCCGCCCGCAACTAGCTACCAACAAAGCCCAGCTATCCTCAACCAAGACTTGTCATCATCATCGTTTATGATGCCGATGTCGTGCCTCACACAAGTGTAGAAACAAGTGCCGGAGCGGCAACCGATGCAATCGAGAAGCACAATTGAACAAAAAAAAACTTGAGTACCAACTCACGCACTACCAGCTCAGCCCTGCCACCCTGTACCGGGACCTGACACTGAGCTGGCACTACCAGCTCAGCCCTGGCACCCTCTACCGGGACCTGACACTGAGCTGGCACTATCAGCTCAGCCCTGGCACCCTGTACCAAGACCTGACACTGAGCTGGCACTACCAGCTCAGCCCTGGCACACTGTACCAGGACCTGACACAGAGCTGGCACTACCAGCTCAGCCCTGGCACCCTGTACCAAGACCTGACACTGAGCTGGCACTACCAGCTCAGCCCTGGCACCCTGTACCAGGACCTGACACTGAGCTGGTACTACCAGCTCAGCCCTGGCACCCTGTACCAAGACCTGACACTGAGCTGGCACTACCAGCTCAGCCCTGCGACTCCGCCCGCACCCATCAGCACGCAGACCTGACACTCGGCCAGTCTCCACCGGCTAACCTTCCCAGCTGAGGCTCGTAACCCAATCTGCACTACCAGCTCTAGCCCAGGGGTCGGCAAACCTGCGGCTCTGGAAGCAGCATGCAGCCCTTTAAAGGAACCGCTTCGTGTGCGTTATTTATTGAGGACCACACCACCGTCTCGTATTGACCACGTGCATTTGCGCGGCCCTTGAGAGATTGATTTTATTCTTAGCGAAATAAAAAAAGAAAAATGTTATTTTCCCATTTCCGACCCCCGCACTAGCCCGGGGACTCGTCACCAAACCCAGCGTGCTACCTGCTTAGCCCTGCCACGCTGCGCAAGGACTACAGCTACTCGGGTTGCCCCTTCAGCCTGTGCTGCCAGCCGGCGCAATACCGTCGGCCACAGTGCAGAACAGGCTGCGAACTATCCGACATCAATTGCGTGCCTGAGTACCCAGCTGTTTCCAACCCCCATCTTCTCCCCCCAGAGGAGAGGCCGACGAGAAACATGTGCCCACCTCGCCCACCGCTCCCAGCGTTAGCCCTAGGGGCTCGCTCTCTCCCCCCCTGCTTTGTCACGGTGGCTATGAGATGTTAACACCCTCGCCTGGTTATCAGGAGGTCGTGGGGTTCGATCCAGACCCTGACGCCTGCTGTGTTATTTCGAGGTTGCATGTTTCTCTCTCCCCGTGGTCGCTCGGATTTTTTTTTTCTCCGGTCTTCCAGATTTTTGCCCCCTCCACAGTTAGAATCAACGTCACGCGTTCGGAGTATTTGGCTGCTATGAATTTCCACATGATGATGATAAGCCACTTGGTTGAGCTGTAAATTGTGGCCAGTTAAATTCTGAAAGAGAGCTATACAGCTCGGTAGACCTTACCTCGTAAAATAAAAAATAGTTATTAGTTTAGCATTTTCCACCGCTAGCCCGCCCACTGGCTAGCCCAAACATTGGTTTCTGCGTCGGGTTTATTGAGCCCAGGTACGGGCCGTTTGGCTCAGGGGTTCGAGACACTGAGCTGGCATTCCCTGGGTTTGACTCCCGGTTTCAGCCGCCCTTGTATTAAATACCAGAATGGCGTGCGTGCGCGCGCGTGTGTGTGTGAGAGATTGGCCCTTGATAGGTGCTCGCTAACAGCACTTGCCCCAAACAGTCTGTTTAGGCTATACGGGGGGATCTTTTGTCTTTGAATTGCCCGCGGAAGCGGATATCACAGAACATCTTGTGAGATCCCTTCATAGTGACCTTTTAAAAAATGAATTGAAACGCTTTGGGGGTGGGGGGGATGCGGTACTTTCTTGCCTGCCCCTGCCGCGTGACAACCAAAATGATATTGTGAATTCTCAGGGGTGGAATTCGGCTAAACTAAGTGTAGAATCAAATTGAATGTAATCGGGGTTATGGTTTTTTTACACATGAAGTAATTGGCGACCAGGCTGAGGGCCATCAACTCGCGATACTTGAGAAGCCCGGTTCTCATTGTAGGGCAGGATTCGAACCCAGGCTTCTCAGCGGTGCCGGCTCCAGCACCTCAACCTGGTTGTCTTTAAAAAAAAAATCGTCGATCGAATTTGTGAATTTCTTTTACAATAATGTAACAAACGTGACCGGTGTTCGTATATATTTATATATATGTGGACGCAAACAAACTTAACGGTTTTTTAAAGTTGAAACTTAACAAAACGTATCCCGATAACAAAAGAATCGTTTTTTATTTATCCTGCCTGGCAATAAAACAGGAGGTCTCAAGGTGTTCAAACACCAAACAGACACACCTATTGCAAGGCATCAAGTCTGCATTAACCACACGCATTTGTGGTAAATTATGCAAAACAAACATGCACTGATAATATATGACATTGTCTTTGAAACTGATTGGCCTACACCAGAGACGGCCTCCTTTAAGGCCTTGTCTCCCCACCGGTGTTAGATCAGAGAACAACGCCAAAAGACGAAACAGCGCAAAGGCAATGTAAATTTCAAAGCATCAATAGCTCGGTTTTGAGCAGATGAAACATGTTCCGGTTGGCCAGGCAGACGATCGTAAAGGGACGTGGCCAATCACGCGCGGTTATATTAACCCTTTCCTGTTCCGATGACGTACGTGCACGTCATCAAAACGAAACCGGAATGATAAAATAAAATAACTTTGTCGGTACCGAGGCTTGGCTTGTGGCACAGTTTGGCGCCGGCTATCGTATAGCTGCGGTCGTTTCGCTACAGTTCTCTGCGGTGAGTAACAGTGTCTTTAAGAACAACGGCGCCGCTACGCCCCTCTGAATAAAATGAACGCAGAGCCGCTTGCGCGTTCCGAGATTCAGACGAGGACGGGACCCGCAAAGGAGGTTGACAGTGCCGCTGACCGTGTCTTTGGCGGCAAGCCAACGCACTGGGAGAGGCGTAGGAAGCCCCCCCCCCCCCGATGAAGACTGTCGAGGCAGTGAGAGGCGCAGACCAGCGGCGGCCGAAGCTTTTTTGCTTTCAGGGTGACTCGACTTGTGTTTGTGCTCAATCTGGCAAAAACCCCCCACGCCCAGCCGCGGCCGGTCTGGTTACGTCCTTGAAAATAGCTGCAGTCGGCAAAATCCGCGAGCTGCAAAATCTGCGATCTGCAAACTTTAAGGCATTGTGGGGAAAACTCGGGGGGGGGGGGGGGGGGTGGGGGTTGGTTTACGGTTCGTAATACGACACCCGCCCTTTTACTGTATTGTCACCCGACATCAACCCAAACATTTCTCGTGTCAAATACAACTTGTACGGTAAATGTGTAGGATGAAAACAAGTTCATGTCGCGTGCAATTCCGTACCACACGGTCGGGTGGTAAAGACGCGGCTCGTTTCAGTGACACCATCGCGTCTGCCGAACCGCGCTGGAGAAAACGAAGCGGGCGCGTCTCGCATTGCGGAACAGGAAAACCCAGGAGGAGGAGCAGGGGGGGGGGGGTCTGCAAATCTGCGGCTCTTTAAAGGACTGCCTCGTCACGTTATTCACGCGGCGTTGCAGCTCTTTAAAAAAACACGGAGGTTTTTTTTTCCTTTGTCGTACCGAATTCGACATACGCACATACGCACACACAATGCCTCTTGTCGTTATTTTCGTTGCCGCCCCCCCCCCCCCCCCCCCCCCCGCGGGATGAAGAGAATGCGGCCCCGAGTTCCATGAAACGCGCTGGGGAGGGCTTTTTTTTCGTGTGAAACCGCGACCGCGTTCCACGTCTCGCTCGACGCACTCCCATCGGTTTATTTTTTTTTGTTCCCTCCCTTTCGTTCGTGACCTCTCGTCAACGCGCCGCTCGGAACGACGTCCGACGTTTTACGCCGCGCGTTGCCGGGGGCCTTGCTGGCAGGAAACGGAAGAACTTCTGCTTCGTCTGGCAGGAAACTCGAGTATCCGGATAAAGCTCTGTACCCCCCCCCGCCCTCCATGTAGGAGGTCGTGGGTTCGATCCCGACCCTGACGCCTGCTGTATATTTGGATTGTGCGTGTCTCTCATCGTCATCACGGTGGCTAGGAGATGTTAACCACCTTGCCTGGTATACAGGAGGTCGTGGGTTCGATCCCGACCCTGACGCCTGCTGTATATTTGGAGTTTGCAGTGTCTCTCTCTCTCATCGTGGTTGTCGCGTGGATTTTTCTCCGGGTCCTCCGGTGTTTCGCCCCACATTTAGAATCAACGTCACGGGTGTGTAGAGAAACGTGGCTATCACTCATTAACCCCAATCATTAAATCCAGTAATCATCATTTGCTATCATCAATTTCGCTTTCACCGCAATTCACACATCGTCACAGATTCTCCCCCATTGCTTCCTCTCATTTAATTTTATCCACCTCTTCTACCCACCACCACCACCACCACGACGACATTCGTACGTTGTACCGTCGTTAATTCGGTTCAGGCGCCATATAAATTCCGTAAAGACAACCTCTGTGCGGTGATCCACCAAACCCTCGCTGCCCTCCACGGCGATGGCTTGCAGGCAACGTGTGCGGTTAGCCTCGTTGTCGCCAATCGCCAGCCCGTCGGTTGTTGCGTGAAGAACGTCACGCGTTCAGAGTCTTTGGCTGCTGTAAATTATTTCCACGCGACGATGAGCCGCTTTGTTGCCGAGCTTTCATTTGTGTGGCCAGGTCGCTTCTGTAAAAGAGCTGCATGGCTCGGTGGGCCGTACCTGGTAGAGTAAAAAAAAATAGATCCACGAGCGATTAGTTACCTCCGGGTCACCCCCGTAGCCCCGCAGGTATGCACGAGTATTGAGTTATGTCCGAGTACTCGCGTTACCTTGCACACAGACCTCCGATTAGCACGCATGGCTACGGTACGGGTGCGCGAAAGAAGACGTTCAATATACAACATGAGACGGCGTCTTAATTCACCACCCCCCCGAAGAAGCTTCCGGTACGTGGAGCGAAACGTCGGACGTCGTGCCGTCATTATCAGTGCCTCCTGCCAGACTAGGTGCGCGGCGTTCAGAGCTGAAGTAGTGTAGAGGGGGGAAAGATTGTCCCACTCTTTCTTTGACTGCCGTAGGAAGAAGCTGTGAAAGAGTTTCGTTGTTTAAAAATGTTCTACAATACAGGTGTTTTTATGTGCGAGTTAGATCGCGTAAATATATAAATGTGTCGTTAAACCCGCCACCACCCAACACAGCCAAATCGGTAAGATTTCTCACGTTAACAGAACGTGGCCAATTCGTTACTAGTACAGCAACACCGGTGTGTTGGAGAGCAAATCCACAACATTTACAATCTTGAGTACGACGTTTCGCCAGTAATTGCAACGGGTATCGACCGGGCGGACAGCAGCCAGATTTTGTGGGGAAATCCTCCTGTTTCGCGATCTAACCCCAAAACACCTATGTTATGGATGACATTGGTTGCGAAAGCCGACTAGGTGTGAAACTGTCAATGATCCGTCCGTGGAACTCACCGAAAACGGATGACCTTAAGTAATAATGTGATTATATTTAAGACTGCTGTCGTGGATAGCGATGGCATTTTTAAACTTACCAGGGGGATAAATGTATTTTTAAAGTAAATAAATGAATGCCTCGCGTGATGCTCAGTTGAGATCTGTTCGGTGGTTTGTTTTGAGCCAGCACATTAAAGAATATCAGGTGACGAGAATGGAAATAGAGTCCTGTTGACCACGTGTCCACGGTCGTCGTAACAGGGTCAAACCTTAACCCCCCGCCAACACCCCCAACAAACCCTCCCCCGCTCACCTCCGATTAGCACGGTTGGCCTCCGTACGGTGCGAAAGAAGTTCAAAATACATAGGTAAAGGCGCAGCCATGCAATTGCCTGTTCAACTCTTCCGCTAGCCTCCCACCTTATAGAGGGGCAGAGAGGGAGAGGGCCCCAGCTCTAGGTTGTATTTGGCCTACTCTTCCAATGCTGGCCCGGACGTCTTGGGGAAGAGTTTTCAATGTAGGTGAAAAAGTGCATAGCTACAGTGGCAAGATGTTACCACCTCGCCTGGTGTACAGGAGGTCGTGAGTTGAATCCCGACCCTGACGCCTGCTGCTGTATAATTGGAGATTGCGGTGTCTCTCATCATCATCACGGTGACTAGGAGATGTTAACTACCTCGCCTGGTATACAGGAGGCCGTGGGTGCGATCCCAACCCTGACGCCTGCTGCTGTATATTTGGAGTTTGCGTGTCTCTCATCATCATCACGGTGGCTAGGAGATGTTAACCACCTCGCCTGGTATACAGGAGGTTGTTGGTTGGATCCCGACCCTGACTCCTGTATATTTGGAGTTTGCGGTGTCTCTCTCATCATCATCACGGTGGTGCGATGTTAACTCCTTCGCCTGGTGTACAGGAGGTCGTGGGTTCGATCCCGACCCTTGACGCCTGCTGCTGCTGCTGCTGTATATTAGGAGTTTGCGGGGTTTTTCTCCGGGTCCTCCGGCGTTTCCCTCCACATTCAGAATCAACGTCACGCGTGTTAGATTATTTGGGCCGCTGTACATATCCACGCGATAAAGATAAGGCCACTCTGGTGGGGCTATCATTTGTGAAGGCCAGGTCGCTTCTGCAAACAGAGCTTCAAAGCTCAACGGCGTCTTAAAGGCCGCCCATAAATGACGTCACGCACCTGGGGGGGGGGGGGGGGGTCAGACATTTGTGACGATGTGTGACGAGGTGGGGGGGGGGGGGGGGGTGAAAAATGTGACGTCACATAAAAATGCGCAAATTTAAATAAATATCAAATTGTTATGACAACACTAATTGTTATAACAACACTCCTACAACATCAGAGTGCAGCGTCACATTAAATACGCACTACAATAACAACAGTTTAAAGCGATTTGAAGCATGTTTTATTTTCAAAATGGAAATATGGTTTTGGGGGGGGGGGGCAGAGCTTTGTGACGTCATATTTGAGTGGGGGTCTCACTTTTTGTGACGCCGTGTGACGAGGGGCGGGTCAAAATCGTCCAAAATCGCGTGACGTCATTTATGGACGGCCCCTTACCCGGTCAAATACAACTAAAAGAGTTTAGAAGTGAGAGTACCCGCACACTTTACCCCATCACACGCGGACAGAGGCGGTGGGGTGGAGGGTTTCACAAACTTCCACGGGAGTTCGACGCTGTGACCTCTGCATTGCAAGACCGACGTACTCGCCCCAGTACAAGGACAAAGATCCCCCGTGTAGCCTTAGCAGACTTGTTGGGGCAAGTGCTGTTAGGGGAGAAGCAGCACCGATGAAGGCCGGGCACTGGCGCACGAGGGAGTGTGGGTGGCCAGCACCACGCCCGACCCTCTTTGTCTCTCCAGTGGCGATGTTTACTGCTCACCGCACCAGGTACTCGTTTGAGGCTGAGTCAACCTAGGGGAGGCCCCCGGACCGGTTCAGATACTCGTCACTGTTATAGATCGTGAGCCGAGATCGAACTCCGAGTGGCCGGGGGTTCGCTAACCGCTGCGCCACCGCTCCCCACCATACCACGGCAGGCACGAGGCTGTAATTACATTGAACGTTCGCCAGGGGGTGATACAGGACCACGTTTTAACAATACGATGTGTACACACGTATGTTACACGTATGTTGATCTTCTTTCGCACCTGCGTACGTAGCCAACCTCCGATTAGCGCGGTTGGCTGCGTACTAAAGAATTTAGTTTGTCAATCTAGATGATGATGGTGATGA